CTCCCCCTCTCCCCTGCCTTCCCCATTCACGTACTTCCCTTCTTTCTCTTCTTTCTTCCTTCACTTCCTTCTTCCCCTCCTCTCTCCCTCTCTTCTTCCTCTCATTTTCTTCCTTCCTCCCTCCCTTCTTCCCCATTCATGTACTCCCCTTCTTACCCTTCTTTCTTCCACTCCTTCCTTCCTTCATTCACTTCCTTCTTCCCCTCCTCTCTGTCCTTCCCTTCTGTGCCTCCTCTCCTCCCTCCCTCCCTTCTTCCTCCCTTCCCCTCCCCTGCCTTCCCCATTCATGTACTCTCCTTCCCTTCTTCCCCTTCTTTCTTCCTCTCCTTCCTACCTTCCTTCTTCCCCTCCTCTCCCTCCCCTTCCTCCCTCCCGTCTTCCCCTCCTCTCCTCTCCTTCCTACCTTCACTTCCTTCTTCCCCTCCTTCCCAAACCGAGGGAGCCCCCTCGCCTCCAGGGCGGCTCATTCCTCAGTGCAACATGGTTTACGGCATCCGGAGGAGGGGCGGGGGCAGAAGAGAGAAGAGCAACGGTCACAACGGCGCGAACAAAAAGGGACGTACGTGTTTCACACTTAGCGACCGTCACAGCGTCCCCCTGCGGGCCCACGATTGAAAGTCTGGACGCTTGGCTGCCGACTCGTAGTTATGACGGTCGCAGTGTCCCCGTGTGTGTGTGTGTGTGTGTGTGTGTGTGTTTGTGTGTGCCACGCAATCCCCTTTTTGCGACCTCCGGACAAGCAAACTCAGCGGAGGTCTTAATGACCCAGGTGACTGATTTAACAAATAGCAGGAAAAAAAATTGCCCAAAGACTGGGTTTTGTTTTTTTTAAAGAGAAGGGGGTTGGACTAGATGACCTCCCAGGTCCCTTCCAACTCTGATACTCTACGATTCTGTCAGGGTCTCCTGCTTGAGCAGGAGGCTGGACTAGATGACCTCCAAGATCCCTTCTTTTATTCTACGATTCTGCAGGCAGGGTCTCCTGCAGGAGCAGGGGGTTGGACTAGATGATCTTTGTGGTCCCTTCCAACTCTGATACTCTATGATTCTGTAAGGGTCTCCTGCTTGTGCAGGGGATTGGACTGGATGACCTTTAGGGTCCCTTCTTTTATTCTATGATTCTGTAGGCAGGGTCTCCTACAGGAGCAGGGGGCTGGACTAGATGACCTTTAGGGTCCCTTCCAAATCTGTCCTATGATTCTGTCAGGGTCTCCTGCTTGAGCATGGGGCTGGACTAGATGATCTCCGAGGTCTCTTCCAAGTCTGTCCTTCCATGATTCTGTCAGGGTCTCCTGCAGGAGCAGGGGGTTGGACTAGATGATCTTTGTGGTCCCTTCCAACTCTGATACTCTATGATTCTGTCAGGGTCTCCTGCTTGAGCAGGGGGCTGGACTGGATGACCTCCAGGGTCCCTTCTTGTATTCTACGATTCTGTAGGCAGGGTCTCCTGCGGGAGCAGGGGGTTGGACTAGATGACCTCCGAGGTCCCTTCCAAGTCTGTCCTTCCGTGATTCTCCTGCCTGCGCACGGGGCTGGACTAGATGGCCTCCCAGGTCCCTTTCCACATGCATTCAGAATTCATCCTCTCCTTCGCCCTCTCTCGTCCCTTCCCTGTCCCTCTTGTCCTTCTGCCTGTTTCCCAAGGCTGTGTTTTTGTTGCCGTTTGCGACAAAGGCACACACCCAGAGGCGGTTGAAGGCTGTGCTGATAACACAAATGCGTTCCTCCAGAGAGATAGTTGCGTGTTTTGACCTTCCTCCCTTGCTTTGACCGGCCACCCGTCCTTCAGAAACTGTTCATTTTTGGGCACAGTTGCCACACCATATGAGTTGTGTGATCCTGGAATCCTTGGGCTGGACGGGACCTTGGAGGTCATCCAGTCCAACCCCCTGCTCGAGCAGGAGATTCTTACAGAGTCATAGAAGGACAGAGTTGGAAGGGACCCTGGAGGTCATCTAGTCCAACCCCGGGCTCAAGCCAGAGCCCCTGACAGAATCACAGAATGACAGGGTTGGAAGGGACCTCGGAGGTCATCTAGTCCAACCCCGGGCTCAAGCCGGAGACCCTTATAGAATCATAGAATTGGAAGGGATATCGGAGGTCATCTAGTCCATCCCCCTTCCCAAGCAGGAGACCCTGACAGAATCACAGAATAACAGAGTTGAAAGGGACCTTGGAGGTCATCTAGTCCAACCCGTTGCTCAAGCAGTAGACCCTGACAGAATCATAGAATAACAGAGTTGAAGGGGATCTTGGAGGTCATCTAGCCCAACCCCCTGCTCAGGCTGGAGACAGAATCATAGAAGGGGAGTTGGAAGGGACCTCAGAGGTCATCTAGTCCAACCCCGGGCTCAAGCCGGAGACCCTTACAGAATCATGGAAGAATAGAGTTGGAAGGGATCTTGGAGATCATCTAGTGCAACCCCGGGCTCAAGCCGGAGACACTTATAGAATCACAGAACGACAGAGTTGGAAGGGACCTTGGAGATCATCTAGTCCAACCCTCTTCCCAAGCAGAATCATAGAATAATGGAGCTGAAAGGGATCTCGGAGGTCATCTAGTCCAACGCCGGGCTCAAGCTGGAGACCTTTACAGAATCATGGAAGAATAGAATTGGAAGAGATCTTGGAGGTCATCTAGTCCAACCCCCTGCTCAAGCCGGAGACCCTGACAGAATCACAGAATGACAGAGTTGGAAGGGACCTCGGAGGGTCATCTAGCCCAACCCCCTGCTCCAGCCGGAGACCGTGACGGAATCATAGAATGACGCAGTGGGAAGGGACCTCGGAGGTCATCTAGTCCAGCCCCCCCCTGCCCGAGCAGTCGACCCTGACAGAATCACGGAATGACAGAGTTGGAAGGGACCTCGGAGGGTCATCTAGCCCAACCCCCTGCTCCAGCCGGAGACCGTGACGGAATCACAGAATGACGCAGTGGGAAGGGACCTCGGAGGTCATCTAGTCCAGCCCCCCCCCCTGCCCGAGCAGTCGACCCTGACAGAATCACGGAATGACAGAGTGGGAAGGGACCGTGGAGGTCGTCTAGTCCAACCCTCCTGCTGGCTGGGGGGATTCTGGGCGTCGAAGTCCATCCCCTCTTAAAGCAGGCCGGCTGGGGGATTCTGGGAGCGGACGTTCACCCGGCTTCCCGTGGCTGCGAGGGAGCCACCCGAGCGCCTCGTGAACAACTTTGATTTGTTGTTGCCAAGAAAGGTGTTAGACGCGCCCTGTCTGATTCATTTCTTCGATGTGCTCGTAGTGATAAGATCAGCTGGCTGAGTATAAATTAGCCTGCTGTAATTAGGACGTAATGTACGGTATAACTTTCCGCCCTCGGCGTTAAAGCGGGATTTCCGGGAGAATCCGCTTTGCGGGGCCAAGGGCAGCGAACACCCCACAAAGGAAAGGAAAAGAAAGGCAAGGGGAGGAAAGGAAACAGGAAGGAAAGGGAAGAGGGAGAGAGCAAAGGAAGGGAAGGGAAGGGAAAGAAAGAGGGGAAAAAAGGAGAGAGAGGGAAGGGAAGGGAAGAGGAAAAAGGAGAAGGGGAAGGGAAGAAAGAGGAAAGAGGAGAGAAAGCAAGGAAGGAAGGAAAAAAAGGAAGGGAAGGAAAGGGACAAGGGAAGGAAGGAAGGAAAGAGGAAAAGAAAAGGAAGGAAGGAAAGATAAGGGGAAATGGGGAGAAAGGAAATGAAAGGAAGGTGGGAAAGAGGAAAGGAGAAATGAAAGCGGAAAGGAAAGAGGGAAAGGAAAGAAGAGAATGGAGAAAGGAAAGGAAGGAAGGAGGGAAAGGAAAGGAGAAAGGAAAGAAAGGAAAAAGGAAGGAAGGAAAGGAAAAAGAAAGGAGAAAGGGAAGGAAGGATGGAAAGCAAAGGAAAAGGAAAAAGGAAGGAAAAAAGAAAAAGAAAGGAAAGGAAGAAGGAGGGAAAGGAAAGAAAAAAAGGAAAGGGGAAAGAGGAATAAGGAAGAAAGGAAAGGAGGAGGGAAAGGGAAGGAAGGAAAGGAACGAGAAAAAGGAAAGAAAGGACAAAGAAAAGGGAAAAAAGGGGGAGAAAGGAAAGAGGACAGGAAGGAAGGAAAGAAAGGAAGGAAAGAAAGAGGAAAAAGAAAGAAAGGAAAAGAAAAGGAAAGAAAGGAAGGAAAGAGGAAAAAAGGAAAGGAAAAGGCAAGAAAGGAAGGAAGGAAAGAGGAAAAAAGGAGAAAGGAAAGGAAAAGGAAGGGAAGAGGGAAAGGGAAGAAAGGGATGAAAGGAAAGAGGAAAAGGAAAGGAAATGGGAAAGAAAAGGAAGGAAAGAGGGAAAAGGAAAGAAGAGGAAAGAGGAAAAAAAGGAAAGGAAAAGGAAAGAAAGGAAGGAAGGAAAGGAAAAAAGGAGAAAGGAAAGGAAAAGGAAGGGAAGAGGGAAAGGGAAGAAAGGGATGAAAGGAAAGAGGAAAAGGAAAGGAAATGGGAAAAAAAGGAAGGAAAGGGAAAAGGAAAGAAAAGGAAGGAAAGAGGAAAAAAGGAAAGGAAAAGGAAAGAAAGGAAGGAAGGAAAGGAAAAAAAGGAGAAAGAAAAGGAAAAGGAAAGAAAGGAAGGGAAGAGGGAAAAGGAAGAAAGGGATGAAAGAAAAGAGGAAAAGGAAAGGAAATGGGAAAGAAAAGGAAGGAAAGAGGAAAAGGGAGAAAGGAAAGAGGACAGGAAGGAAGAAAGGAAAGGAAGGAAGGAAAAGGGAGCAGAGGAGAGGAGAAGCGAGCGAGGGAAGGGAGGAATGGTGAGAGGGAAGGAAGATAGAGGATCGTTTCCCCCCCCCACGCTGCCATTCTCACTTCAGACGGCCTGCGCCTTTCCCCCCCCCCGTGTGTTTGTGTGTGTGTGTGTGTGTGTGTGTGTGTGTCCCTTCAAAGTGTCGCGAAGGGGTCGGTCGGCCGTCAGCCCGAGGAACCGACGAGCGCTCTCGTTGCCGGCTCCCTCGCGGGCAACCTCCCCTTCGACCGTCTCACCTCCCGCTTGGCTTTCGCCGCAGGGCGTTTCGCACTCGGCACCCCGGAGGCCCGGAGCCATGGCCGCGAGCTGACCCGGCACCCCGGACCGGGCTGAGGATGAGCTGCACTGCGTCCCTGCGAGGGAAGATCTCCGGGGCCTTCTACCAGCACGGCTTGCGCTGTGCCTCCTGCCCGATTCCCATCATCCTCTTCACCGGACTCTGCGTCCTGGCCTGCTGGTGAGAGGCCTGGGGGATTCTGGGAGTCGAAGTCCATCCCTCTGAAAGCAGGCCGGCTGGGGGATTCTGGGAGTCAAAGTCCATCCCTCTGAAAGCAGGCCGGCTAGGGGATTCTGGGAGTTGAAGTCCCCCCCCTTAAAGCATGCCTGGTTGGGGGATTCTGGGAGTTAAAATCCTCCATTTAAAGCATGGTGGTTGAGGGATTCTGGGAGTTGAAGTCCCCCCTCTTAAAGCATGCCGGCTGGGGGATTCTGGGAGTTAATATCCACTCCTCGTAAAGTTTGTTGACTGGGGGATTCTGGGAGTTAAAGTCCTACAGTCTTAAAGCATGGAGACTGGGGGATTCTGGGAGTTGAAGTCCTCCCCCCTGTTAAAGCATGCCGGCTGGGGGATTCTGGGAGTTAATATCCACCCCTCTTAAAGTTTGTTGACTGGGGGATTCTGGGAGTTGGTCCCCCCCTTAAAGCATGCCGGCTGGGGGATTCTGGGAGTTAATATCCCCCCCCTCTTAAAGTTTGTTGACTGGGGGATTCTGGGAGTTGAAGTCCCCCCCCTCTTAAAGCATGGCTGGCTGGGGGATTCTGGGAGTGGAAGTCCTCCTTTCTTAAAGCATGGAGAGTGGGGGATTCTGGGAGTTAAAGTTCTCCATTTAATGCATGCCGGCTGGGGGATTCTGGGAGTTGAAGCCCCCCCCCTCTTAAAGCAGGCTGGCTGGGGGATTCTGGGAGTCAAAGTGCATCCATCTGAAAGCAGACCGGCGGGGGGATTCTGGGAGATGAACCTGACCGAGTTCCAGGCCTTTAAGTGAGAAAGGCCACTTTGGACTCTTCCTGAACCTTGGACCGGCCTCGTGGAGTTGAATGCCGCTTTCCCTCCCTTGCAGCTACCCGTTGCTCAAGCTCCCGCTTCCTGGCACGGGGCCCGTGGAGTACACCACCCCGGTGAAGGACTACTCCACGCCTCCCCCCTTCCCGGCCGGCCAGCAAGGAGAGCCCAGCGAGCGCCCCGACGGGGTAGGTAGGAGGAACGACCGAGCAGTGTTGAATCGTCGTTGTATCTCGAGAGCGTCACGTTCTCTGAGCTTGGAGGGAGGGGGGGTTTGGTGTCTTCTTGCAGACGTTTCGGGACCCAACTAGGGAATGTCATCAGGGTGGGAAGGAAGAAAGGAGCTCTGTTCTTCTCCTCCACCTTCTCCTCCTCCTCCTCCTCCTCCTCCTCCTCCTCCTGTATTTCTCCCCTTCTTCTATACGTCTCCTTTTCTTCCTCCTGTACTTCTCTCTTCCTCTCCTCCTCCTCCCCTACTTCTCCCCTTTCTACGCCTCCTCCTGTACTCCTCCTACTCCTCCCGTCTTTCCCCTCTTCTTGCTCCTCCTGTACTTCTCTCCTCCTCCTCCTCCTTCTGTTCTTCTCTTCCTGTACTTCTCTTCCTCCTGTATTTTACCTCTCCTCCTTCTCTTCCTCTACTCCTCCTGTATTTCTCTCCTCCCCTCCCCTTTCTACTCCTCCTCCTGTACTTCTCCTCCTCCTCCTCCTCCTCCTCCTGTATTTCCCCTCTTCTTGCTCCTCCTGTACTTCTCTCCTCCTCCTCCTGTATTTTACCCCTCCTACTTCTCTTCCTCTACTCCTCCTGTATTTCTCTCCTCCTCCTCCCCTACTTCTCCCCTTTCTATTCCTCCTCCTGTACTCCTCCTACTCCTCCCGTATTTCCCCTCTTCTTGCTCCTCCTGTACTTCTCTCCTCCTCCTCTTCCTGTATTTTACCCCTCCTCCTTCTCTTCCTCTACTCCTCCTCTTGTATTTCTCTCCTCCTCCCCCTACTTCTCCCCTTTCTACTCCTCCTCCTGTACTTCTCCCATATTTCCCCTCTTCTTGCTTCTCCTGTACTTCTCCTCCTCCTCCTGTATTTTACCCTTCCTCCTTCTCTTCCTCTACTCCTCCTCCTGTATTTCTCTCTTCCTCCTCCTCATGTACTTCTATCCTCCTCCTTCTCCTCCTCCCCCTCCAGAGATACAATTCCAATCTTGCAAACTCGATGGACCTAACGTTAGAATCAAATGGAATTAGCTCCTCGCGATGTTGTTTTCCCTCTCTCCGGTCTACCTTGCAAAGCTCACCCTATTCACCCCCCGTCGTATTTGTGTGTGTGTCTTTTCTCTCCTCCAGTACTCCGGAGCCCCCGTGGCCTACATCCAACAGGTCCTGGTGAAAGCCACCGTTTCCCCGTGGCCGAAGACCTTCCTGCCCATCGACGTCTTCCGCTCTCCGCTTGCCCGGGTCTTCCAGCTGGTGGAGGAAATCCGCAACCACGTTTTGCAAGACGGGTACGTCAGAAAACGAGGACCTCCTTCTCGGTGCTTCCTCTCTTCACACACACAAACACACACACACACACACACACACTCCCAGCAGGGACACAAAAAAGGACATTTGATGGAGAGGTGGCTGTTTTGTAGGTGGTCCTTGTTTGGCGACCACAAAGGCGCCCTGAATCTCTGTTGCTATGCAAAGCATTTGCCGAGTCAGTTTGGCTCCTGTGTTTCGCTGCCTCCCTTGCCAACGTTGTGAAGTGAACCCCTCCCGTCATTAAGCGAATCACCCAGGTTATTAAGGGAATCGGGCGGAAGGCCACCCGAGGGGATCATGTGACCTACATCCCTCCTCCAGGACGCCGCAACCGTCATAACTACGAGTCAGTTGCCCAGGGTCTGAATTTTGATCAGCTAAGCCTGGGGAGGCTGCGACGGTTGTAAGGAGGAGGAACGGCTGTAAGTGGCGTTTTCTGGGGCCGTGGCAAGTCCAAATGGTTGCATCCTTCCAGCCTGGAGGAATTTTATTTGGCCGACAGGGTGTAAGATTTAGCATCCCAAGATGTGGGTGGTTTTCCAGGCCTTGTATTCCTTCCTTCTTTCCTTTCCTTTTTCCTCTTCTTCCTTCCTTCCTTCCTTCCTTCCTTCCTTCCTTCCTTCCTTCCCTTTTTCCTCTCCTTCCTTCCCTCCCTCTCTCCCTCTGTCCTTCCATCTTTCCCAATCTTTTTTCTCTCCGTCCTTCCATCCTTCTTTCTTCCCTCCCTCCCTCCGTCCTTCCATCCTTCCCAACGTTTTCCTCTCCATCCTTCCATCCTTCCTCCCCTTTTTCCTCCCCTCCCTCTCTCCATCCTTCTTTTTTTCTCTCCTTCCTTCCCTTCCTTCCTTTCCTCCCTCCCTCTCTCCCTCCCTCCTTCATTCCCACCCCTTTTCCTCTCCTTTCCTCCCTCCCTTTCCTCTCTCCCTCACTCCCTCTGTCCTTCCATCCTTTCCACCCTTTTTCCTCTCCTTCCTTCCTTCTTTCCTTCCTTCTCACTCCCTCCGTCCTTGCTTTCCTTTTTTTCTTGAATCAAAGCTGTCAATTTAGCCATCTCTCGCTAACTCCATCAAGTTTTTTTTCCAGTTGTGGGACTCAAAGTATCCTATTTTTGTGTGTAGCGTTGCTGCCATCGACATATATCATACAATCCTTGCTCGTTTGACGTCATGTTTTCTCCCTTCTCTCTTTCGGCGTCCAGTTCCCGGATTCAAAGTTTGGACGACACCTGCCTTCAAGTGACCGATCTCTTGCCCGGCTTGAAGAAACTTCGGGGTCTGCTCCCCGAACATGGCTGCCTTCTTCTCTCCCCGGCGAATTTTTGGCAGAACGACCAGGAGCGTTTCAGCGCCGATCCCGATATCATTAAAACTGTACACCAGCACGAGCCCAAGACCTTGCAGACGTCGGCTACGCCAAAAGGTTGGGATGGCTGAACCTTGCAGGACTTTGGCGACCACGTAGGCACCATTCCAGACTGGCTGAAGATGCTGGGAGTTGAAGTCTACCCTTGAGAAGACAAGTGGAGTGACCCGTTCTTCTCAACCTCCGCAATACGGGTGGACCTCAAATCCCAGCATTCCCCCAACCGGCCAAGCCAGTTGAAACCCACCCAGCTTAAGGTTGCAGAGTTTGAGAAACACTGGGAGAGACAGAGGGATATCAAGGACCATTCACCAGTCTTTGAACGGCGTTTCCCGATCCCCAAGCCTGTCCTTCGAGACGGATGCTTGTGTCACCCGATTCACGGCTTGGTGTCCTTCCCACTCACCTCCTGTGTTTTTCTCCTGGTGTCTTCAGATCTCCTGTTCGGCGTGCCGGGAAAGTACAGCGGGGTGAATCTCTACAACCGGAAGCGAGTGGTTGTCTACGCCATCACTTTGGGTCTCCGGCATTATGACGCGAGGTGAGTTGCCTTCCGAGACTGGGACATATGCTGAAGAAACTTTTTGACTAGGTGGGACCTTCCTCGTGGGGTTCTCCCCCTGTCATGTGGTGGGGTATTCGATTCTTAAAAATCCACATTTTGGAGGGTTTGTCCCTGATTGGACTAGCCTCAGCCACATCTAAGTCAGATTTTATACTCTAGCAATTCAGGTTAAGACCTCAAGTTACGACCGTGCCCATCCTGGTTGTAACTCGTGACGGCCGTAAAATGGGTAGGTCGTGGGAGCTGACGACCATTATATCGTTCAGCGAATCATTGCGGTCGTGAAGCAAATCGATGGTTTGCTGTGGTGCGCTATTCCGCAAACTGGAACTCCTCAAGTTCCGACTTTAATGGAATCTGGTTGCAACTCGGGACAGTCATAAAATGGAGAGATTGTGTGACTGTACGAGTTTTTTTCCCTGAGGTCGTTAAGTGAATCAATGTGGTCATTAAGCAAAGCGATGATCGGCTTTGGCAAAAACTGAAAGCCCAAGTAGTCCTCAAGTTATGACGGTAACGGACTCTTCCCATCGTGGTTCTGACTCGTGACACTTATAAAATGGTTGGGTTCCGTGACTTAAGGTTTTTTTTTCTGGCAGTCGTTAAGTGAATCATTGCGGTCCTTAAGCGAAACAATGGTTTGCTATGGACGTGGATGATTTCTCCCCAAAACTGGAAATGCAGCTAGTCCTCAAGTTACGACTGTAAAGAAATCTGCCCAATACATTGATGGCTCGTGTCGGTCATGAAACGGCTGGGCTGCCTGACTGTGATGGTCTTTAAATGAATCACTGCAGCGAAGCAATGGTTTGTGATGACGTGTTTCCTGAAAAACGGAAAGAAATGCCCGTTTTCAGCGGGAATGTCTCGGAATGCGGTAACGTGACCGCCGGACGCTGCATACGGACGTTCCATTCACTTCCAGCGGGCCATTCTAGGCCTGGGACTCCGAGGCCTAGAACGGATTCCCGGAAGTGGCAACCATGCACTTCCAGTGGGCCGTTCTAGGCCTGGGAGTCCTCCCAGCCTCCGAGGTCTAGAATGGACTTCCGGAAATGGCATCCATGCACTTATGGCAGGCCGTTCTAAGCCTGGAATGCCGCCTTCAGCCCTCCAAGGCTTAGACTGGACTTCCGGAAGCAGTATGCATTCAGCCGGTTCTCCGTACTCAGCCAGATTTAGCTACCGATTCCGCCGAACTGGTGCGAACCAACTGAATCCCACCACTGCCCTCCCCCCATGCCTTGTGGATGATGGGACCTCTTGCTTGCTTGCTCCCCGGTCCAGGTTTCTCGCCAGCCTCCGCTCACGGCTGACGCTGCTACATCCCAGCGCCAATAGCAGCCTCCAGGAACATCAGATGATCCACGTCCATTTTAAGGAAGAAATCGGCGTTGCCGAACTCATCCCGCTGGTGACCACCTACGTCATCCTCTTCGCTTACATCTACTTCTCCACGCGTAAGTCTCGCGTAAACGTAGTGGCCGTCCGGGCTCAGGACAGGCAATGCTTTAAGAGGGGAGGACGTCCACTCCCAGAATCCCCCAGCTGGCATGCTTTAAGACGGGAGAACTTCCACTCCCAGAATCCCCCAGCCGGCATGCTTCAAGAGGGGAGGACTTCAACTCTCCGAATCCTGTTCTGCCTCTCTTACTCGAAGGCTGACGGGTAATTTTGTTCGTTTTCCTTCTCCAGGCAAGATCGACATGGTGAAATCCAAGTGGGGTCTGGCTTTGGCGGCCATCGTGACGGTGCTCAGCTCCCTGCTCATGTCTGTCGGGCTGTGCACGCTCTTCGGCCTCACACCGACGCTCAACGGAGGGTAGGTTGCTGAAAAAGGAGTTCCGGGCTGAACCGCGGCGAGACGGATACTGTGAGCAGGTTCCGGATGGAGATATCCCTCTCTATTCTATTTCAGTGATGGCGAACCTTTTAGAGACTGAGTGCCCAAACTGCAACCCAAAACCCCCTTATGCATCGTCGGGTGCCGGGTGGGCGTGGCCCATTGGGTGGGCGTGGCTGCCGTGGTAGCGGCAGACTGGGTGGGACTATCAATCAATCAATTCCAACTTTACAAGATCTTTTTTTTTCCCGCGAGAAGTTGAAATTGATTAAACCTTTTTTTTTTTTTTGCACACGGCGGCGGAGGCCTAAAGCGAAAAGGTTTTATAAAACCCAGCTGAAGGCCTAGGACTGGGGCGACAGTGCGCGTGTCCACAGAGAGGGCTCTGAGTGCCACCTCTGGCACCCGTGCCGTAGGTTCGCCACCACTGGTCTCTTTAAATCCGGGAGTCCTTCATCCCCGTCACATCTTTATGGAAACCGATTCCATTAAAGCTCTCTCTGTAGCTGAAAGATTGTGGGGTCCTTGGTGGTCTTGGCGCTGGGTGGTGTTCTTCCAGATGTTTCATGACCATACTAGGGAACGTCATCAGTGCTAAAAGGGAGCCGGGGGTGTGGAGAGAAGGAGGAGGAGGAGGAAAAGGACTGTGGGGTCCTTGGTGCTCTCTGAGCTTGGTGGTTCTCTTGCCGACATCTCATGACCCTATTAGGTAACGTCATCAATGCTAGAAGGGAGAGGGGTTTGCCAGGATGAGGGGGAAGAGGAGGAGGACTCTGGGGTCCTTGGTGCTCTCTGAGCTTGGTGGTTTTCTTGCAGATGTTTTAGGACCCAATGAGGGAATGTCATCAATGTTAGAAAGGAGTTGGGTGTATGGACAGGAGAAGGACTGTGGGATCCTTGGTGCTCTCTGAGCTGGGTGGTTTTCTTGTCGACGTTTCATGACCCAACTAGGTAACACCATCAGTGCTAGAAAGCAGTGGGTTTTGTGGAGAGGAGGAAGGAAGGAGGAGGAGGAGGAGGAGGAAGAGAGAGAGGAGGACGACAACGAGAACAGTGGGGTCTTTGATGCTCTCTGAGCTTGCAGACATTTCATGATCGTACTAGGTAACACCATCAGTGCCAGAAGGGAGTTGGGTTAGTGGAAAGGACGAGGAGTGTCAGCAGTGGGCAAACACGCTCGTGCGTGCTCCATTTAACTGAACTGCGCATGTTGCTCGTGCGGATGGAAGAGAGCTCATGCGCTTGCCGGCCGCTCATGTGGAACCATCCCCTTCCCCTCTGCCGATCCGCAAAACCGAAAAATTTGGGAAACTCCACTTTAGCTCTTCTGTTCGTTGATGTGCAGACCACCGTAGAACGAGCTCCTGGCGGACATTTACGGACACCGAGACATCCGTTGTTTAGTTTTCCAACGTCTGTGCGAGTTTAAACATCTGGAAATGGCTGCTCCCAACTTTATTTGTGTTTTGCAAATCATCTTGAGAAAAATGTGTCAGTTCTTTTGTCTGACAACGGCAAGTCATTCCTTTTTCCTCCCAGCTTGTTCCGGGCCGGAGTTTTTCCACGTTTGGTTTAGCTTCCGTATCCCTTTTCCTTCCAGGGAGATTTTCCCCTACTTGGTGGTTGTGATCGGCATCGAGAACGTGTTGGTTCTCACCAAATCGGTGGTGTCCACGCCGGTCGACCTGGAAGTGAAGCTGCGCATCGCGCAAGGTACATAAAAGGGTGGTGTTTTTTGTCCTTGAAGAGGTTTCGCTCCTCACCCCGAGAAGCTTCCTCATGTTCTGACTAACAGTTCAGTTCTTCCCCCTGAACTGGAGAAGGAAAAACAGACTCCTCTTGAAAACACACCTTTTAGACGTTGTCCCGGAAAAAGATGGTAAGAACTCGGCTGAGATAGGCTGGCTTTGTCGAGCATAATTGGCAGAATTCATTCTGCGATTCCCCAAACCAGGGGTGATCACCAGCCTTAACCTTGCTACCGTTTTGGGGTGATCGCCGGCTGTAACCTCGACACCATTTCGGGGTGATCACCGGTTTTAACCTCACTACCATTTTGGGGTGATTGTCGGCCTTAACCTCGCCTACTCTTTCGGGTTGATTGCCAGTCGTAACCTCGTCACTGTTTCGGGATGATCGTCGGCCGTAATCTCGACACTGTTTTGGGGTGATCACCAGCTTAACCTCGCCACAGTTTCACGGTGATCACCGGCCTTAACCTCACCACCATTTCGGGTGATCACCAGCCTTAACCTCACCTTTTCGGCGTGATCACCGACCTTAACCTTGCCACAGTTTCACAGTGATTATCGGTCTTAACTTCATCACTATTTCGAGATGATTGCCAGCCTTAGCCTCGCACTTTTTCGGGGTGATCGCCAGCCTTAACCTCGCCCCCATTTCGGGGTGATTGCCTGCCTTAACCTCGCCATTGTTTCGGGGTGATTGTCTGCTTTAAACTCACCACCGTTTCGGGGTGATTGCCAGCCTTAGCCTCACCACTTTTTCGGGGTGATCGCCAGCCTTAACCTCACCACCCTTTCACGGTGATTGCCTGCCTTAACCTCGCCACCGTTTTGGGGTGATTGCCAACCTCACCACTTTTTCGGGGTGATCGCCAGCCTTAACCTCGCCACCATTTCGGGGTGATTGCCAGCCTTAGCCTCGCCATTTTTTCGGGGTGATCGCCAGCCTTAACCTCGCCACCCTTTCACGGTGATTGCCTGCCTTAACCTCGCCATTGTTTCGGGGTGATTGTCTGCTTTAAACTCACCACTGTTTCGGGGTGATTGCAAGCCTTAACCTCACCACCGTTTCGGGGTGATCGCCGGCCTTAACCTCTCCATTTTTGGAGGGTGATCACTGGCCTTAACCTCGCCACAGTTTCACGATGATCACCGGCCTTAACCTCGCCACCATTTCGGGGTGATCGCCAGCCTTAACCTCGCCACCATTTTGGTGCGATTGCCGGCCTTAACCTCGCCACCATTTCGGTGCGATTGCCAGCCTTATCCTCGCCACCATTTTGGTGCGATTGCCAGCCTTATCCTCGCCACCATTTTGGTGCGATTGCCAGCCTTATCCTCGCCACTCTCTTTCCAGGTCTGAGTAACGAGAGTTGGTCCATCATGAAGAACATGGGCACCGAGTTGGGGATCATTCTGATTGGCTATTTCACCTTCGTCCCGGCCATCCAGGTAATGGGAGGGGCTGGGAGAGCCTTCTGAGGTACGGGTAATCCTCAGCTTACGGTCATTCGTTTAGCGCCCGAAGTTCCGACGACGCTTCCGAGGAGCGCCCGGCACCAACGTCCTCTTCTTCTCATATCCCCTCTCTTATATCTAAAAATAAGTCCAAAAAGTCTCATTGTTTTCGTCCTTATAACGCATGAAAAATAGCTCAACCAGACCTCATCAACCCTGTATTCGGTCTCTCAAGATGGATTCCACGGGCCTCTGCAGCCTTGGCAACGTGACAACTTGTGGACTTTGTGTACTTCAACTCCCAGGATCCTACGACTTGTGGGTTTTAACTCCCAGAATGCCACGACAGACTTGTGGGCTTCAACGTCCAGAATTCTGCAGCTCGTGGACTTCAACCCCCAGAATTCCTCAGCTAGCATGGCTGGCTGAGGAATTCTGGGTATTGAAGTCCACAGATCGTAAAGTTGTCAAGCTTGGCCCAACTCACAGGGAAAGTCAATTTTCTTTCTCTCTCTCTCTCTCTCCCTCTCTCTCTCTCTCTCTTCCATTCTCTCTCCCATGTTCTCTTTCTCATTCTGATTCTTACTCTTTCGCTCTCCCTCTCTCGCTCTCCTTTTTCCCTTTCTCTCTTCCTCTCCTTTCTCTGTCTTTCTCTCTTTCATTCTCTCTGCCTTGTTCTCCCATTCTGATCCTCTTTCTCTTTCATTCTGTCTCCTTTCTCTCTTTCATTCTCTCTCACTCGTTCTTTCCCATTCTGATTCTCTTTCTTCCTTCTTTTCCTCTCTCCCTCGTTCTCTCTCTCTTTTCTCTCCCTTTCCCTTTCTCTCTCTTGTTCTCTCTCGTTCTGATTCTTTCTCTTTCATTCTGTGTCTCTCTTTCACTTTCCCCCTCTCCCTGTTTCTCTCTCACTCTTTCCCTCTCTCGTTTTCTCTCTCATTCTGATTCTTTCTTTCATTTTGTCTCTCTTTCTCCCTCTTTTCTCTCCCTTTTCCTCTCTCTTTCATTCTGTCTCTCTCTTTCTCCCTCTTTTCTCTCCCTTTCCCTCTTTCTCTTTCATTTTCTCGTTCTCTTTTTCATTCTGTCTCTCCCTTCTCTTTCTTTCCTTCTCCCTCTTCTTTCATTCTCCCCCCCTCTCTCATTCTTTCTGTTTCTGTTTCATTCTGTTTCTCTCTTTCACTCTCCCTCTCCCCCTCTTTCTCTTTCACTCTTCCTCTTTCTTTCATTCTCCCTCATTTTCTCTCTCATTCTGATTCTTTTCTCTTTCATTCTGCCTGTCCCCCTCCTTTCTTTCCCTGTTTCTCTTCCTCTTTTCTCTGCCTCTCTCATTCATTCTCTCTCGTTCTCTCTCTCATTCTGATTCTCTTTCATTCTGTCTCTCCCTTCTCTTTCCCTCTCTCTCCTTTTCTCTTTCATTCTCCCTCGTTCTCATTCTGATTCTGTTTCTCTTTCATTTTGTCTTTCCCTCTTTCTCCCTCTTTTCTCTCCCTTTCCCTCTCTTTCTTTCATTCTATCTCTCCCTCTTTCTCCCTCTTTTCTCTCCCTTTCCCTCTTTCATTCTCTCTTGTTCTCTCTTTCATTCTGTCTCTCCCTTCTCTCTCTCTTCCTCCCTCTTCTTTCATTCTCCCTCGCTCTCTCTCTCATTCTTTTTCTCTTTCATTCTGTTTCTCTCTTTCACTCTCCCTCTCCCCCTCTTTCTCTTTCACTCTTCCTCTTTCATTCTCCCTCATTTTCTCTCTCATTCTGATTCTTTTCTCTTTCATTCTGTCTGTCCCCCTCCTTTCTCTCCCTGTTTCTCTTCCTCTTTTCTCTGCCTCTCTCATTCACTCTCTCTCGTTCTCTCTCTCATTCTGATTCTCTTTCTCTTTCATTCTGTCTCTCCCTTCTCTTTCCCTCTCTCTCTCCTTTTCTCTTTCATTCTCCCTCGTTCTCATTCTGATTCTCTTTCATTTCTCTCTCTCTCTCTCTCTCTCCCTCTCTCCCTCTTCCTCTTTCTCTCTCCCCCCAAAACCATCTCCTTGGTCTCTCTCCCATCTTCTCTCCTCTCTCGTCCTTTCCAGGAGTTCTGCCTTTTCGCCGTGGTGGGCCTGGTCTCCGATTTTTTCCTCCAGATGTTCTTCTTCACCACCGTCCTGTCGATTGACATCCGTCGGATGGAGGTAAAACGGGAGGCGGGGAACCGACTCCGAAGATCTGTCCGTTTAGAGAGATCTAGCAAGGGATCAATACGGTTGTCAGGGGTAGGACTTGGTAGGGTGATCTCCATAACGATCTCGGAAATGGTAGGGTTACCTGCCTGAGCAGGGGGTTGGACTCGATGACCTCCAAGGTCCCAACTTTATTATTATTATTGTTATTGTTATTCGTTAAATGTGAGCCAGCTGTGTGCGGTGACAATCACAAAAGCCAACACCACCCTGGGCTGCATTCACAGAGGGACAGAATCAAAACCCCATGAAGTGTTCCTGTCACTTTACAACACCTTGGTTAAGACCTTGAAATGCTGCCTCCAGTTTTATCCTTAAAAATATTCTAATATTCTAATAAACTATAGGCCGCAAATACGACGTATTCTAGAAAAGATGTTGAGAGACTTTGGAAAGAGCGCAGAGAAGAGCAACAAAGACGATTAGGGGGCTGGAGGCCAACAGAAGAGGCTGGAAAAACCGTTTGTCTGAAACGGTACAGGGTTTCCTGCCTGAGCAGGGGGCTGGACTAGATGTTCTCCAAGGTCCCTTCCCACTCTTTTATTCCATGTTTTTTGTCTCCTGCTTGAGCAGGGGGCTGGACTAGATGACCTCCAAGCTCTCTTCCCACTCTTTTATTCCATGATTTTTGTAAGGGGCTCCTGCCTGAGCAGGGGGCTGGACTAGATGACCTCCAAGGTCCCTTCCGACTCTGTCCTTCTGGATTTCTGACCTGCCGTTTTTTTCCTTCCTCAGCTGGCCGATCTCAACAAACGGCCCCCCGCCGAAGCCTGCCTCCCGCCCCCCAAGCTCGGCGCCCGCGGCCTGCGGTACGAGCGCCAGCCGGCTATGCGCCCGGCTACCATGCATACCATCAACCTCCAGACCTCGTCTCTGCGTAACCTCCGTCTGCCCAAAAGGCTGAGGGTGGTCTACTTCTTCGCCCGGACTCGACTGGCCCAGAGGATCATCATGGTACGGGTCTCCGGCGGGCAGAGGGGAAAGGGGAGGGGGATCCAGGCCCCATAGAGCAGAGTTCCGCATCCCTGGAAGGGGGAGGGGAAGAGCGGATGGTTTTTTGGGAGAAGCCAACACACGCTCGGGCCTACGAGCCCCATTCCTCGCGGGGAGGTGCCCTAAACGTGGCCCGGTTGTTAATAGGCCATGGACTGGGAGGTGATTGTGGCCCGCAGGTTTCGGACCCCTGCCACAGAGTCCTCTGCATGAAGGGCCGGTTGCCCACCTTTGCAACTTTCGAGTCTTATCGCGACGGTGGAATTAGGACCGGGAAGGGACTCTTAGGCACGGACCCTTCGCCTCCCGCCTCCGCCTATTTATGACCAGCTTTCCTCCTCGGCTGGCCGTCCCCCAGCCGTTTTCCCTGGCTAATGCCCGTTCTCCTCCCCAGTGGTGGGATTCAAAAACCTGAACAACCGGTTCTCTTATTGGAGGCAGACTTCTGGAAATGGCATCCATGCACTTCCGGCGGGCCGTTCTAGGCCTGGGAGGCCTTCTCCAGGCCTCCCAGGCCTAGAACAGACTTCCGGAAGTGGTATCCGCGCACTTTCAGCAGGCTGTTTTAGGCCCGGGGAGCCTCCACCAGGCATCCGAGGCCTAGAACGGATTTCGGGAAGTGGCATCCATACACTTGCGGCCGGCTGTTCTAGGCCTGGGAGGCCTTTTGCAGGCCTCTGAGGCCTAGAAGGGACTTCCGGAAGTGGCATCCATGCACTTCCAGCGGGCTGTTCTAGGCCTGGGAGTCCTTCTCCAGGCCTCCCAGGCCTACAATGGATTTCCAGAAGTGGCATCCATGCATTTCCAGCGGGCTGTTCTAGGCCTCGGAGTCCTTCTCCAAGCCTCCCAGGCATAGAATGGACTTCCGGAAGTGGTATCCGCGCACATTCAGCAGGCCGTTCTAGGCGTGGGAGCCTCCACCAGGCCACCGAGGCCTAGAACGGATTTCGGGAAGTGGCATCCATGCACTTCCGGCGGGCCGTTCTAGGCCTGGGAGGCCTTTTGCAGGCCTCTGAGGCCTAGAAGATACTTCCAGAAGTGGAATCCATGCATTTCCAGCGGGCCATTCTAGGCCTGGGAGTCCTTCTCCAGGCTTCCCAGGCCTAGAATGGACTTCCGGAAGTGGTATCCGCGCACTTTCAGCAGGCCGTTCTAGGCCTGGGAGCCTCCACCTGGCCTCCCAGGCCTAGAACGGACTTCTGGAAGTGGCATCCATGCACTTCCGGCCGGCCGTTCTAGGCCTGGGAGGCCTTTTGCAGGCCTCTGAGACCTAGAAGGGACTTCCGGAAGTGGCATCCATGCACTTCCGACGGGCCGTTCTAGGCCCGGGAGTCCTTCTCCAGGCCTCCCAGGCCTAGAATGGACTTCCAGAAGTGGCATCCATGCACTTCCGGCTGGCCGTTCTAGGCCTGGGAGGCCTGGAGAAGGACTCCCAGGCCTATAACGGACTTCCAGAAGTGGTATCCATGCACTTCCGACGGGCCGTTCTAGGCCTGGGAGTCCTTCTCCAGGCCTCCCAGGGCTAGAATGGACTTCCAGAAGTGGCATCCATGCATTTCCAGCGGGCCGTTTTAGGCCGGAGTCCTTCTCCAGGCCTCCCAGGCCTAGAATGGACTTCCGGAAGTGGTATCCGTGCACATTCAGCAGGCCGTTCTAGGCCTGGGAGCCTCCACCAGGCTTCCCAGGCCTAGAATGGACTTCCAGAAGTAGCATCCATGCACTTCCGGCCGGCTGTTCTAGGCCTGGGAGGCCTTTTGCAGGCCTCTGAGGCTAGAAGGGACTTCCGGAAGTGGCATCCACGCACTTCCGGCAGGCCATTTTTGGCCCGGAGAGCCTCCACCAGGTGTCTGAGGCCTAGAACGGATTTCAGGAAGTGGCATCCATGCACTTCCGGCCGGCCGTTCTAGGCCTGGGAGGCCTTTTGCAGGCCTCTGAGGCCTAGAAGGGACTTCCGGAAGTGGCATCCGTGCACTTCTGGCGGGCCATTCTAGGCCTGGGAGTCCTTCTCTAGGCCTCCCAGTCCTAGAACGGACTTCCAGAAATGGCATCCACGCACTTCCAACAGGCCGTTCTAGGCCTGGGAGCCTCCACCAGGCCTCCAAGGCTTAGAACAGACTTCGGGAAGTGGCATCCATGCACTTCCGAGGGGTCGTTCCCCCATTTGCCGAGGCATCCTTAGCCCCGGGGCAAAGGGTGCCTCGGCGAATGGGACAGGCCGAAAGGCGTGGGGTGGAGGGCCAAGGGCCCTGTTGGCCAGGGAGAACAGGGAGGGGAGGGGCCAGGGGAGGAAGAGGAAAGCTGGCTATCAATGGGCGGAGGCAGGAGGCGAAGGGGGCGTGGGCAAAGGTCCCCTAGACCCATTTGGATTCTCCAGAAATGAGGGGAGGGGCCCTTCCGAAGGGCTGGGGAAGTGGGGTACAGGTAGTCCTCGACTTTACGACGGGTTGCTTAGCGACCGGTTGAAGTTACGACGGACGTCCCTGGAGGTTAGAGATAGGCTGGGGCATTCTGGGAGTTGAAGTCCCCCCCTCTTAAAGCATGCCGGCTGGGGGATTCTGGGAGTTGAAGTCCACCCATTAAAGCATGCCGGCTGGGGAATTCTGGGAGTTATAGTCCATCCCTCTTAGAGCATGCCGGCTGGGGCATTCTGGGATTGGAAGTCCTCCCCCTTAAAGCATGCCGGCTGGGGGATTCTGGGAATGGAAGTCCTCCCCTCTTAAATCATGCCGGCTGGGGGATTCTGGGAGTTGTAGTCCTCTCTTAAAGCACACCGGCTGGGGGATTCTGGGAGTTGTAGTCCCCCCTCTTAAAGCATGCTGGTTGGGGCATTCTGGGAGTTGAATTCCATCCATTAAAGCATGCCGGCTGGGGCATTCTGGGAGTTGAAGTCTTCCCCTCTTAAAGCAGACCGGCTGGGGGATTCTGGGAGTTATAGTCCATCCCTCTTAGAGCATGCCGGCTGGGGGATTCTGGGAGTTGAAGTCCACCCATTAAAGCATGCCGGCTGGGGGATTCTGGGAGTTATAGTCCATCCCTCTTAGAGCATCCCGGCTGGGGCATTCTGGGAGTTGAAGTCCACCCATTAAAGCATGCTGGCTGGTGGATTCTGGGAGTTATAGTCCATCCCTCTTAGAGCATGCCAGCTGGGGAATTCTGGGAGTTGAAGTCCACCCATTAAAGCATGCCGGCTGGTGGATTCTGGGAGTTGAAGTCTCCCACCCTTTTAAAGCAGGCCGACTGGGGGATTCTGGGAGTGGAAGTCCTCCCCCCTTAAAGCATGCCGGCTGGGGGATTCTGGGAGTTGAAGTCCATCCATTAAAGCATGCCGGCTGGGGGATTCTGGGAGTTATAGTCCATCCCTCTTAGAGCATGCCGGCTGGGGCATTCTGGGAGTTGAAGTCTTCCCCTCTTAAAGCAGGCCGGCTGGGGGATTCTGGGAGTTGAAGTCCCCCCCCTCTTAAAGCAGGCCGACTGGGGGATTCTGGGAGTGGAAGTCCTCCCCCCTTAAAGCATGCCGGCTGGGGGATTCTGGGAGTTGAAGTCCACCCATTAAAGCATGCCGGCTGGTGGATTCTGGGAGTTATAGTCCATCCCTCTTAGAGCATGCCGGCTGGGGGATTCTGGGAGTTGAAGTCCCCCCCCCTTTTAAAGCAGGCCGACTGGGGGATTCTGGGAGTGGAAGTCCTCCCCCCTTAAAGCATGCCGGCTGGGGGATTCTGGGAGTTGAAGTCCATCCATTAAAGCATGCCGGCTGGGGGATTCTGGGAGTTATAGTCCATCCCTCTTAGAGCATGCCGGCTGGGGCATTCTGGGAGTTGAAGTCCCCCCCCCTCTTAAAGCATGCCGACTGGGGGATTCTGGGAGTGGAAGTCCTCCCCCCTTAAAGCATGCCGGCTGGGGGATTCTGGGAGTTGAAGTCCACCCATTAAAGCATGCCGGCTGGGGGATTCTGGGAGTTATAGGCCATCCCTCTTAGAGCATGCCGGCTGGGGGATTCTGGGAATCGAAGTCCCCCCTCTTAAAGCATGCCAGCTGGGGGATTCTGGGAGTCGAAGTCCTTCAGGGACTGCTATAACCTTGTCTCCCCCACAGACTGGGACCGTGGTCTGGATCGGCATCCTGGTTTACACCGACCCAGCGGGCTTCCGCCTCTACCTGGCTTCCCAGGTCACGGAGCAGAGCCCCCTGGGCGACGCCGGTCTGCCCGTGCTGCCGGTCCCTGGTGAGGTCCTTCCAACCGGGGACGCCAAGTTATCCCTCTCGGTCTTCCCGGCGGACGCCGGGCGGCCGCCTCCGCCGCCCTTGTTGGAGAACCTGACGTCGGAGTCGGCGCGGCGGCGGGCGGCGGGGCGCCGTGCCGAGGAGCCGCTGAACGCCAGGAGCCGGGGTCACCCGGAGGTGGGCTCCACGGCGGAAGTGACCTGGGGGGCCGAGGACGAGGAGCTGTGGAGGAAGCTGTCCTTTCGGCATTGGCCCTCGCTGTTCGGCTACTACAACATCACCCTCGCCAAACGGTGGGTCCCGGCTGCTCTCCGAGCTGGGAGGGTTTGCGTGCCGACGTTTCACGACCCAACTAGGGAACGTCCTCAGGGCGAGAAGGCAGGTGGAGGAGGAGGACTGTGAGGTCCTTCCCCTTCCTCCTTCTCCATCCACTCCTTCCTCCCCATTTCCTTCCTTCCATTCGTCCGTCCTTCCCCCATCAGTCTCCTTCCTGCCTCCCTCTCTTCCTCTCCTTCCTATTTTCTTTCCTTTCTCCCTCCCCATTTCCTGCCACCATCCTTCCTTCCTCCCTCCATCTCCTTCCTCCTTCTTTCCCTCCTTTCCTTCCTGTTTCCTTCCTTCTTCCCCAATTCCTTCCTTTGTCCTTCCTTCCGCCGTCCATCCCTCCTTCCTCCCTCTCTCCCTCCTTTCCTTCCTATTTCCTTCCTTCCCCATTTACTTCCTTCCGTTGTCCATCTTCTTCCTCCCTCTCCTTTCCTTTCCTTATTTCCTTTCTTCCTCTCCATTTCCTTCCACCATCCTTCCTTCCTTCCGCCCTCCATCTCCTTCCTCCCTCTCTCCCTCCTTTCCTTCCTATTTCCTTCCTTCTTTCCCATTTCCTTCCGCTGTCCATCTCCTTCTTCCCTCTCCTTTCCTTTCCTTCTTATTTCCTTTCTTCCCCACTTCCTTCCACCATCCTTCCTTCCTTCCGCCCTCCATCTCCTTCCTCCTTCTCTCCCTCCTTTCCTTCCTATTTCCTTCCTTCTTCCCCATTTCCTTACTTCCAGCCTCCTTCCTTTTTCCATCCATCTCCTTCCTCCCTCTCTCCCTCCTTTCCTTCTTACTTCCTTTCTTCCTCCCCATTTCCTTTCTTCCACCGTCCTTCCTTCCACCGTCCATCTCCTCCCTCCCTCTCCTTTCCTTCCTATTTCCTTCCTTCTTCCCCATTTCTTTCCTTCCACCCTTCCGCCGTCCATCTCCTTCCTTCTTCCCTCTCTCCCTCCCTCCTTTCCTTATTTCCTTTCTTCCTCCCCATTTCCTTCCTTCCATCCGTCCTTCCCCTGTCCATCTCCTTTCCGTAGCTCCCAGAATTCCCTTGGGGAGGGGTGTCTCCTCCTCCTCCTCTTCCTCCAATCAGCTCTTCCCCTTCTCCAGGTACATCAGCATCCTTCCGGTCATCCCCGTCACCCTCTACCTGGATCCCCAAGAGGCTTTGGAGGCACGTCACCCCCACGAAGCCAGCCGGTACCCCTCCCCCTCCTCCTCCTCGGGCGTCGTAAGAGCGGAGCAAGCTGACCGGCTGGCCGACGAGAAGCCCAAAGGACACACCCCCCGCGACGTCACCCTGTATAAGTGAGTGTGATACGGTTGCGCTGCAACTGTCGGCGTCCCGGTCAGTTTCCCGCCTTCTGTCCTTCCGAGGTCCGTAAAATGAGGACCGAGATTGCGGGGGGGGGGGGCAAATAGGCCGACTCTTCAAAGCACTGTGAAGCCGTATAGAAGTCTGAAGTGTTATCGCTAGCGGGGCGTCTTGAGCTTCCCAGCGAACGTGGACGCCGGGATCCCGAGCGCGCCTCCATGGTCTGAATCCAATTTGCCACCCTCAGCGGCTTCCCGTTGTTCTGGCCTCTGCCCTGTCATAGTTTCTCGACGTAACGGCCACAATTCAGGCCCAGGTTTCTGTCGTCTAGTGAGGTGTGCCCGGTGGTGGGATTCGAACACCTAAACAACCGGTTCTCTTCTTGGATGCAGGCCTGGGCCTCCGCGGCCTAGAACGGATTTCCGGAAGTGGCATCCATGCACTTCCGGCGGGCCGTTCTAGGCCTGGGAATCTCCAGACTCCGAGGAATAGAACGGAGTTCCGGAAGTGGCATCCACGCACTTCCGGCGGGCTATTCTAGGCTTGGGAGCCTCCTCCAGGCTTCCGAGGCCTAGAACAGAGTTCAGGAAGTGGCATCCACACACTTCCGATGGGCCGTTCTAGGCCTGGGAGGCCTCCTCCAGGTTCTGACACCTAGAACGGAGTTCCAGAAGTGGCATCCACGCACTTCTGGCGGGCTGTTCTAGGCCTGGGAGCCTCCTCCAGGCCTCTGACACCTAGAATGGAGTTCCAGAAGTGGCATCCATGCACTTCTGGTGGACTGTTCTAGTCCTGGGAATCTCCTCCAGGTTCTGAGGCCTAGAACGAAGTTCCAGAAGTGGCATCCATGCACTTCTGGTGGACCGTTCTAGGCCTGGGAATCTCCTCCAGGCTCCGAGGCCTGGAACGGCATTCCGGAAGTGGAATCCACACACTTCCGGTGGGCTGTTCTATGCCTGGGAGTCTGCTCTAGGCTCTGAGGACTAGAACGGAGTTCCAGAAGTGGCATCCACGCACTTCCGGCGGGCTGTTCTAGGCCTGGGAGGCCTCCTCCAGGCTCTGACACCTAGAACGGAGTTCCAGAAGTGGCATCCATGCACTTCTGGTGGACCGTTCTATTCCCGGGAATCTCCTCCAGGCTCCGAGGCCTGGAACGGCGTTCCGGAAGTGGCATCCATGCACTTCCAGCAGGCTGTTCTTGGCCTGGGAGTTTGCTCCAGGCTCCGAGGCCTAGAACGGAGTTCCAGAAGTGGCATTCACGCACTTCCGGTGGGCCGTTCTAGGCCTGGGAATCTCCTCCAGGCTCCGAGGCCTGGAACGGAGTTCCAGAAGTGGGATCCACGCACTTCCGGTGGGCTGTTCTATGCCTGGGAGTCTGCTCCAGGCTCTGAGGACTAGAACGGAGTTCCAGAAGTGGCATCCACGCACTTCCGGCGGGCTGTTCTAGGCCTGGGAATCTCCTCAAGACTCCAAGGCTTGGAACAAAGTTCCAGAAGTGGCATCCACGCACTTCCGGCAGGCCGTTCTTGGCCTGGGAGCCTCCTCCAGGCCTCCGAGGCCTAGAATGGAGTTCCGGAAGTGGCATCCACGCACTTTGGGAGGGCTGTTCTAGGCCTGGGAGCCTACTTGGGGCTTCCTAGAATGGCATTCCGGAAGTGGCATCCACATACTTCCAGCAGGCTGTTTTATGCCTGGGAGTCTCCTCCAGGCTCCGAGGCCTGGAACGGACTTCCGGATGTGCATCCACGCACTTCCGGCCGGCCGTTCTATTCCTGGGAGTCTCCTCCAGGCTCTGAGGCCTGGAACGGAGTTCCGAAAGTGGCATCCATGCACTTCCGGCGGGCCATTCTAGGTCTCCTCCAGTCCTCCCAGGCCTAGACTGGACTTCCGGAAGCAGTGTCCATTGAGACGTTTCTCTGAACTCAGCAAAATTTACCTACCGGTTCTACCAAACTGATGTGAACCGGCTGAATCCCACCACTGGTTGTGCCCCATTGGTGCTCAGCTAATCCCTGCTGTCGTTAAGTGAATCCAGCTTCCTGCTAGTCAGAAGTCTTTCTATTTCTATTTGTAGGTCTTTGCATTTTGTGATCTTCTCCAGTTCTTTCTCGTCTATTCTGCTATCTCCAGGCACTGCCACGTCCACTATCCAGACTTTTTTGTCTTTCTTATCGACAATTGTTAAGTCTGGGGTGTTATGTTGCAGGTGCTTGTCTGTTTGAATTCTGAAGTCCCAGAGCAGTTTAATTTTATCATTTTCTATGACTTTCTCTATTTTATGATCCCACCAGTTTTTGCTTACAGGCAAATTATATTTCTTGCAGATCTTCCAATGCACCATTGTTGCTACTTTGTTGCTGTTGTTGTTGTTGTTGTTATTATTATTATTATATTATATTCTGTTTTATGTTATATTCTGTTCTATATTCTATTCCGTTCTATATTCTATTCTACTGTATTTTATTATTCTATTCTATTTTGTTCTATTCTTCTATATTCTATTTCTATTCTGTTCTATCCTATTATACTGTATTTTATTATTTTATTCTATTCTATTCTACGGTATTTTATTCTATTCTATTTCTATTCTATTCTATATTTTATTATTCGATTCGATTCTGTAATTCTATTCCATTCCATTTCTATTCTATTCTATTCCATTCCATTCCATTCCATTCTTCTATATTCTATTCTATTTCTATTCTTTCTATTCTACTGTATTTTATTATTCTATTCTATTTTATTCTATTCTTCTATATTCTATTTCTATTTTCTATCCTATTCTATTGTATTTTATTATTTTATTCTATTCTATTCTACTGTATTTTATTATTCTATTTTATTCTATTTCTATTTCTATTCTATTCTATATTTTATTATTCTATTCTATTCTGTAATTCTATTCCATTCCTATCCTATCCTATCCTATCCTATCCTATTCTATATTCTATTCTATTCTATTCTATTTCTATTCTTTCTATTCTACTGTATTTTATTATTCTATTCTATTTTATTCTATTCTTCTATATTTTATTTTTATTCTCTTCTATCCCATTCTACTGTATTTTATTATTTTATTCTATTCTATTCTACTGTATTTTATTATTCTATTTTATTCTATTCTATTTCTATTTTATTCTATATTTTATTATTCTAGTCTATTCTGTAATTCTATTCCATTCCTATTCTATCCTATTCTATCCTATCCTATCTTATTCTATCTTATTCTATTCTATTCTATTCTATTCTATTCTATTCTATTCTATTCTATTCTATTCTGTTCTATTCTACTCTATTTTAAACTCTCTATTCTATTTCTATTTATATTCTATTTCTATTCCTCATGTCTTCTCCTTGTCTCTTCCAGGGTGGCCGCCCTCGGCCTGGCGTCCGGCATCCTTTTGGTGCTCCTCCTGTTTTGCCTCTACAAAGTCTTGTGCCCCAAGAACTACGGCCAAAACGGACTTTCTCACAGTCGGCGGCGGCGAGGGGATCTCCCCTGCGACGACTACGGATACTCGCCGCCCGAGACGGAGATCATTCCCCTGGTCCTCCGGGGCCACCTCATGGTAGGGGTCATATTGGGGCGAGCGGAGCGGCCTAACGGCCGCTAAGCCAGAGAGGCGTCTTCTGGTTCCCAAGGTCTCAGGGCCCCTCACTCCGGAAGTCTCCGCTTTTTCCAAGAGTCAACTGGACTTTCTTATTGTTTTTTTTTCTTGAAGAGGTTTCGCTCCTCATTTGAGAAGCTTCTTCCGGTTCTGACGAACAGTTCACTTCTTCAGTCCGAACCAGAAGAAGCCTCTCAGATGAGGAGCGAAACCACTTCAAGGAAAAAAAAAAGTTGCCTCTTGAAAAAAGACACCTTTGGGACATCTCCTCAAGGCCCTTCGGCGAGTCTTATCGAGCTTGAAGGTCGGGAGATGGGACTGGGGAGGGGACGGACGAATGGAGAGTGGAAAGACCCACGGGAGACGGACTTAGGGAGAGAGACGTGAGCAATCGGGAGGCACCGGTAGTAGTCGTCGTAATAGCAACGATTTTATTACGGTCGCAGAGCAGCGTTAAGAAATAAGAAGCATAAAGAAATACAATTAAATGAAAGGCAAAATGAGAAACGAATAGAAGGAAGGTAAAAAATGGATTCAACTAATAAAGTACCCATAAACTACACGAATGAACGTAAAAGAAGACAAAGTAAAAATAATAAAATGAAAAAAGGCAAGCTAACGCAGCCCACCCTTAAATTGTACAACTGTTCGTTTGGGCCCGTGATGTTTCTGTAACCCTAAATTTCACTCCGGTCCTTTCAACCGAAGACGAATCGTCGGGATTATCGGAATCTGATAAATCAGACGATGCATCTGAAGTCATCTTCGGTTGAATATTTTCAACCCAGAAGCACCTCAGTGCTTCTGGACCCAAGTGCAACGAAACGTCTTGCTGACTTAGAGAGCCCACGTTCGAGGCCCTGTTGCGGGACGCGGTTGAGTTCCCGTCCTTAGCTCCTTCTGGGGAATGGAGCTTCGCGCAGGCAACGGCGTTGTCACCGCGAATACTTTCAACCCGGAAGTGCCTCAGTGCTTCTGACCCGAGTGCAATGAAACGTCTTGCTGACGTAGAGAGCCCATGTTCGAGATCCTGCTGCGGGACGCAGTTGAGTTCCCGTCCTTAGCTCCAGCTCCTTCCAGGGGAACGGAGCTTCGCGCAGGCAACAGCGTTGCCGCCGTGAATACTTTCAACCCAGAAGCGCCTCAGTGCTTCTGAACCCAAGTGTAACGAAACGTCTTGCTGACTTAGAGAGCCCACGTTCGAAGCCCTGTTGCGGGACGCGGTTGAGTTCCTGTCCTTAGCTCCAGCTCCTTCCGGGGGACAGGGCATTGCTGACCTCTTGACCTGTTTTGCAGGACATCGAATGCCTGGCGAGCGACGGGATGCTACTCGTCAGTTGCTGTCTGGTGGGCCAGATCCGGGTGTGGGATGCGCAGACGGGAGACTGCCTGACAGTCATTCCTAAGCAAGGGTGAGTCCCAATACGGTGGCTGCCGATCTCGGGGTCCCATCTGGGTTGCCAAAACGATCTGCCGCATGCGGCGTATCTTCCCGCGCGGGTCTCTCTTGCTTAACAGAAACCCACAGCCGATCCAACGCTATGGTGAGCCATCCGCGTACGGTGACAGCCCAAAAATGCGAATACGATCCTCGGTTGCGTGAAACCGAGGCACAGAATCAAACTCACGTCAAGGATTAGGACCGCTTTGTAAAGCTGTAGTAAGGCCGTACCTGGAATACCTGCATACAGTTTTAGTCGCCAAATTACAAAAAAAAAGATGAGACACTGGAAGTTTTGAAGAAGAGACTGGACAGCCATTTGTCTGAAACGGTGTAGGGTTTCCTGCTTGAGCAGGGGGTTGGACTAGATGACCTCCAAGGTCCCTTCCAACTTTATTATTATTATTAAGATGCTGAGTCTTTGGAAAAAGGGCAGAGAAGAGCAACTGAGATGATTAAAGGCTTGGAGACTAAAACATATGAAGAAGGACGGTTGCAGGATTTGGGATTGGCTAGTCTAGAGAAAAGGACTGGTGGGGGTCATGATAGCGCTATTCCAGTATTTGGGGGGGGGCTGCCCCAAAGAAGGGGGGGGTCAGTTTATGATCCAGAGCACCAGAAAGCAGGACAAGAAACAATGGATGGAAACTAATCAGAGGAGAGAGAAGCAACCAGGAATTAAGGAGAAACTTCCCTAATAGACAGTTCACCATTGGAACAGCTTGCCACCAGAAACGGTGAGTGCTTTAAGAAGAGGCTGGCCATTTCCTATACCATTTCCCCGAAGTGGTATAGGTTCTCCTGCTTGAGCAGGGGGTTTGACTAGATGATCTCTGAGATCCCTTCCAACTCTGTCCCTCAGCGATTCTGTAAGGGTCTCCTGCTCGAGCAGGGGGTTGGACTAGATGATCTCCGAGGTCCCTTCCAGCTCTGTCACTATCAATTTGTAAGGGTCTTCTGCAAAGGCAGAGTTTGGACTAGAGGGCGTCCAAGTTCCCTTCCAACTCTCCTAGGATTCTGTCTCCAGCTCGAGCAGGGGGTTGGGCTAGATGACCTCCAAGGCCCCTTCCAACTCCCCTTCTAGGATTCTGTCTCCAACTCGAGCAAGGGGTTGGGCTAGATGACCTCTGAGCCCCCTTCCAACTCGCATTCTAGGATTCTGTCTCCAGCTCGAGCAGGGGGTTCGGCTAGATGACCTCCGAGGTCCCTTCCTCCAGCTTGAGCAGGGGGTCGGTCTAGATAACCTCCGAGGTCCCTTCCAACTCCCCTTCTGTGATTCTGTCTCCAGCCTGAGCAGGGGGTTGGGCTAGATGACCTCCGAGGTCCCTTCCAACTCCCCTTTTATTCTGTCAATTTGTAAAGGTCTTCTGCAAAGGCAGGGTTTGGACTAGATGGCCTCCAAGGCCCCTTCCAACTCCCCTTCTGTGATTCTGTCTCCAGCCTGAGAAGGGGGTTGGACTAGATGACCTCTGAGGTACCTTCCAACTCTTCTACGATTCTCTCTCCAGCCTGAGCAGGGGGGTGGGCTAGATGACCCCCGAGGCCCCTTCCAACTCCCCTTCTAGAATTCTGTCTCCAGCTCGAGCAGCGAGTTGTGCTAGATGACCTCTGAGATCCTTTCCACCTCTGTTATTCTATCAATTTGTAAGGGTCTTCTGCAAAGGCAGGGTTTGGACTAGATGACCTCCGAGGTCCCTTCTAACTCCCCTTCTAGGATTCTGTCTCCAGCCTGAGCAGGGGGTTGGGTTAGATGACCTCCGAGGTCCCTTCCTCCAACTTGAGCCGGAGGTTGGGCTAGATGACCTCCAAGGTCCCTTCTAACTCCCATTTTATGATTCTGTCTCCATCTCGAGCAGCAGGTTGGGCTAGATGACCTCCCAGGCACCTTTCAACTTTCTCCTTCTACGATTCTGTCTCCAGCCTGAGCAGGGGGTTGGGCTAGATGTCCTCCAACTCCCTTTCTACGATTCTGTCTCTAGCTCGAGCAGCGAGTTGTGCTAGATGACCTCTGAGGTCCTTTCCACCTCTGTTATTCTGTCAATTTGTAACGGTCTTCTGCAAAGGCAGGGTTTGGACTAGATGGCCTCCATGGCCCCTTCCAACTCTCCTTCTGTGATTCTGTCTCCAGCTTGAGCAGGGGGTTGGGCTAGCTGGCCTCCGAGGGCCCTTCCAAATCTCCTACGATTCTGTTTCCAGCCTGAGCAGGGGGTTGGGCTAGATGACCTCCGAGGTCCCTTCCAACTCCCCTTCTAAGATTCTGTCTCCAGCCTTAGCAGGGGGTTGGGCTAGATGACCTCCGAGGTCCCTTCCAACTCTCCTTTTATGATTCTGTCTCCATCTCAAGCAGCGGGTTGGGCTAGATGACCTCCGAGGTCCTTTTCAGCTCTCTTATTCTGTCAATTTGTAAGGGTCTTCTGCAAAGGCAGGGGGTTGGACTAGATGGCCTCCAAGGCCCCTTCCAACTCCCCTTCTAGGATTCTGTCTCCATCCTGAGCAGGAGGTTGGGCTAGATGACCTCCCAGGTCCCTTCCAACTCCCCTTCTACGATTCTGTTTCCAGCCTGAGCAGGAGGTTGGGCTAGATGACCTCCCAGGTCCCTTCCAACTCCTACGATTCTGTCTCCAGCCTGAGCAGGAGGTTGGGCTAGATGACCTCCGAGGTCCCTTCCAACTCCCATTTTATGATTCTGTCTCCATCTCGAGCAGCAGGTTGGGCTAGATGACCTCTGAGGCCTCTTCCAACGCTCCTATGATTCTGTCTCCAGCTTGAGCAGGGCGTTGGGCTAGATGACCTCCGAGATCCCTTCCTCCAGTTTGAGCAGGGGGTTGGGCTAGATGAACTCCGAGGTCCCTTCCAACTCTCCTTCTGTGATTCTGTCTCCATCTCGAGCAGCGGGTTGGGCTAGATGACCTCCGAGGTCCTTTCCAGCTCTGTTATTCTGTCAATTTGTAAGGGTCTTCTGCAAAGGCAGGGGGTTGGGCTAGATGACCTCCGAGGTCCCTTCCAACTCCCCTTCTGTGATTCTGTCTCCAGCCTGAGCTAGGGGTTGGGCAAGATGACCTCTGAGGTCCCTTCTAACACTGTTATTCTGTCCGGGTCTCCTGCTTGAGCAGGGGCGGGGGGTTGGGCTAGATGACCTCCCGGCTCCCCTTCCAACGCCTCTCTTTTCACCTGCTTTTTCTTGTGTTTCCAGCCTCCGCCGGGACGACAGCGGCCGCTTCGACCTCCCCCACGACCTTTGGGATTACGGTCCGGATGGCCGGAGCAGCGGGCCGGAAGACCCCTGGGACGGCAGCCCCCCTTTCCGACGGGCCCGCAGCCCCCCGCCCCCTCTCCTCTTCAGCGACCAACCGGATCTCTCCTCCCTGATCGACACCAATTTTTCCGAGCCAGGCCCATCCGGAACGCCGGGAGCCCGTCTCCGGACTCTCGGCCTGCGCTCGGAGGGCTACGACTTCCGAAGCCTGGTGGGCCAGGTGCGCGAGGAGCCGCCGGGACCCCTCCCCGACGGCCCCTCCTTCTCGGCCCGCCGGAAGGGCGAGGGTCCCGAGTGCGAGAGCCGGCGACGGAGCAGCTGGGGAGACGTGCCCCTGCCGGCTCCGGAGAAGGCCGCCCCCCCTCCTCCTTTTCCGTGGGGGTCCCCCTCGGAAAGCTCCATCTGGAGCCTGGAGCTGCAGGGGAATTTCATTGCGGCCGGCCGGAGCAACGGGAGGCTGGAGGTAAGGGGAACGGGGGGGGGGGCGTCCTCGGCTTTTGCGACGGGTTGGGGGTTTTCTTGAGGACCGGCTCCTTGCCCTGCATCGCGAGCCCTGCCGCGCTTTGCTTAAGCGACGGCGGGAAGGGAGGTCGCACGAGGGGACAAACCTGACCCAAATGTCGCATCGGCCGAACAATATAACAATAATTATAATTAATAATTAATAATAATAATAAATTAATAATTATTATTAATAATAAATTAATAATAATTATTATTATTAATAATAATTAATTATTATTAATAATAATTAATAATAATAGTTGGAAGGGATCTTGGAGGTCACCTAGCCCAACCCCCTGCTCAAGCTGGAGACAGGATCGTTAGAAGGAAAGTTGGGACCTTGGAGGTCATCTAGCCCAACCCCCTGCTCAAGCTGGAGACAGGATCCTAGGAGGAGAGTTGGGATCTTGGAGGTCATCCAGTCCAACCCCCTGCTCAAGCTGGAGACAGAATCCTAGAAGGAGAGTTGGGACCTTGGAGGTCATCCAGTCCAACCCCCTGCTCAAGCTGGAGACAGGATCGTTAGAAGGAAAGTTGGGACCTTTGAGGTCATCTAGCTCAACCCCCTGGTCAAGCTGGAAACAGAATCGTAGGAGGAAAGTTGGAACCTCGGAGGTCATCTAGCCCAACCCCCTGCTCAAGCTGGAGACAGGATCCTAGGAGGAGAGCTGGGACCTTGGAGGTCATCTAGCCCAACCCCTGCTCGAGCTGGAGACAGGATCCTAGGAGGAGAGTTGGGACCTTGGAGGTCATCAAGTCCAACCCCTGCTCGAGCTGGAGACAGAATCGTAGGAGAAGAGTTGGAAGGGGCCTTGGAGGTCATCTAGCCCAATCCCCTGCTCAAGCTGGAGACAGGATCGTTAGAAGGAAAGTTGGGACCTTTGAGGTCATCTAGCTCAACCCCCTGGTCAAGCTGGAGACAGAATCGTAGGAGGAAAGTTGGGATCTCGGAGGTCATCTAGCCCAACCCCCTGCTCAAGATGGAGACAGGATCGTAGAAGGAAAGTTGGGATCTTGGAGGTCATCTAGTCCAACCCGCTGCTCAAGCTGGAGACAGAATCGTAGAACGAGAGTTGGAAGGGGCCTCGGAAGTCATCTAGCTCAACCCCCTGCTCAAGTTGGAGACAGAATCGTAGAAGGAGAAAGTTGAAAGGGGCCTGGGAGGCCATCTAGCTCAACCCCCTGCTCAAGCAGGAGACAGAATCATAGGAGAGTTGGAAGGGGCCTCGGAGGTCATCTAGCCCAACCCCCGGCTGAAGCTGGAGCCAGAATTGTAGAAGGAGACGATGTGGTTGAATTGTGGTCTTAAGCCGAGGACTTCCTATACAAATCCTCGGCTTACGACAATTTGTTTAGTGAGCATTTGCCGTTCCAAGGTGACTTAGGGCCCTTTTTTTCACCCTTAACGACCGTCACGGGATCAAACACGAGAGGTTTGCCCACCGCCTTCACTGAGCGACCTACCCTTGGGGCTCCATTGCGGTCGCCACTGGAGGACTACGTGTACAGGAGTCCTCAACTTATGACAAAAAACGCGACTTAGGGTTGTCTTGTCACACCTAACGACCGCGATGGAAATTCAGAGATTTGGCCCCTGGCTCGTACTTAACGACGGTCGCAGAAGAAGCAGGAAGCCAGATTCGCTTATGGACGGTGTGGCTAGATGAGCACCTGCCGTGATTCACTTAACAACTGTAGCAAGGACGGTCGTAAAAGCAGGACGAACTCACTTCACTTTGCGACATTAATTTGGGGCTCAATGAAATTAAAAAATTAAATTAAAGCGAGGACTGCCTGTAGAAGAGTCCTCAGTGAACGGCGGTTCATTTAGCGACCGTTCGCCATTCCGACAGCTCTGAAAAACGAGACAGGACCATTTTTCACCCTTAACGACCGTCGTATCATTCCCCCCGGTCCCGTGATCAAAATTTGGCCTTTTGTTCTAGCTTAACGACCGGCTGTCTAACTTAAAACCACTGCCCTGATTCGTTTAACAACGGTGGCAAGAACGGTTGTCAAAAGGCGCCAAATTCGAGCCTGTCCCGTTTAACGATGGAGGTTTGGGCAGGTCTTGGTCGTAAGTAGAGGACCGCCAGTATTTTTCTGCAATCCGGGCAGGTGTCTTAAGAGGGCCGCCGCGTTCACCAGCGTCTTCTTGATTTAACGATCACAGCGATTCAGTTAACGACGGGTGGCAAGGAAGTTTGGCCGTAAATCCAAGACCGCCTGTAACGGTTCTCGGGTGTTGCAGGCTGCCCAAAGGTCACGTGTCCCTTTGGACACGCGTGTCCTCTGTTTGCCGTCGCTGTCCGAAACGGCAGCAAAGCCGCAGGCTGAGCAGATGACCAAACAAACCATCATCCACCTCCTTTAGTCTCCATTGTGGCTTACCGTCCGAGGGGGTTAACGCCCGTTTTTCACACTTAACGACCGTCGTAGCATCTTCCCATGTTCCACGGGATCAAACGCCCTGGCACGCTCGGCAGCTGACTTGTCTTTACGACGGCCGCCGTATCCCGGGGTATGTGTGTGTGTGTGTCACGCGATCCCCTTTGCGCCCTTCGGACGGGAGCAGGGAGCCCGATTCGCTGAACGACGGTGAAGTCGTAAAACGGGGCAAACTCCCTTTAACAAACGCTTCGCGTCGCCGCCTCAGTTTGGCGCCCAACTGGGGTCCCCACGCGAGGACGACCTGTACGAGCGTCCTCGGCTTACGACGGGTTACCCAGTGCCCGTCGGCAGTCCTGAGGGCCCTGGAAAAGGTGAGCCAGGACCCTTATCCTCGGTTAACGACCGTCTCTTCGATCCAACTATTTGTCCGAAATGGTCTAGGGTTTCCTGCCTGAGCAGGGGGTTGGACTAGATGACCTCCAAGGTCCCTTTCAACTTTATCATTATCATTATTATTATTATTATTATTATTATTAAACTTCCAAAGCCGGGCGACACGTGGCAAGCCGGAGTCACTTCATAACTGCCTGACTCGCTTAGCGGTGCAGCGATTCGCTTAACGACGAAAGGCGAGAAACGCCGTCTAAAAGGGGCCGAAAGTTGTCTTGACTCCGTTGTGGGTCGGTCCTGCGATTGCGAAGCAACGCAAGGCGATTTCGCGAGGGTTTACACTCTGAAGTCGCACCCGAAAGAGTTTGGGGTGCGAATTCTCCCGGTGGCTTCAGGCTTTTCCCCTCTTCCAGGTCTGGGACGCAATTGAGGGGACCCTGCAGTGCAGCAGCGAGGACGGCCCGTCGGGGATCACCTCGCTGGTCTTCCTGAGTGACAGGTAGGGATTTGGGGGTCCCGGGTGCGGGTTGGGCAGGGCGGGGCGGGTGGGTGAGGAGTTCGAGAGATACGGAGAGAGAAAAGAAGGTTGAAACTGTGGGGTGAACTGGGTGTGTGTGTGTGTGTGTGTCTTGGTGGTCTCTTTTTTTTCCTCGCAGACGTCTCGTGACCCAACTAGGGAACGTCATCAGGGCTGGAAGGGAGTTGATATTCCGGCACTGAGGATGTTAGGTGGATGGGTCACGAGACGTCTGGGAGGAAAGCGCCCAGCTTAAGAGTCCTTTCTCTTCCTCCTTCTTCCTTCTTTCTTCCTCCTCTTCCTTTTCTCCTTCCTTCCTTCCTCTTTCTCCCCTTTTCTTTCTCCTCCTTCCTTCTCCTTTCTTCCTCCTCCTTTCTTCCTCTTCCTTTCCACTGCCTTTCTTTCTCTCCCTCCGCCTCCTCCTTTCCACCTTTCTTCCTCCTCCTTCTCCTTTCTTCCTCCTCCCTTTGTCCTCCTTCTCCTTTCCACCTTTCTTCCTCCTTTCTTCCTCCTCCTCTTCCTCCTTTCCACCTTCTTCCTCCTTTCTTTCTGCTCCTTTCTTCCTCCTCCTTTCCACCTCCTCCTTTCTTTCTTGTCCTCCTCCTTTCTTCCTCCTTTTCTTTTTCACTTTTCTTTCTCTCCCTTTCTTCTCCTTTTTCTTTCCACCTCCCCCTTTCTTCCTCTTCCTCCTTTCTTTCTCCTCCTTTCTTCTTTCTTCCTCATCCTCCTTTCTTCCCCCTGCTTTTCCTTTCCACCTCCTTTCTTTCTCTCCATCTTCCTCCTCCTTTCCACCTCCTTTTTTCCTCTTCCTCCTCCTCCTTTCCACCTTCTTTCTTCTTCCTCCTTCCTTTCTCCTTTCCTTTCCACCTCCTCCTTTCTTTCTCTCCATCCTCCTTTCCACCTGCTTTTTTCCTCTTCCTCATCCTCCTCCTTTCCACCTCCTTTCTTCTTCCTTCCTCCTTTCTTCTCCTTTCCTTTCCACCTCCTCCTTTCTTTCTCTCCCTCCTTCTCCTTTCCACTCCTTTCTTCTTCCTCCTCTTCTTTCTGCTTCTTTCTTCCTCCTCCTCCTCCTTCCTTTTTCTCCTTTCTTCTCCTTTTCCTTTCCACCTTTTTCTCTCCCTCCACCTTCTCCTTTCCACCTCCTTCTTCCTCCTCTTCTTTCTGCTTCTTTCTTCCTCCTCCTTTCTTCTCCTTTTCCTTTCCACCTCCTTTCTTTTTCTCCTCCTTCTCCTTTCCACCTTTCTTCTTCTTCCTCCTTCTCCTTCCTCATCCCTTTGTCCTCCTTCTCCTTTCCACCTTTCTTCCTCCTCCTTTCTTTCTTCCTCCTTCTTCCTTCTCCTTTCTTCTTCCTCCTTCTCCTTTTCCTTTCCATCTCCTTTCTTTCTCTCCCTCCTTTCCACCTCCTTTCTTCTTCCTCCTCTTCTTTCTGTTTCTTTCTTCCTCGTTCTCCTCCTTTTCCTTTCCACCTCTTTTCTTTCTCTCCCTCTTCCTCCTCCTTTCCATCTTTCTTCTTCTTCCACCTTTCTTTCTGCTTCTTTCTTCCTCCTCCTCTCTTCTCTTTTTCCTTTCCACCTCCTCCTTTCTTTCTCTCCCTCCTCCTCCTTTCCATCTTTCTTCTCCTTTCTTTCGTCTCTTTTCTTCCTCCTCCTCCTTTCTTCCTCCTCCCTTTGTCCTCCTACTTTCCACCTTTCTTCTTCCTCCTTCTCCTTTCTTCCTCCTCCTCTCTGCAACCCCCACCCCTCCCTTCTCGCACTCTGGACCGTATACAGATAAAATCTCCACACTGCGCGTTTTCCTTCTGGAAAATGAAAACTGAATATTCATGTGAGTTTTATTTCAAACGGAAGCCTCTTTTTTTCTTTTTCTTTTTGTCCTTCCTTTCTTTCTCTCTCTTTCCTCCGGATCAGGATCGTGGCTGCCAGGCTGAACGGCTCGCTGGATTTCTATTCCTTGAGGACCCCCCCATCCGTGCACCCCACTCCCTTCCAAGGTAAGTTGGGAGTTCGAGTCCTCCCCTCTGGTGAGAGCAGGCCGGCCGGCTGGGGGATTCTGGGATTTGAATGAGATACAGACTATTCACTCTTTCTCTTTCTTTTTCTTTCTCTCTCTGTCTCTTTCTTTCCTTCTTTCTTCTGTTTCTCTTTTTCTATCCTTTCTTTTTTCTTTTTCTTTCCTTTCCTTCTTTTTTTATTTCTTTCTCTTTCTTTTCTTTCCTTCTTTCTTTCTTCCTTCTCTTTCTTTCTTTCCTTCCTTTTTTCTCTTTCCTTTTTCTTTCTTTCCTTCTTTCTTTCCTTCCTTTTTTCTTTCTTTCTCTTTCTTTCCTTCCTTCTTCCTTCCTTCCTTCTCTTTCTTTTTTCCTTCCTTTTTCTTCCTTCCTTCTCTGTCTTTCCTTCCTTCTTTTTTATCTTTTTCTTTCCTTCCTTTTTCTTTCTTTCTTTCTTTCTTTCTTCCTTCTCTCTTTCTTTCCTTCCTTCTTCCTTCCTTCCTCTCTTTCTTTCTTTCCTTTCTTCCTTCCTTCTTGCTCTCTTTCTTTCTTTCTGTCCTTCCTTCTTTTTTCTTTCTTTCATTCTTTTCTTTCCTTCCTTCTTTCTTCCTTCCTTCCTCTCTTTTCTTTCTTTCCTTCCTTCTTTTTTCTTTCTCTTTCTTTCCTTTTTCTTTCTTTCCTTCCTTCTTTCCTTCTTTTTTTCTTTCTTTTTCTTTCCTTCTCTCTCTTTCTTTCCTTCCTTTTTTTCTCTCTTTCCTTTTTTCTTTCTTTCCTTCCTTCTTTCTTCCTTGTTTTCTTTCTTTCCTTCTTTCTTCCTTCTCTCTTACTTTCTTTCCTTCTCCCTTCCTTCCTCTCTTTTTCCTTTCTTTTCTTTCTTTCTTTCTTTCTTCTCTCTCTCTCTTTGTATGTCTCTCTCTCTCTCTCTCTGTGTCTCTCCCTTCGGCTCTGTTTTTCTCTTTCTCTCCTCCTGTTTCTTTTTCTCTTTCTCTGTTCTTCTCTCTGCATCTTTTTCTCTTTGCCACTTTCTTTTTTTCTTTCCCTTTCTGTTTTCTCCCGTTCCCTTTCTCTCGCCCCTTTTTTTTCTCTTCCTTACCTTTTTCTTTCTGTCACTCTCTTTCCCTTTCTCTTTTTCTCTTTCTGTCTTTTCTCCTCTCTCTTTCCCTTCGACTGTTTTTCTCTTTCTCACCTACTTCTCTTTCTTTCTCTCTCTCTCTATTTTGGTCTCTTTTTCTCCGCCTCTTTCCCTTTTCTCTTCCTCTTTCTCTGTCTCTTTCTCTTTTCTCTCTCTTTCCCTTTCACCCTTCCTCTCTCGGTATGCTTTTTCTGTCTCTGTCCTGTTACTCTTCTCTTTCCCTTTCTCTCTCTCTCACTGTCTCCCGCTCTCTTTTTCTCTTCTCTCTCTTTCCAGCCCCCCCAGGCAGGAACAGCCTCCCGTCCCCGCCGGTCTACAGCGCCAGCGACCTCCTTGCCTGTCACCTGACCCACACGGTGACCTGCGCTCACCAAAAGCCCATCACCGCCCTGAAGGCCGCGGCCGGACGATTGGTGACCGGCAGCCAGGACCACACGCTCCGAGTGAGGACGGGGTCGGGGTAGACCTTGGGCTCAGCCAGGGATGCTGGATCCTGCTCAGCTAGGGTGGGACCCCCCTAGTGTCCCGTTCGTCCCGGGGATCTCGGGCTCTTAAGCTAGGTCTGGAAGGAGTAGCCGAGGCGCCACGTTGGGGGTGGCGCGCTTTGCTCTTGGTGGTGCCTTCTGGTCCTGCCCTGGCAGACCCTCCTCGGACGGGCAAACCGGGAAGCGAGCGATGGGTCCTTCACCCTTCACCCTTAACCCTTTGCTCCCACGCCACCGCGCTTCAGGTGTATCGTCTGGAGGACTCGTGCTGCCTCTTCACCCTCCAAGGCCACTCGGGCGCCATCACGGCCGTCTACGTCGACCAGGTAGGGAAGAGCATCGAGGGCACAGTGGGCGGAGGGCCCCGCCGGGAGAAGAGGGGTTGGGTGAAGGGCACGGGCAAATCGAGCGGGAGGGGGAGCGGGTTGGACTAGATGACCTCCGGGGGGTCCCTTCCGGCTCTATGATTCTGGTAAGGGTCTCCTGCTCGAGCACGGGGGGAGGGGGGTGAAGGTCTCCCGTTCGAGCAAGGGGGTTGGACTAGATGACCTCCGGGGTGGTCCCTTCCGGCTCCATTGAGTCTACGGTCCTGTCAGGGTCTCCCGTTTGAGCAAGGGGGTTGGACTAGATGACCTCCGGGGTGGTCCCTTCCAGCTCCGTGAGTCTACGATCCTGTCAGGGTCTCCCGTTCGAGCAAGGGGGTCGGACTAGATGACCTCCGAGGTCCCGTCCAAGTCGTTCCGTGATTTGGTCGGGGTCTCCTGCTTGAGCAGGGGGTTGGACTAGAAGACCTCCAAGGTCCCTTTCTCCAGTGTTTTTATTCCATGGTTCTGTCAGGGTCTCCTGCTCATTTCCGGTTTCTCTGGAGAGCCTTCCTTCCTTCCTTCCTTTTTTTCCTCCTCCTTCCTTTTTTCCTTATCTTCCTTCCTTCCTCCTTTGTTCCTTCTATTTTCCTCCTTTCTTCCATTCCATTTTCCTTCTCTCCTTCCTTCCTTCCTTCCTTCCTTCCTTCCTTCCTTCCTTCCTTCCTTCCTTCTCCTTCTCTTTTTTCCTCCGTTCTATTTTCTTCCTCTCCCCCTTTCCTTCCTTCCCCCTCCCTCCCTCCCTTTTCTCCTTCCCTTCCTTTTTTCCTCCCTCCCGCCCTTCCTTGTTCTATTTTCCTTCCTCTCTCCCTTCCTTCCTTTCTTTTTCCTCTTTCTTCCTTATCTTCCTTCTTTGTTCCTTCTATTTTCCTCCTTCCGTTCCATTTTCCTTCCTCTCTCCCTCTTCCTTCCTTCCTTCCCTCCTTTTTCCTCTTTCTTCCTTATCTTCCTTCCTTCCTCTTTTGTTCCTTCTATTTTCCTCCTTCCCTCTGTTCCATTTTCCTTCCTCTCTCCCTCTCCTTCCTTCCTTCCTTCCTTCCTTCCTTCTTCTTCCTTTTTCCTGTTCTATTTTTCTTCCTCTCTCCCTTTCCTTCCCCCTCCCTCCCTCCCTTTTCTCCTTCCCTTCCTTTTTTCCTCCCTCCCGCCCTTCCTTGTTCTATTTTCCTTCCTCTCTCCTTCTCTTTCCTTCCTTCCTTTTTCCTCTTTCTTCCTTATCTTCCTTCCTTCTTTGTTCCTTTTATTTTCCTCCTTCCTTCCGTTCCATTTTCCTTCCTCTCTCCCTCTTCCTTCCTTCCTTCCCTCCTTTTTCCTCTTTCTTCCTTATCTTCCTTCCTTCCTCCTTTGTTCCTTCTATTTTCCTCCTTCCCTCTGTTCCATTTTCCTTCCTCTCTCCCTCTCCTTCCTTCCTTCCTTCCTTCCTTGCTTCCTTCTTCTTCCCTTTTTTCCTGTTCTATTTTTCTTCCTCTCTCCCTTTCCTTCCTTCCCCCTCCCTCCCTTTTCTCCTTCCCTTCCTTTTTTCCTCCCTCCCGCCCTTCCTTGTTCTATTTTCCTTCCTCTCTCCCTCTCCTTCCTTCCTTCCTTCCTTCCTTGCTTCCTTCTTCTTCCCTTTTTTCCTGTTCTATTTTTCTTCCTCTCTCCCTTTCCTTCCTTCCCCCTCCCTCCCTTTTCTCCTTCCCTTCCTTTTTTCCTCCCTCCCGCCCTTCCTTGTTCTATTTTCCTTCCTCTCTCCCTTCCTTCCTTTCTTTTTCCTCTTTCTTCCTTATCTTCCTTCTTTGTTCCTTCTATTTTCCTCCTTCCGTTCCATTTTCCTTCCTCTCTCCCTCTTCCTTCCTTCCTTCCCTCCTTTTTCCTCTTTCTTCCTTATCTTCCTTCCTTCCTCTTTTGTTCCTTCTATTTTCCTCCTTCCCTCTGTTCCATTTTCCTTCCTCTCTCCCTCTCCTTCCTTCCTTCCTTCCTTCCTTCCTTCTTCTTCCTTTTTCCTGTTCTATTTTTCTTCCTCTCTCCCTTTCCTTCCCCCTCCCTCCCTCCCTTTTCTCCTTCCCTTCCTTTTTTCCTCCCTCCCGCCCTTCCTTGTTCTATTTTCCTTCCTCTCTCCTTCTCTTTCCTTCCTTCCTTTTTCCTCTTTCTTCCTTATCTTCCTTCCTTCTTTGTTCCTTTTATTTTCCTCCTTCCTTCCGTTCCATTTTCCTTCCTCTCTCCCTCTTCCTTCCTTCCTTCCCTCCTTTTTCCTCTTTCTTCCTTATCTTCCTTCCTTCCTTCCTCCTTTGTTCATTCTATTTTCCTCCTTCCCTCTGTTCTATTTTCCTTCCTCTCTCCTTTTCCTTCCTTCTCCCTCCCTCCTTCCCTTTTCTCCTTCCCTTCCTTTTTCCTCCCTCCCTCCCTCCCTTCCTTGTTCTATTTTCCTCCCTCTCTTTCCTTCCTTCCCTCCTTTTTCCTCTTTCTTCCTTATCTTCCTTCCTTCCTCCTTTGTTCCTTCTATTTTCCTCCTTTCTTCCGTTCTATTTTCCTTCCTCTCTCCTTTTCCTTCCTTCTCCCTCCCTCCTTCCCTTTTCTCCTTCCCTTCCTTTTTTCCTCCCTCCCTCCCGCCCTCCCTTCCTTGTTCTATTTTCCTCCCTCTCTTTCCTTCCTTCCTTCCATCCATCTGTTCCTGCCTCCCTCTATCCTCACCTTCCCTGGACAGACGCCGTGAAAAATCCTGACCCCCCCCCTTCTCCCCCCCTCCAGACCATGGTGCTGGCGAGCGGGGGCCAGGACGGCGCCATCTGCCTCTGGGACGTGCTGACGGGCAGCCGAGTCAACCACATCTGCGCGCACCGGGGCGACGTCACGTCCCTCACCTGCACCACCTCCTGCGTCATCAGCAGCGGCTTGGACGACGTGATTAGCATCTGGGACCGGACCTCGGGGATCAAACACTACTCCATTCAGCAGGTGAGGTTCCTGTCCTGGGTGCTCAACATTTCCCAGAATCCCCCTGAGAGGGGACAGCCACCCCTTTCGAAGCTCCCACCCAGAAGGCCCGAAACGAGCTCGTCTGTTTCTTTGGGGCGGGGGGGGGGATCCAAAAAGTCTGTTTCTGTTTGAGGTCGTTCCTCTCCTTGTCCCTTTGCGATTCGCGAGGGGACGTTGCTGCGTTGCTCCAAATGGACCCTGGGGCTGTGCAGTTCGAACACCAGAGCAGTCAATGAGGCTCGCTGAAGTTACAGGGAGTCCTTGCTTTACGGCCACCGCGGAGCCCACAATTGCTGTTGCTAACTGAGGCCGTCGTTCAGTAGAACGGCGTGCTGGCCTCCTAATCGGGAGCTGTGTGTTCGATCTCGGCTCCGTCCAGTCGCTCCGATTCCACCCAGATGCAAGGGAATTTACAGATTTTTTTTTTTAAAAGTGAGACATTTGTTAAGTCCCGTTTGACGACCTTCCTTGCCACTCTTATTAAGGGAATTAATAAGGGTGGCAATTGGTTTGCTAAACCACTGGTCGTAATTCGAGGACGAACTGTGTTGCTTCACCGCCTGGCGACGCAGATCCTCCAAACATGGGAAGTGCAGAGTTTGAAGGTTCGACGTTGCCTGCGGCTTCTCGTTCTCCCCGCCGAGCCCCACTTTTGACCCTCTCTCCCATCCCTCTCTGCGCAGGACATAGGCTGTGGGGCCAGCCTAGGTGTGATCTCAGACAATCTGCTGGTGACCGGCGGTCAGGGCTGCGTCTCCTTCTGGGACATTGGCTACGGCGACTTGCTACAGACCGTCTACCTGGGCAAGAGTAACGAATCGCAGCCGGCCCGGCAGATCCTGGTGCTGGAGAACGCAGCCATCGTCTGCAACTTCGGCAGCGAACTCAACCTGGTTTATGTACCGTCGGTGCTCGAGAAGCGAGACTGAAAGGGTGGGCAGATGAAGAGGACTGGGAAGCCCCCTCCCCACCCGTCCCACCTCCTCGAGCACCTCCTGGTCACGCGGCGATACGGGGAAGACGGTTGGCAGACTTTTCTGTCCAGTGGAGAACGGGAAGGAGGCCCATGCCAAATCTTCCAGGCGTGGGTCTTCTCTGGATTTGGGGCGAGGCGGGATAAGGCCAGGTCCGCCATTCTGGAAAGGCTGCAATGGGTGGACACTGGGGAACAACATTTGGCGAGCCATGCAAGAGTCTTTACAATGGGTGGACACTGGGCAACAACACTTGGCGAGCCATGCAGGAGAGTTTTTACAATGGGTGGACACTGGGCAACAACACTTGGCGAGCCATGCAGGAGAGTTTTTACAATGGGTGGACACTGGGCAACAACACTTGGCGAGCCATGCAGGAGAGTTTTTGCAATGGGTGGACACTGGGCAACAACACTTGGCGAGCCATGCAGGAGAGTTTTTGCAATGGGTGCACACTGGGCAACAACATTTGGCGAGCCATGCAGGAGAGTTTTTGAAATGGGTGGACACTGGGCAACAACACTTGGCGAGCCATGCAGGAGAGTTTTTACAATGGGTGGACACTGGGGAACAACATTTGGCGAGCCATGCAGGAGTCTTTACAATGGGTGGACACTGAGGAACAACATTTGGCGAGCCATGCAGGAGAGTTTTTGCAATGGGTGGACACTGGGCAACAACACTTGGCGAGCCATGCAGGAGAGTTTTTGCAATGGGTGCACACTGGGCAACAACATTTGGCGAGCCATGCAGGAGAGTTTTTGAAATGGGTGGACACTGGGCAACAACACTTGGCGAGCCATGCAGGAGAGTTTTTACAATGGGTGGACACTGGGGAACAACATTTGGCGAGCCATGCAGGAGTCTTTACAATGGGTGGACACTGAGGAACAACATTTGGCGAGCCATGCAGGAGAGTTTTTGCAATGGGTGGACACTGGGCAACAACACTTGGCGAGCCATGCAGGGCAGTTGCGGCAACCTTGCAGTGACGTTTCATTTTTGGTCCGTTTGGGCAGATTCCGAAAGGATCTGCTTAGGAAGGCATGGGAGGGCTCCCCTAGTGCTGTCTTAGCCGCCCCCGTTCTCTCCCGAGCTACTCTGGTGAGATTGCAAGGATGCAGTTGGGGGCCTTGGAAGTCTACGGAAAGAAGTTAGGAAACGAGTGACACCGATTAAACCATCGCAAGCCTGGGCCAGCGAGCTGTGGCCGGCATGAAAAGTGCACAGTTACTCCCTGTCGTATTTATTTCTGCTGTACATAATTATTTATTCCGGCACATAAGCTTGCAGGGCAGAGAAGCTGGCTGTCGTAAACCAAGATCCCCAAAAGTGGGTCGCTGGCTGCTGCAAACCTAGGCTTGAGGACCAGGGATGGGGTGCCACCGATTCCCCTGCTGTTATTGAGCCACGATGGTTTTTTTCAGGAACTAGTGACATTTTTTCGGAAACACAACAGCTCTCAGCGAGCAGAAACGGCTTAGCATCATTAGTCGAGTTTTCTGTTCCAAAGATCCAGCGAGGAGGATAACTATGAGCTTAGTTTGCCTGCTAAGCCGATGTTGGTGCCGTGCCGGAGGAATCGAACCGGAATGGCAAAAGAAGGGATCATGGTTGACGAGAAGACATGAGGAATGTTCGGGAAGAGCGAGCCAGAATACGTGGGTTTTATTTTTTTTCTTAATTTAAAGCCATTCACGTAGGAACTAGTTTATTTATAATTTAGGAGAACTTGTAGGGAGGTGTGTGCCTGCTCGCTGGTGGAAGAAGGCTCGGGGGGGGGGGGGTTTGCACCCGAGACCGGATGGGATGGGCCATGGTAGAGCTGGACCATTCCACTGTTTCTCAACCATGGCCATTTCCAGATGTGTGTTTCTCATGGCTAGTTGGGGGTACCGGCAGTCCTCGAATTACGACCGTAAGAGAGCCTGCCCACGATGGTTGTAAAACAGGTCACCCACACATTTACAGCAGCCCACCATCCTGCAACCGGCTCCGACACGGGACATTTTGTTCAGCGGTGGGGAAACAAACACCGCAATAACCACGCAAACCCGTTGCTCGCTATGGCACAATGACGCCGAAAACTGGACATGCTTTGGGGCAAACGGTTGTAAATCACAGCAGGATGGTTCATGGGAGGCTGCAAATAGGGTCGGGTGATCACGTAACCGTGATGGGGATGGTGGCCGTCAGAACTTCAGATCCAATCCCCTTATTTGGGGTTGTCAGTCGTTAACTCCGAACGGGCGCTAAGAGACGGGGCCGTAAATCCAGGACTGCCTGTATTTTGAAGGTTGAAATCCGTGCAACGTTCAAGCGGCAACGGGCGAGGAAGACCGCAGCGCTGTGCAAAGCAGGCCAGACGCAACCCTTCTTCCCTGCCCTGCCACCCCTCTCCCCCCCTCCCCGGATTGGGGTCCGGTGCCCATACGATGCCTCCAGTGGCCTTAGCTCTGCTGTACCCTTTCGATTGTACGGTAGATGCTGCTTTTATACCCGATTGTGTTTTGTAACGTGGACAGGCACAAAACAGATTAAAGAGAACTAACTTCACGCCTCTTGTGTTTTTGGGGGAAAGAGACTGGAGGTGCCACGCTGGCCGCCACGGAAGGAGGGGTCTCCAGCCCCTTAGGCTGCGGCCCACTACCGACTCTTGAGTCGTAAAGAACCAGTCCGCGGAAGTGGTCACTTGCATGAGCAGCGGGCGAGCACCTGCCCGCATGCTCCGTTCACACGTGCGCGTGCCCCGTGTGCCCGTGGAGGGGTGGGGTGGGAATTGTCTGCTGTTTGTGTCAAACCATCCCCTCTCCCCCCCTTCTCCACCGGTCCGCAAAACCGGAAAGGTTGGGGAACTCTTGCTATATATGACATATTGGGGCATATCAGACGTGTCAAACCCGCGACGTCATGCAACGTTATCAGGATGGTTTTGCCATTGCTGGCAATGGGATGGGTGCGCCTTCTGGGCGACGCGTCCGGCTCGCGGGCCACCAGTTTGACATCCCTGATGTAAATATAGATATGGAGATATTGATATAGATGATAGATTATGTAGATTGATAGAGGCAGAGATAGATATACAGTATATTAATATCTATATATATCTATCTGTATATCATCTATCATCTGTCTGTCTGTCTATCTATCATCTATCTATCATCTATAAAATAAAGTTGGAAGGGACCTTGGAGGTCATCTAGTCAAAGATAGTCCAAACCACTCTCTCTCTCTCATCTATCTATATTATATATGTAAGTTGGAGGGGACCTTTGAGGTCATCTAGTCCAAGCAACTGCTCAGGCAGGAAACCCTATACCATTTCAGACAAATGGTATATATATATATATAATCCCCCCCCCCTCTCTCTATATATATGTAGGTCTTTGGTTATTTGGGTTTTCTCCCACGTAAAATTGGAAGTGTCTTGGCGATGTTTCGACGAAGTCCCATTCGTCATTTTGAGGCTGATGTTTTCAGCTTCGTGCTTCGAGGAGCACGAAGCTGAAAACACCAGCCTGAAGATGACGAATGGGAGTTCGTCAAAACGTCGCCAAGACACTTCCAATTTTACACGGGAGAAAACCCAAATAACCAAAGACCTACATACAAACACCCGCGAAAACCTCAGAAAATACACACACACACACAGATGATAGATACAGAGATGATTAGAGATATAGAGATGAATGAGATACAGATAGATATAGAAGATATAGATGACAGATAAAGATGATATATAGATCAAGACCAATGATAGGTAGAGATACATAGTAGATATAAATTATATACATATATACATATTTACATATTTGTTTTCTGAGGTTTTCGCGGGTATTTGTATGTAGGTCTTTGGTTGTTCGGGTTTTCTCCCACGTAAAATTGGAAGTGTCTTGGCGACGTTTCGACAAAGTCCCATTCGCCAAGACACTTCCAATTTTACGTGGGAGAAAACCCGAACAACCAAAGACCTACATATTTACATATATATATACATATACATATATATATATAATTATTGATAGGGATGATATATAGATAGATTGGTAGAGAAGGATGATAGGTATATAGTAGGTATACAGTAGATAAATGATATAGATGATGGAGATTATATAGATAGATGATGGATGGATGATAGGGATCTAGATAAAATAGATAGGTTATATAGAGATATAGATTAGAGAGATAGAGAGATAGATAGATAGACAGATAGATAGATATGGATGGATAGATATGGATAGATAGACAGACAGACAAAGGGGAGAGATTGTAGCATTTTTTTTAAGAATGTAAGCTGCCCAGAGTTATTACCCTGTGGTAAGATAGGGGGGGCCAATACATTTACTAAATAAAATAAATGATATTGAATTAAGGGAGGAGGGGAAAAAAAACAATCTGACAAGCGAGGATGCTGTGTCCCAACGTTCCGTTTATTTGCCTTCGTAGCAAAGAACTGAAAAAAAAAAAAAAAAAGTTTTGGTTCTAAGATACATGGGAAATGTGGAACCAGGAAGCCAATATTAACATTTGTACAGAAGGAAGAAAAGAAGCAAAAAAAAAAAAAAAAAAAATTAAACCGGAAGGTCCCCCCAAGACTGGCCGAACGCAAAACGGAGTTGGGCCGAAACGCGTCGCTCAACCAGCGCAATGGCGCGGTCCTCCGAGGTCTCCCCCGGGGAACGTCGACAGTCTCCCGCTGCTTTTCTGCTCTCGGGGAAGGAGGGAGGGGCTAATTTCAGAGGTCCCACTGCCCCCCCCATTCCTCTGGGCATGAGATAAGTGATTTTTTTTGGGGGGGGGGAGAAGCACACTGTCCACCGAGGGCTTCTGTGTCCGTTTTTCAACAGCCGTTGTCGAGTTAAAACGGGTTCTGTAGCGCGCGCGCGCGGGACGCTATCCAGCGTCGCCAAACGGATGCTGGCCCAAGCAGTGGGGGACCCCCCCCGTGGCCCCTAGGTCAAGAGTCCAGGCATTTGAGGGGGGGGAAACAACAGGAAACAGAACCTTCTGGAAACCAAATTGGGCCGTCTAAGGAAGCGAAGATCCCACTAAGAATCAACCAAGGCTTCCCCGCTTATCTAGGGAGCCCCCCCCCAAATTTGGAATCGTCTCAAGTCATACCAAGTTTAATAAAAGGGGGGGAAAGCGGGAAACGGGCAGTGCAAAGGACCCCAGCCCAGCCTTTAATGGCTCGTCCCGGGTTGACTCGCTGTAGAACAGGGGTCTAAGCTGTGTGTACGGCTGCGTGTGTGTATGTTATGTGTGTTGAACAGCTGAATCGTCTCTGCAAACCCCCCCCATCAGACTGGAGGACAGCCCCCCAAAGCTTCGAGCAAGGGCTGGCGCCGCAGCTTCGCCTCTCCCCGCCCGTCTCAGCTACCGCCACTGAAGCGTACCGAGACAAGACAGATCGTCCCGGTCAGTGGCCTTGCCTGGGGGCTGAAAAGGGACCGAAAAAAAAAAGGCAACCCAGAAAAGTAACTCTTTCGGGCGTTAGCATCGCCGCACAGTGGCTGACCGATTTACCACCATCTTGCCCCGGACTCCACCCGTAACGAGCGTCCAGGAGGACGGAGAGGGGGGAGCCGTGGCAGCCATGGGTGCGCCCGTCCACCGCTCAGGTCTTGTTGACAGTCCAGAGGGGGTCCAGCCTGCTGAGAGGATCGTCGCTGGGCAGGGCTCCTCGCAGACCTTCCCCGTTCTGCGGCTGGAAAAAACTCTGCTTGCTCACTTTGTGCCGGCCTTTCAGCGAATTGTCCAGGGTGAAGGCCTCCGGGGTGAGCGAAGCCAGGAGCTCCAAGGAGGAAGAGGAGGCCGGCGCCGGCGTGGAAGCCGACGGCTCCACCCTCGGAAGACTCGGCAAACCCTCCGTCTTTTCCTCGCTTGTCTCCTCTTCTGCGGAGCCCCGCCTCTCTACAGCTGGAACGGCCGCCGTCTCGAGCAACGTCGGAGCAGGTGTGGCGGGCGGAGAAAACGCCGGCGCGCTCTCCAGACAGCTGGGCTCGGGAAAGATCCGCGGAGCAGCGGAAGACAACGCCGGCGGGAGTGCGGCATCAGCGGGGGGGACGGAGGAGGCCGGCTCGAATCCTCGACCGTTGGGGGGAGCCTCGGCAGCGCCCGGGAGAGGCCGGATGCTGAGTTTGGCGATGGTGGCTTGGATGGAGCTGATGGGGACGTCGCCCCCCAAGACCAGATCCTGGGGGTCCTGCTGGAGGTAGACCTGGAAGGAGAGAGGGGGCGGCTGAGCAGAGCGTACAAATAGTCGACGACAAACTATTTCGTGACCGTTCAACGTTACCACGGCGCTGAAACGATCATTTTTCACACCACCCTTCCAGCATCTCTGTGGTCACGTGACTTATATTCGGCTGCTTCGCAACCGACTCACAATTTAGGACGGTCACCGTGTCCCGGAGCCACGCGACCCCCCCCCCTTTTGCGATCTTCCGACGAGCAACGTCGAGGGGGAAAACCAAATTCGCTCATAAAACCGGGCGACCAAGTGAAGGACCTCCGTGATTCCCTTCACCAATTTGTCCAAGCGGGTTTTGTCCCCCTTGACGCCTTTTCTCAAAAGTCGTAAAGCGGGACAAAACTCCCTCAATAGATTTCCCACTTCGCGACAATAAACGTCGGGCTCGGTTGCTGTCCAGAGGTGGAGGAGGACCTGTTTGAGCACCGAGGTCGTTGCCTAAAAATGCAGAGGTGTCCAACCTTGCCCACTCGTTAATACCGGTGGACTTCGACTCCCAGAATTCCCCAGCCAGGAATTCTGGGAGTTGAAGCCCGCAGGTTTTAAAAAGGCTAAGCATGGACCCGCTCAAATCTTCCCCTTTCTCAAACCATTGGGCAACCCTGCCTCACCTTCTGGGAGCTGCTGCTGGCCGGCTTGCTGGCGGAGGCTGCGGCTGTCACCCCGTGCCTCTGCAGCACCTGCGTGGCGTGCTTCAGGACCGCCTCGTAGCAGAACCGGAGGTGGACCTGCAAGAGAAATTGGCCGTCAGGACACCACCCCTCCCAAAGCAGGCCGCTACTCCGGAGCTGGACCCGCCTGCCCCCGCACCTTCTCCTGCAACATGTGTTTCCTCTGCCGACGGATGTGCTTGACCAGTTGAACCAAGTCCGGGATGCTGTTGCCGGCTTCCACTTCCTGCATGGCGGCGTAGAGGAGGCAGAAGGCGCCCGTACGCCCCACCCCGGAGCTGCCAGGAAGAAGAGAGACGATCAATCCTCCAAAATCTCGCGGGTCCATTTCCCGCATGGTTCTGGAGGACCCGAATCGGCTAGGCCCATTGGGGGGAATTTTCTGGGGGAACCCACCCCAAAAAGCTGAACGGGGCAACTCGTCGCGGCCAATCCGCCACGGCCGACTCGCTGCAGGACAGTTGAACCATTCGATTTATTTTAATTTGAGATAATTGATTTTAAATTTAGTCGTTCGCATTTCACTCTGTCCTTCTTTTTGCATCCTGTCCTTCCGTGATTCTATTTCACCGTTTCTTTGATATTAGTGCAAGTCTTCTCCTGTTGAGTTGGCCGTGACAAGTTGACCGTGACAAGCTGACTGTGACGAGTTCGCCTTGATTAGTTGACCGTGACGAATTGGCCATGACAAGTTGACCATGACGAGCTGGCTGTGACGAGTTGACTGTGACGAGTTCGCCATGATGAGTTGACCTGACGAATTGGCCGTGACGAGTTGACCGTAACGAATTGGCCATGACAAGTTGACTGTGACGAGCTGGCCGTGACGAGTTGACTGTGACGAGTTCACCGTGATGAGTTGACCATGACAAAATGGCCATGACGAGTTGACTGTGACGAATTGGCTATGACAAGTTGACTGTGACGAGTTGACTGTGATGAGTTCGCCGTGATGAGTTGACCGTGACAAATTGGCCATGACGAGTTGACCGTGACGAATTGGCCACGACAAGTTGACTGTGACGAGCTGGCCGTGACGAGTTGACTGTGACGAGTTCACCGTGATGAGTTGACCGTGACAAAATGGCCATGACGAGTTTACTGTGACGAACTGGCCATGACAAGTTGACTGTGACGAGTTCGCCGTGATGAGTTGACCTGATGAATTGGCCGTGATGAGTTGACCGTGACGAATTGGCCATGACAAGTTGACCGTGACGAGCTGGCTGTGACGAGTTGACTGTAACGAGTTCGCCATGACGAGTTGACCTGATGAATTGGCCGTGACGAGTTGACCGTGATGAGTTGACCGTAAGAAATTGGCCGTGACGAGTCGGCCCTGACGAGTTGACCATGACAAGCTGGCCATGACAAGTTCGCCGTGATGAGTTGACCCATGACAAATGGCCATGATGAACTGGCAGTGACGAGTTGACCATGACGAGTTGACTGTGACGAATTGGCCATGATGAGTTGACCCATGACAAGTTGGCCATGACGAATTGGCCGTTGACGAGTTGACCCATGACAAATTGGCCATGATGAGTTGACCCATGACAAATTGGCCATGACGAATTGGCCATGACGAGTTGACCCATGACAAATTGGCCATGACGAATTGGCCGTTGACGAGTTGACCGTGACGAATTGGCCATGAGTTGACCGTGACGAATTGGCCGTGACTACTTGACCGTGATGAGTTGGCCATGACGAGCTGACCGTGACGAGCTGGCCGTGACGAGTTGGCCATGACAAGTTGGCTGTGATGACTTGACTGTGACGAGCTGACCGTGACGAGTTGACCGTGACGAGTTGCCCGTGACGAATTGGCCACGGTGAATTGTCACAGATGCTCCCAAAAGACCCAGGAGGACAGGGGCAAGATTGGCAGCGGGACCCTCCCTGGGATCCCCAAAGTTGTGGGGTATCCCTGATGCCGGCCATTTTGGGGATTGCCAGCTGCTCCCCACGTTACCTGCAGTGAACCACAATGGGGGTGTGGAGGGGGCGCTGGTGGAGGTAATGGCTGTGCACGTCCTGGATAAACCGAAGCAGATTGCTTTTGCTGTCTGGCAGGCCGCTGCAGAAGGAAATGCGTTCATTTAGTTCACTCATTCATTCAAATTTATATTCACGTTTTCACATCGTTCACTCGTTCGTATGTGGTTTTTTTCATTCCTTGATTACACTTATCTGTGTTTTTCTTTCGTTCCTTCACTGAAACTTCGATGCAATTTTCCCTGCATTTATTCAATGTAGATGTAGCTTTTTTTCTTTCGTTTATTTGTTTCTAAATTCAATTTATTTTTTCATCCGTTCCTGCAGTCGTCATTCATCGATTTATTGAATATATGTGTGCTTTTTCCTTCCTTCCTTCCTTTATTAAATTGATCTGCACTTTTTCTTTCATTCATTCATGAAATTTGTCTTTTTCTTTCGCCGATGTTTTAAATATTCATTCGTTCATTCGTACAGGGTTTTTTTTCCATGCATTCCTTTATTGCAGTGGTTCTCAACCTTTTTAATGCCATGACCCCCAACCGGTCGTAAGTCGAGGACTACTCAACCGGTCGTAAGTCGAGGATTATGTTTGCAGAATGGGACTTTTGGCGGGCTCAGCACCATTTGCAGAATGGGACTTTTGGTGGGCTCAGCAGGGCAGAGACAGCTTGGACAATTCCTATTGGCTTTTGAAAGCCAATAGAATTAGACTCTATTCAAGACAGTCTATTTTATTGGCTTTCAAAAGCCAATAGAATAAAAGGGAGTAGCACAGCTAAGGAAAAGGGGGGAAAAAAATGGCGGACTGCGTTGTTTGGAGACCCCCGTGAAATGGTCGTTCGACCCCAAATAGGGTCCCGACTCACAGGTGGAGAACCGCTGCTTTATTGAATATATATGCGCTTTTTCATTCGTTCCTTTATCAAAATCGATCTGCGCTTTTTCTCTCATTCATTCATTCATTCGTTCATTCATTCACTCCACTCGTGTCTTTCTTTCACCAATTCGTTGAAATTGGCTTTTTTGTTCATTCATGTGGATTTTTTTCCCCACGCCTTCGTTCATGAAACATGCATGCGCCGTTTCGTTCATTCGTTTATTCAACCGATCCGCACTTTTTCTTTCATTCACTCGTTTACTACACGTCTCTTCTTCGTTCACCGATTTGTTGAAAAAAAATTTTTTCATTCACTCGCTCGTTTCTTTCGTTCGTTTACTGAGCGGGTATGTGGTTTTTCATGCCTTCGTTTCTTCAATCTGCGGCTCTTCTTCACCGATTAAAAAAAAAAATCATTCGTTCATTCGTGGTTTTTTTTTTATTCATGGGTTTATTCGTTGGTTATTCATTCAATTCAATTATCATTCATTCATTCATTCGTTCCACATACCGCCCATCTCGATCAAGCCAGTTCCCGAAGCCCATAGAGACCATCTCAGCCCCATCTGCTGCCCCCAAACCAGGCTGTCCCCCCACCCCACTGTGCCTTATGGGGCTCTGGCTGGCCTCTCCCCTTCCCACCAATCCCGGGGGGGGGATTACATACAGCTCCGGCCAGGAGGAGAACTGTAAGTGGATCATGGTCCGTTTCAAGCTCTGATCGCGGAATTGCAGCGTAAACATCCTCTCCAGGTGGGTGGGGGTCGCCTTCAGGCTGGTGAGGACCAGAGTGATGGGGCCGTGGTCCATGGGCTGGCCTCGCTCCGTGGGGAAGTAACGGACCACTTTTTGCTGTTGGGATGGAAAAGTTTAGAAGGGGGGGGTCATCTTGAAGCTCCCCCCCCCTGCCTCTCCAGCCAGGCTCCAGAAGAGACTTGTGTGCTCGTTCGGATCAGGACTCCAACCTCCATCCTCCTCAGCCGTCGCTCTTCCGGGAGGTGTCGGAGAGGAGCCCGATCAGAAGCCGGAGACCAGACCACGGAGGGGTGGAATTGCATGGCTTCTCCTTCCTATCGGCCCCAGGCAGAAGAGAGATGGGTGAGGACGATGGAGCTTGGAGTCCTGAACCTGAATAAGCAGCATCGTAAAGCCCTGTCCGGTTATCGCTGACTCAGCGCTGACCTCCCCTTTTTTGGGGGGGGGTCCCAAAAAGCTCCTCGGGATCCTTGGCGCTCTCTGAGCTTGGTGGTTTTTCTTGCAGACATTTCATGACCCAAGTAGGTAGTATCAGCAGGGAGGTGGGATTGCAGAGAGGAGGACAAAGAAGAGAAGGGAAGGAGGAGTATAAATGACATCGTCAGTGTTAGACAGGCAGTGGGATTGCAGAGAGGAGGATGAAGAGAAGGGGACGAGTCTAAATAACATCGTCAGTGCTAGACAGGAAGTGGGTTTGCATAGAGGAGGACGAAGAGAAGGGGAGGAGTCTAAATAACATCGTCAGTGCTAGAAGGGAGGTGGGATTGCAGAGAGGAGGATGAAGAAGGGGAGGAGGAGTCTAAACGACATCATCAGTGCTACAAGGGAGGTGGGATTGCAGAGAGGAGGACGAAGAAGAGAAGGGGAGGAGGAGTCTAGATAACATCATCAGTGCTAGAAGGGAGGTGGGATTGCAGCGAGGAGGACAAAGAAGAGAAGGGGAGGAGTCTAAATGACATCATCAGTGCTAGAAGGGAGGTGGGATTGCAGCGAGGAGGACAAAGAAGAGAAGGGGAGGAGGAGTCTAAACAACATCATCAGTGCTAGAAGGGAGGTGGGATTGCGGAGAGGAGGACGAAATGAAGGAGAGGAATCGTCTAAATAACATCATCAGTGCTAGATGGGAGGTGGGATTGCAGTGAGGAGGACGAAGAGGAGAAGGGGAGGAGGAGTCTAAATAACATCATCAGTGCTAGAAGGGAGGTGGGACTGCAGAGAGGAGGATGAAGAGGAGAAGGGGAGGAGGAGTCTAAACAACATCAGTGCTAGAAGGGAGGTGGGACTGCAGAGAGGAGGATGAAGAGGAGAAGGGGAGGAGGAGTCTAAACAACATCAGTGCTAGAAGGGAGGTGGGATTGCAGTGAGGAGGACGAAGAGGAGAAGGGGAGGAGGAGTCTAAATAACATCATCAATTCTAGAAGCAGCGAGGAGGACGAAGAGAAGGGGAGGAGTCTAAACAACCATCAGTGCTAGAAGGGAGGTGGGATTGCGGAGAGGAGGACAAAGAGGAGAACAGGAGGAGTCTAAACATCATCAGTGCTAGAAGGTGGGATTGCAGAGAGGAGGACGAAGAGGAGAAGGAGTCTAAATAACATCATCACTGCTAGAAGGGAGTTGGGATTGCAGAGAGGAGGACCAAGAGGAGTCTAAATAACACCATCACTGCTAGAAGGGAGTTAGGATTGCAGAGAGGAGGACGAAGAGAAGGGGTCTAAATAACTTCATCAGTATTAGAAGGAAGGTGGGACTGCAGAGAGGAGGACGAAGAGAAGAGCAGGAGTCTAGATAACATCATCAGTGATAAAAAAGAGTGGGCTGGCGGAGAGCACGAAGGGAAGAGGAAGAGGAGGGCATCCCCCACCGCCCCTGCTTCCTGGCAAAGGCCTGACCTGGATCCTAGCCCTTCTCTGCCCCCAAAGCACCGCCACTTCTAAAGCTACTGTTGCCCCCAGACTCTCGGGCTTAGTAGCAGCTCCCCACCGCAGCCAATCTGGGACAGTTTTCAATTTTATCCTTATTAAATTTATACACCATCCATCTCCCCAACCAGCCGCCCTCTCGCATAGCTTGTGGAGAAGGTCTGAAGCTCAGAGAGAACCGAGGGTGCGCTGGACCGTCGACCCACCCATTTGCTGCCGAGATCTCTCTCCGGATCACCATACTGCCATGCCAATCACCCCACAACCCAGCCCACCTTCTCCATCTCCTGCTCCGAGACCAGCATGACAACCAGCGAGACTTTCTGCTCGTAGATCATCAGCCAGAAGTCCGAGGCGGTGCCCACCAGCGGGGCCTGCGTGGCGATGATGGTGGGGCAGTAGGAGGAGAGATCCTCGATCCGGCTGGCGTTGACGTAGTCGTCCTTGCCCGATTGGAGGACCACTCGGTTCCGGTCGTACGGCATGATGTCCTGGTGGCGGTTCTTCATGGTGTAGCAACGGGCGATGGCGATGGACAGTTGGCGGGCGTCCTTCTCCTGGGCCTCTTGAAGTTCCTTCCAGATGTTATCCAGCTCGCTGACCGTGCCCGGCGCGGGGGTCTTTTCCAACTGGGATACCTTTTCTTGGAAACGTTCCAGCTCGGACAGGAGGCGCCAAAGACGCTCGGGTTTCTCGTACGGGTCGTTCTCGATCAGCTGGACGGCTTTGGGCTTCCACCCGTCCTTGGCGTCGGCCTTGGTGGGTTGAAGGAGGGGCTGCCCAACGGGCGCCTTGGGACCCCCGTGCTGGCTTTCGGGGCTGGAGGACAGCAGGTCGTCGGTGGAGCTGCTTGGGCGCTGGAATGGGACCTCGGAGGTCCAGGAGTCAGCGGACGCAGGTCCGGGAGTCAGCGAGGAGGGGGGCAGCTGGGAGGGCAAGAGGCAGGGGGGTGGGAGGGTCATGGAGGGGCGTGGAGAGGGGGCCGGTGGGGGAACTGCCCCACCGACCGGACTAGGGGCAGGAGGAACATGGTGCAGTGGCTGGCTGACCGGGGGTGGCTGAGGGCCAGCCAGCACTACAGGGACTCCCGGGAGCTGGGCTGACGTCGGAGCGACAGGAGCGAACGTGAGGGGAGCGGCTGTGCCGGGAGGGTGAAGGGGCACCTGCTGGACGGGGCCCATCATGCCTCTGGGAGCCGGGACGGAGAAGGCTAAGCTGCCCGAGTGGGGTGGCAGCGGGTCCCGGGGTGGCAGCTGATACTGTTGAGGTCCCAGCTGGAGGGGGTGCTGCCCTTGGCTAGCGGGATGCACGGGGACTGGATTCGGGAGTGCCGGTGGCCCGCGGGGCTGAGAGGGGTACGGCTGGGGGAAGGCCGGCTGTGGCTGCTGGGTCTGAGGCAGGAAGCGGGGCAGCTGCTGCTGTGGGGGCAGCACGGCGGGCCTTGCCGGCAAGCAAGACGGGCGATCGGAGGGCGGACAGAGGGGTCTCTGCGCCGGGAAGGCAGGCTGGGGCGGAGGGCCTGAGAAAGGAGGCAGGAAGGGCGGGGTGCCCGCCGGGACATAGGCACAAGGGTAGGGGGCAGACCCCCCCACAAAGCCCCCCTGGGAAGGAGGCCCAGTCCACTGGGGGAGAGAGCCGGTCATCCCCGGCGGAGCCGTGCAGCTGGAGATGGGGGCCTGCAGGCTGTCCACCGTGCTGGTGGCGGGCCGGATGCCCTGCGTGTGCGGTGGAAAATGGGGGGCAACAAAGGGGGCGGGCACCGGAGCCGGAGGCCTCGTGGCCAAAGGCATGGGAGGGCCTCCCGGCAATACTCCGCTAGATGGCGCCAGTGGTCCCGCCCCGTAAACGGACCCCGGGGCGGGACGAGGCATCGGTACGTGCTGTGGAGACGTTCTCGGGGGTGGAAGGGGGGGCCCGCGGTACGCCGGCTGTTGTGGGACGAGGGCCGGACCTGGGGTGGCGGTAACCCCCGACGGGTAGACCTGTGAATTCGGCAAAGGGGGCGGCGCGGAGCTTCGGGGAGCCAGTCCGGGGAAAGGAGCGTGTCCAGAGACGGCGGGCACCCTGGTGGAGTGGTACGGCTGGGGAGGGGGTCCGGTCACCGGGAACTGGCCCGGGTGAAAGGGAGGCCTGAGCGGAAGGCCCGCCCCAAAAGCTTCGCCCGCGGGACCCCGGATCCCCACAGCAGGCAACGGTGGCTCGCTACGTAGAGCTGCCAGCGCATCGGCGGGGAGCTGCGCCAGGTGAGCGGCCAGGACTTCCGGCGGGAGGCTGCACAGTTCCTCGGGCAAGTCGGCGAGCGAAATGGAGGCCAGGCTCAAGGGCTCGCAGCTGAGCTCGGCCTCCGAAGACTTCTTTTGGAGGGTGGGTTTCGAGGCGGTGGGCCGGGCGGGAGTCTTCTTCTTCATCTCCCTGTTGGAAGAAGCACAGAGACGGAAACGGTGAGACTCAGCTCGTAGGTTCAGCGAGGAAAGCGCCCTGCGCGATTCGGAGACGGCCACGGTTGCTCAGTCCTGGCCTACCTGGCAGGGGTGTCATTGGAAAGGTCAAGGACAACTCATCCAGGACAACCTGTTGCAGGATAACTCGTCACCGGACGATTCAACGCTGCGTTAATGCTTTCATTCGTTCCTTTTGTTGTTGGTGACTATGTTTTCGTCGAAATTATTGTAACTCTCCTATTTCTGGATTGCATTTATTACTGATTTTAGTATTATTGGCCACGGTCCGTTAATTCAATTTTTTTGTATTTGTTGAGTTGTCCGCGGCAAATTGTCCCGCGGATAAGCTGTCCGCGGCAAGTTATTTGCAGCGAATTGTCCGTGCCAAATTGTCCGCAGCAAATTATCCACAGCAAGTTGTCCACGGTGAATTATCCGCAATTATTTTTCCGCAACTAATCGTCCACAATTAGTTGTCCGCGGCAAGGTCTCCGCGATGAATTGTCCACAATGAGTTGTCCGCGGCAAGTTATCCGCGACAAATTGTCCGCGGTACCTTGTCCCCGGCGAGTTATCCCATTGTGGACAGGGGATATAGCAAGGTTAGTTCAGACAGAAGAGAATTTGAATAAATCGCGGAGCCCACCACCAATTGGGGTCTAATGAGGGCTGAAGACCCCGTCCATTTCCTCCAGAGCAGTGGTTCTCAACCTTTTTAATGCCGCGACCCCCAACTGGTCGTAAGTCAAGGACTACTCAACCGGTCGTAAGTCGAGGATTACTCAACTGGTGCAGCACCGTTTGCAGAATGGGACTTTTGGCGGGCTCAGCAGGGCAGAGACAGCCTGGACCATTCCTATTGGCTTTTGAAAGCCAATAGAATTAGACTCTATTCAAGAGAGTCTCTTCTATTGGCTTTCAAAAGCCAATAGAATAAAAGGGAGTAGCACAGCGAAGGAAAAGGGGGAAAAAATGGCGGACTGCGTTGTTTGGCGACCCCGGTGAAATGGTCGTTCGACCCCAAATGGGGTCCTGACCCACAGGTTGAGAACCACTGCTCCAGAGCCTCATAATTCACTTTGTGTCCGCAACCCGGATTGTGTCCAATTTTCAATGAATCCGAGCAACTTCCAGAATTCCCAAGCTAGCGTGATTTAACAAGGCTGGACTCCAACTCCCAGAATCCCCCAGCTGACATGCTTTAAGAGAGGAGGACTTCATCTCCCAGAATCCCTCAGCCAGGATGCATTAAAAGGGAAGGACTTTGACTCCCAGAATCCCCCAGCCAGCATGCTTTAAGAGTGTTGGATGTCAAATCCCAGAATCCCCCAGCCGGCGTGCTTTAAGTGGGGTAGACCCAGAATCCCTCAGCCGGCGTGCTTTAAGAGTGTTGGATTTCAACTCCCAGAATCCCCCAGCCAGGATGCTTTAAAAGGGGAGGACTTCGACTCCCAGAATCCCCCAGCCAGGATGCTTTAAGAGGGGAGGACTTCCAATCCCAGAATATCTCCAGCCAGCGTTCTTTAAGAGAGCAGGACTTCAGCTCCCAGAATCCCCCAGCCTGCATGCTTTAAGAGGGGAGGACTGCGACTCCCAGAATCCCCCAGCCACCATGCTCTACGCGGGGACAACTTCAATTCCCAGAATCCCCCCAGAACCGAAACCCCGCTTGAAAGAAAGCAATCCCTGTCCGACCTTCCTTCCGTAAGGAATCGCTTACTTCTCCAAGATCTGCTGGCGGTGGCTTTCGGCCATTTTGCAGGCGGCCTGGGCCTTTTCTAGAAGCTTCCCCACTTTGCTTTCCAAGTCGGCGTAAAACTCTTTCCCTTCTTGCGACTTCTTCATCAAATCCTCGTAGGCCTCGTACGAAGCCACCAATGTCTGGAGAGTTGTGTTCCACCTGGACGGAGTGGGGGGGGGGGGAACGGGACAAAAGAAGGGTGACAGGTGATTTCTTTCCCGCCGATCAAAATACAGAAAAGTCCTCGACTGACGACCAGATTGCTTAGCGACCGTTCGAAGCTAATGACAGACCTGCTCGGGAGGACGGCTACCGCTCGACAAACGACCACAATCGAGCCAGAAAAAATTTAGCTGGATGTTGATTTTTTGGGGTCTCGTTTTACGAACTGTCGTTAAGCAAATCGCATGGTTGTTAAGCAAATTACATGGTTGTTAAGCGAATTGCGCGCTCGTTAAGCAAATCGCGCGCTCGTTAAGCGAATCCGGTGCCCTCGTTCACTTTGTTCGGTCGAAAGGTCAGAAAAGGGGATGGCGTGACACACAAACACACACACACCGGGGACGCTGCGACCGTCGTAAATACGAGTCCGTCGCCAAGCGTCTGAATTTGGGATCGGGTAACTACGGGGATGGGTGTAACGGTCGTAAGGGCGAGGACTGGTTGTAAGTCATTTTTTTTCCCCAATGCTGTTGTTCCAGTCTAGGACTGTAGAACGAGTCCTCCACGTAGGACTGTGCTGCGACGTTACGACGGGCTTGTTCAGGACCTACTTCGAATGAAATTTCGACGTTCTGACCGCTCTCGGCCCCTCGCCCGCGTTCACGCCATGGCGTTCGGGCATTGGGCGACCGGGGCCCGCCTTTGCGGCTCTTTGCGGAATCCCGGGGCTCACGTGACGCCGATTGAGAGTTTGTGCCGGAAAATGGGGGTTTAATTCTGGTATCTGGCAAATCCCACCCGCCCACCCCACTGCAACGAATGGAACAGCCGAGCGCGAGCGGCGTTGAGTTTATGGCGGCCGCGGAAAAGATAATAAAAACGATCGTGTTCACGTGGGGATCTACTTAACGTTCAGCCTGACCATAATTCTGGAGGAGGAGGAGGATGGATGACGTTCCCTAGTTGGGTCACGAGACGTCTGGAAGAAAAACCACCAGAAAGACGAGCACCAAAGACCTCGTAGTCTTCTCCTCCTCCTCCTCCCTTCTTCTTCTTCCTCCTCCTCCCTTCTAGCATTGATGACGTTACCTAGTTGGGTCACGAAACGTCTGCAAGGGAACCACCCAGGTCAGACAGCCCTGCGGACCCCGTGTCTTCCCCATGGACATCTTCGTGTCCTCCTACCTCCCTGGCTCAAAGTTTCGGTCTACTCTACTCAACCGAGTTGGGGGGGGGAGTCCTTTCCTGCCCGTCGCCCTCCAACTCACTTGTGCTCGACCTCGGCCAGGATCTTGCGAACGGCGGCGTACTTGACGTTGGCCTCGGTCAGAGCTTTGAGGATGTTCTCCTGGGCGGCCAAGTTCTGCTCCAAGTAGACCTTGATCTGGTCGTACTTCTTCAGCTGCTCTTCAAAGAGTTTCTGGAAAGTAAGATGGGACTCGGAGTGAAGGCAAAGCGACGAAGACGTGGGAGGAGGAGGGATGGAAAGATGGGAGAAGATGGAGGCAAGGAGGAAGGTTTGAGGTGGCCATCTTAGAAGCATAGAAGGTGGACCTCTTGAGGTGGCCATCTTAGAAGGTTCTGGAGGTGGACCCCTTGAGGTGGCGATCATAGATGCTACTGGAGGTGGAGATGTTGAGGTGGCCATCTTAGAAGCTTCTAAGAGGTGGACCTCTTGAGATGGCCATCTTAGAAGCTTCTAGAGGTGGACCTCTTGAAGTGGCCATCTTAGAAGGTTCTATGGATGGACTTCTTGAGGTAGCCATCTAGGAAGTTTTGAGATGGCCATCTTAGAAGCTTCTAGAGGTGGACCCCTAGAGATTGCCATCGTAGATGCTACTGGAGATTTTGAGGTGGCCATCTTAGAAGGTTCTGGAGGTGGACCCCTTGAGGTGGCCATCTTAGAAGATTGTGGCGGTGGACCCGTTGAGGTGGCCATCTTAGAACCTTCTAAGAGGTGGACCTCTTGAGATGGCCATCTTAGAAGCTTCTAGAGGTGGACCTCTTGAACTGGCCATCTTAGAAGGTTCTATGGATGGACTTCTTGAGGTAGCCATCTAGAAAGTTTTGAGATGGCCATCTTAGAAGCTTAGGAGGTGGACCCCTAGAGATTGCCATCGTAGATGCTACTGGAGATTTTGAGGTGGCCATCTTAGAAGGTTCTGGAGGTGGACCCCTTGAGGTGGCCATCTTAGAAAATTGTGGAGGTGGACCCGTTGAGGTGGCCATCTTAGAAGCTTCTAAGAGGTGGACCTCTTGAGATGGCCATCTTAGAAGCTTCTAGAGGTGGACCTCTTGAACTGGCCATCTTAGAAGGTTCTATGGATGGACTTCTTGAGGTAGCCATCTAGAAAGTTTTGAGATGGCCATCTTAGAAGCTTAGGAGGTGGACCCCTAGAGATTGCCATCGTAGATGCTACTGGAGATTTTGAGGTGGCCATCTTAGAAGGTTCTGGAGGTGGACCCCTTGAGGTGGCCATCGTAGATGCTACTGGAGGTGGAGATGTTGAGGTGGCCATCTTAGAAGCTTCTAAGAGGTGGACCTCTTGAGATGGCCATCTTAGAAACTTCTAGAGGTGGACCTCTTGAAGTGGCCATCTTAGAAGGTTCTATGGATGGACTTCTTGAGGTAGCCATCTAGGAAGTTTTGAGATGGCCATCTTAGAAGCTTAGGAGGTGGACCCCTAGAGATTGCCATCGTAGATGCTACTGGAGATTTTGAGGTGGCCATCTTAGAAATTTCTAGAGGTGGACCTCTTTAGGTGGCCATCTTAGAAGATTCTAGAGGTGGACCCCTTGAGGTGGCCATCTTAGAAACCTCTATGGATGGACTTCTTGAGGTAGCCATCTAGGAAGGTTCTTGAGGTGAACTCTTTGAGGTTGCCATCGTAGATGCTACTGGAGATTTTGAGGTGGCCATCTTAGAAGTTTCTAGAAGTGGACCTCTTGAGGTGGCCATCTTAGAAACCTCTGGGAGTGAAACTCTTGAGTGGCCATCTTAGAAACCTCTGGGGGTGGACCTCTTGAGGTGGTCATCTTAGAAGGTTCTGAAGATGAACCTCTTGAGGTGGCCATCTTAGAAACCTCTGGGGGTGGACCTCTTGAGGTGGCCATCTTAGAAGGTTCTGGAGGTGGACCCCTAGAGGTTGCCATCGTAGATGCTACTGGAGATTTTGAGGTGGTCATCTTAGAAGTTTCTAGAGGTGGACCTCTTAAGGTGGCCATCTTAGAAGGTTCTGGAGGTGGACCCCTTGAGGTGGCCATTTTAGAAACCTCTGAGGGTGAACCTCTTGAGGTGGCCATCTTAAAGGTTTCTGGAGGTGGATTCCTTGAAGTGGCCATCGTAGATGCTACTGGAGGTGGAGATCTTGGGGTGGCCATCTTAGACGCTTTTAGAAGTGGACCTCTTGTGGTGGCCATCTTAGATGCTTCTAGAGGTGGACCTTTTGCAAAAACATGGTGGAACAAGGAAATGGGCGAGCTAACCTTCTCCAATCTCCTGTCCTCCAGGGGTTTTGGACACCACAGCTAGATGGAGGCATCTCAGAGATATCTGTAGGACATTTTGACCAGCTTGGAGCTTCTGGGAATTGAAGTCCACCTGTCTTAAAGCATATCAGCTAGGAGATTCTGGGCGTTGAAGTCCACTCCTCTTAAAGCACGCCGGCTAGGGGATTCTGGGAGTTGAAGTCCTCCCTCTTAAAGCATGCTGGCTGGGGGATTCTGGGAGTTGAAGTCCTCCCTCTTAAAGCATGATGGCTGGGGGATTCTGGGAGTTGAAGTCCTCCCTCTTAAAGAATGATGGCTGGGGGATTCTGGGAGTTGCAGCCCCGTATTAAAGCATCCTGGCTAGGGGATTCTGGTAGTTGAAGTCCATCCCTCTTAAAGAATGATGGCTGGGGGATTCTGGGAGTTGCAGCCCCCTATTAAAGCATCCTGGCTGGGGGATTTTGGGAGTTGAAGTCCTCCCTCTTAAAGAATGATGGCTGGGGGATTCTGGGAGTTGCACCCCTCTATTAAAGCATCCTGGCTGGGGGATTCTGGGAGTTGAAGTCCTCCCTCTTAAATCATCCTGGCTGGGGGATTCTGGGAGATGAAATCCTCCCCTCTTAAAGCATGCCGGCTGGGGGATTCTGGGAGTTGAAGTCCGCCAAGGCCTTTCTCGTTCCACTCTCGGATTCACAAGGCCTAAGGAACACCCACGTGGGGGGCCAGGCTAAGCCACGATCGCATCCTGGCTTCTCACCTTCATCTCGGACTGATCGGTGGTGACCAGGGAGGTGGTCAGATCATCCTTCTGGATCATCTCCCGCAGCTGCTGCTCCAGGGACATTCTCTGGTCTTTCATTTCCTGGACTTTGGCCAGCATCCGCTTCAGGTTCTGGATGGCTTGATGGTCGTCTGAAGGCGAGAACCCGGGTCAGGGTTTGGGGGATAAGGCAGGCCAGCCTTCAGCCTAATCCCTAACCCCCGTAAGCCTCACCCTCCACCCTAATCCTAAACCCTAATCCTTCACCCGTAACCCTTCGCCCTCAGGGTCCAGCCTAAGTCGTCATCCTTAATCCTAATCCCTAATCCCCATCCCTAACCCTTATCCACCCCCTCAACCCTAACCCTCACCGTTAACCCTAATTCTTAATCCATCATCCTTATCTCTAACCCTCAACCCTAATCCTAACCCTTAATCCCTCAATCCTAATCTTAACTCCTTAATCTTCAACCCTAATCCTTAATCCCTAATCCTCATCCTAGCCCCTAACCCTTATCCACACGCTCAACCCTGTCACTGTTCACCCTGATCCATAATCCATCATCCTCAGCCCTAATGCCAACCCTTAACCCTAATTCCTAACCCTCGCTCTTAACCCTACTCCTAAACCTTCATCCTTATCCTTATCCCTAACCCTAACCCTAACCCTCACCACTTAACCCTAATCCTTACCCTCGTCCCTAACCCTTAATCCTAATCCCTAACCCTAAAACACCTTTAATCCTAACCTGTAATCATTAACCCTAAACCCTAATCTGAAGCTTTCATCCTTAGCCCTAACTCCTAACCCTCACCCTTAGCCCTAACCCTTAATCCTTCATCCTAATCCTCAGCCGGAACCCTTAATCCCAATCCCTAACCCCCCAGCTTTAACCCTAATCCTAACCCTTAATCCTAATCTAAACCCTTCATCCTTAAGCCTAATTCCTAAACTTCACCCTTAACCCTAATCCTTACCCTCGTCCCTAACCCTTAATTCTAATCCCTAACCCTCACCTTTAACCCTAACCCTTAGCCCTAATTCCTAACGCTCATCCTTAGCCCTAATCCTTAATCCTAATCCTTAGCCCTCACCCTTAATCCTAATCCCTAACGCCCACCTTTAACCCTAATCCTAACTCTTAGGCCTTAACCCTTATCCAAACCCTCACCCTTAACCCTAATCCTTCACCCTAATCCTTATCCTCCGCCCTAACCCTTAATCCTAATCCCTAACCCCCACCCTTAACCCTCATCCTTCATCCTTTACCCTAATCCTTATCCTCCGCCCTAACCCTTCATCCTAATCCCTAACCCCCGCCCTTAACCCTAATCCTTATCCTCCACCTAACCCTTAATCCTAATCACTCACCCCCACCCTTAGCCCTAATCCTTCATCCTTCACTCCAGGACCCCTGTGCGCCCCATTTTTTTTTTTTTTTTTTTTTACCCAGAAGGCTTCGGAGGCGGCTGGGGGCTGGAGAGGCAGAGGTGCCCGAGAGGCAAAGCGGGCACGGGGCAGGAGACAGGGGTGTGTGTGTGTGTGCGGGGGGGGTGTCTCCCTCCCCCCTCCAACCCCCCCATGCCCCCCCACCCCCTCCGAGCTGCGGGGGGGGGCGGTCGTGGCCCCCGTCCTCACCCTCCGAGAGGCTGGGGGTGGGCAGGGCGGCCTTGACCCCCTCCAAGGGCCCGCTCAGCAGGCGGAGGTTGGCGATGTGCAGGTGCATGGCCTTGTGCAGCTCCGTGTTGGTGAAGCTGGCCGCCCGGTGGACCTCCATGTACTTGGACCACTCCTTGGCCACCTCGGCCAGGCTGGCGGAGGAGGAGGAGAAGGAGGAAGAGGAGAGGGGGGGCTCCGGGGGCTGAGGGGGCGGGGCCTTGCCCAGGGTCTCCGCCAGCTTCCGCTCCTGGGCCTCCCCTTCCTCCAGCAGGTCCTGGATCTCCTTGAGGGAGGCTTCCACGTCCGTGAAGACGCCCGAGAGGACTGCCGGGGGGGGGGGGGAGAAGGGGGCGGAGGGAGGGGGAAAAAAAGGAAAGAGGGAAGGAGGGAGGGAAGGAGGAAGGAGGCAAGGAAGAATGAAAGAGGGAGGGAGGGAGGAAGACAGACAGAAGGAAGGGAAGGGAAAAGAGAGGGAATGTGAAAAAGGGAGGGAGGGAAGGAGGAAGGAGGGGAGGGAAGGAGGGAGGGAGGGAGGCAAGGAAGAATGACAGAGGGAGGGACGAAGGAGAAAAGAGAGGGAATGTGAAAAAGGGAGGGAGGGAGGGAGGGAGGAGGGGAGGGACATAAGAAAGAATGAAAGAGAGAGGGTGGAAGGAAGGGAGGGAAGACAGGAGAAAAGAGGGGAATGTGAAAAAGGAAGGAAGGAAGGAAGGGAGATAAGAAAGAACGAAAGAGGGAGGGTGGGAGGAAGGAAGACAGAGGGAGGAGAAAAGAGGGAATGTGAAAAAGGAAGAGAGGGAGGAAGGAAGGGAGGAGGGAGAAGAAAGGATGAAAGAGGGAAGGAGGGAGGGAAGGAGGAAGGAGGGGAGGGAAGGAGGGAGGGAGGGAGACAAGGAAGAATGACAGAGGGAGGGACGAAGGAGAAAAGAGAGGGAATGTGAAAAAGGGAGGGAGGGAGGAAGGGAGGAGGGAGGGAGATAAGAAAGAATGAAAGAGGGAGGGTGGGAGGAAGGGAGGGAAGACAGAAGGAGAAAAGAGGGGAATGTGAAAAAGGCAGGAAGGGAGATAAGAAAGAAAGGGAGGGAGGGAGGGAGGAAGGAAGACAGAGGGAGAAAAGAGGGAATGTGAAAAAGGAAGAGAGGGAGGGAGGAAGGGAGGAGGGAGGGAGAAGAAAGGATGAAACAGGGAAGGAGGGGAGGGAAGGAGGGAGGGAGGGAGGCAAGGAAGAATGACAGAGGGAGGGACGAAGGAGAAAAGAGAGGGAATGTGAAAAAGGGAGGGAGGGAAGGAGGAAGGAGGGGAGGGAAGGAGGGAGGGAGGGAGGCAAGGAAGAATGAAAGAGGGAGGGACGAAGGAGAAAAGAGAGGGAATGTGAAAAAGGGAGGGAGGGAGGGAGGGAGGAGGGGAGGGACATAAGAAAGAATGAAAGAGAGAGGGTGGAAGGAAAGGAGGGAAGACAGGAGAAAAGAGGGGAATGTGAAAAAGGAAGGAAGGAAGGGAGATAAGAAAGAACGAAAGAGGGAGGGTGGGAGGAAGGAAGACAGAGGGAGGAGAAAAGAGGGAATGTGAAAAAGGAAGAGAGGGAGGGAGGAAGGGAGGAGGGAGAAGAAAGGATGAAAGAGGGAAGGAGGGAGGGAAGGAGGAAGGAGGGGAGGGAAGGAGGGAGGGAGGGAGACAAGGAAGAATGACAGAGGGAGGGACGAAGGAGAAAAGAGAGGGAATGTGAAAAAGGGAGGGAGGGAGGGAGGGAGGAGGGGAGGGACATAAGAAAGAATGAAAGAGAGAGGGTGGAAGGAAGGGAGGGAAGACAGGAGAAAAGAGGGGAATGTGAAAAAGGAAGGAAGGAAGGGAGATAAGAAAGAATGAAAGAGGGAGGGTGGGAGGAAGGAAGACAGAGGGAGGAGAAAAGAGGGAATGTGAAAAAGGAAGAGAGGGAGGGAGGAAGGGAGGAGGGAGGGAGAAGAAAGGATGAAACAGGGAAGGAGGGGAGGGAAGGAGGGAGGGAGGGAGCAAGGAAGCATGACAGAGGGAGGGACGAAGGAGAAAAGAGAGGGAATGTGAAAAGGGAGGAAGAAGGAGGAGGGGGGAGATAAGAAAGAAGAAAGAGGGAGGGTGGAGGAAGGGAGGGAAGACAGAAGGAGAAAGAGGGGATGTGAAAAAGGCAGGAAGGAGATAAGAAAGAAAGAGGAGGAGGGAGGGAGGAAGGAAGACAGAGGAGAAAAGAGGAATGTGAAAAGGAAGAGAGGGAGGGAGGAAGGGAGGAGGGAGGGAGAAGAAAGGATGAAACAGGGAAGGAGGGGAGGGAAGGAGGGAGGGAGGGAGGCAAGGAAGAATGACAGAGGGAGGGACGAAGGAGAAAAGAGAGGGAATGTGAAAAAGGGAGGGAGGGAGGGAGGGAGGAGGGGAGGGACATAAGAAAGAATGAAAGAGAGAGGGTGGAAGGAAGGGAGGGAAGACAGGAGAAAAGAGGGGAATGTGAAAAAGGAAGGAAGGAAGGAAGGGAGATAAGAAAGAACGAAAGAGGGAGGGTGGGAGGAAGGAAGACAGAGGGAGGAGAAAAGAGGGAATGTGAAAAAGGAAGAGAGGGAGGGAGGAAGGGAGGAGGGAGGGAGAAGAAAGGATGAAAGAGGGAAGGAGGGAGGGAAGGAGGAAGGAGGGAAGGAGGGAGGGAGGGAGACAAGGAAGAATGACAGAGGGAGGGACGAAGGAGAAAAGAGAGGGAATGTGAAAAAGGGAGGGAGGAAAGAAGGGAGGAGGGAGGGAGATAAGAAAGAATGAAAGAGGGAGGGTGGGAGGAAGGGAGGGAAGACAGAAGGAGAAAAGAGGGGAATGTGAAAAAGGCAGGAAGGGAGATAAGAAAGAAAGAGGGAGGGAGGGAGGGAGGAAGGAAGACAGAGGGAGAAAAGAGGGAATGTGAAAAAGGAAGAGAGGGAGGGAGGAAGGGAGGAGGGAGGGAGAAGAAAGGATGAAACAGGGAAGGAGGGGAGGGAAGGAGGGAGGGAGGGAGGCAAGGAAGAATGACAGAGGGAGGGACGAAGGAGAAAAGAGGGAATGTGAAAAAGGGAGGAAGGGAGGAGGGAGGGAGATAAGAAAGAATGAAAGAGGGAGGAAGGGAGGGAGGAAGGGAGGGAAAGCAGAAGGAGAAAAGAGGGGAATGTGAAAAAGGAAGGAAGGGAGATAAGAATAAAAGAGGGAGGGAGGAGAAAAGAGGGAATGTGAAAAAGGAAGAGAGGGAGGGAGGAAGGGAGGAGGGAGGGAGAAGAAAGGATGAAACAGGGAAGGAGGGGAGGGAAGGAGGGAGACAATGAAGGATGACAGAGGGAGGGACGAAGGAGAAAAGAGAGGGAATGTGAAAAAGGGAGGGAGGGAGATAAGAAAGAATGAAAGAGGGAGGGTGGGAGGAAGGGAGGGAAGACAGAAGGAGAAAAGAGGGGAATGTGAAAAAGGAAGGGAGATAAGAAAGAAAGAGGAGGGAGGGAGGAAGGAAGACAGAGGGAGAAAAGGGGGAATGGGAAAAAGGAAGAGAGGGAGGAAGAGAGGAGGGAGGGAGGGAGAAGAAAGGATGGAAGAGGGAAGGAGGGAGGGAAGGAGGAAGGAGGGAGGGAGGCAAGGAAGAATGACAGAGGGAGGGAGGGAAGAAAGGGAGATAAGAAAGAATGCAAGAGGGAGGGGGGAGGAAGGAAGAGAGAAGGAAGGGAGAAGGGAGGAGAAAAGAGGGAATGTGAAAAAGGGAGGGAGGGAGAAAGGGAGGGAGAAGGAAGGATGAAAGAGGGAGGGAAGAAGGAAGGAGGGAAGGAAAGATGGGAGGGAGGGAGATAAGAAAGAATGAAAGAGGGAGGGTAGAAGGGAGGGAAGACAGAATGGAAAAGAGAGGGAATGTGAAAAAGGAAGGGAGGGAGGGAGGGAAGAAGGAAGGGAGGAGGGAGGGAGAAGAAAGAATGAAAGAGGGAGGGAAGGAAAGAAGGAGAAAGAAGAGAAAAGAGGGAATGTGAAAAAGGAAGGGAGGGAGGGAGATAAGAAAGAATGAAAGAGGGAGGATGGAAGGGAGGGAAGACAGAAGGAAGGAAGGAGGGAAGAAAGAAGGAGAAAAGAGGGGAATATGAAAAAGGGAGGGAGGGAGGAAGATAAGAAAGAATGAAAGAGGGAGGGTGGGAGGAAGGAAGGCAGAAGGAAGGAGAGAGAAAAGAGAGGGAATGTGAAAAAGGAAGGGAGGGAGGGAGGAAGGGAGGAGGGAGAAGAAAGAATGAAAGAGAGAGGGAGGAGGAAGGAAGGAAAGAGGGAGAAGAGAAAAGAGAGGAATGTGAAAAAGGAAAGAAAAGAGGGAGGGAGACCAGAAAGAGTGAAAGAGGGAGGGTGGGATGAAGGAAGGGAAGACAGGAGGGAGAAAAGAGGGGAATGTGAAAAAGTGAGGGAGGGAGGAAGCAAGGGAGGGAGGGAAGAAGGAAGGCGGGAGGGAGGAAGACAAGGAAGAATGAAAGAGGGAGGGAGGGAGGGAAGAAGGAAGGAAGAAGGAAGGAAGGAGGGGAAAAGGGGAATGTGAAAAAGGGAGGGAGATAAGAAAGAATGAAAGAGGGAGGGTGGAAGAAAGGGAGGGAAGACAGAAGGAGAGAGGAGAAAAGAGGGAATGTGAAAAAGGGAGGGAGGTAGGAAGGAAGGGAGGGAAGAAGGAAGAAGAATGAAAGAGGGAGGGAGGAGGAAGGACGGAAGGAAGGAGGGAGGGTGGAGAAAAGAGAGGAATGTGAAAAAAGGGAGGGAGGAAGAAAGATTAACGAAAGGCTCCAACTTCTGCTCCCCAGAATTCAGCTGGTCCTGCAGCTCAGGGTCGAGCTGCTAGTCCTCAGCGTTCTCCGAGCTCCCCACCGGCACTGCCCCCCCCCCCAACTCCAGCGAAGCCCCCCTCCCCAACCAAGATCCCAACCATTTAGCACCCTCCCCTGCTCTCCCCGCTTTGGGGACCAGAGGAAACCGTCCCTCTTCCTTCGCCAGGGCGGGATTCGTCCTCGGGACCCTTACCTTGCATGGACTGGACCAGGTTTTTCACGGTCTCCGGGCGGACGCTGAGGGCGGCGCACTTCTCCATCAAGAGGGGCGGGATGTGGTTATACATGTCGAGATTGTCCACCGTCTCGGGGTCCAGCTGGAGGGAGTCCATGAACTGCCTAGCGGGGGACGAAAACCCAGTCGATCTTGGTTTGTGCCGGAGGTCCTCGATTTACGACCGCAAGGCAGCCTCCCTCCCTCCCCACCTTTCCGTCGCTTCAGCTGAGGACGACATTTCTCCTTTCCTCCACCCCCTTCGTTGTTAGCTGAAAACCCCGCAGTCACACGGTCGTTAAGCGAATCAGGCTCCCCCGTTCCGGGAGGCCGCCAACGGGGATCACCCCCCATGGCCACCGTCATAAATGCGAGTCGGTCGCTGGGTGTCTGAATTGTAATCACGTGACCACCCGGGACGCTGCGACCGTCGTAAATGCGAGTCGGTTGCCCGGCGTCTGAATTTGGATCACGTGACCCCGGGACTCTGCGACCGTCGTAAATACGAGTCGGTTGCCCAGTGCGTGAATTTGGATCACGTCATCCCGGGACTCTGCGACCGTCGTAAATACGAGTCGGTTGCAAAGTTCCTGAAGTTTGATCACGTGACACTGGGATGCTGTGACCGTCGTAAATGCGAGTCGGTTGCCCAGCGTCTGAATTTTGATCACGTGACCCCGGGACTCTGCGACCGTCGTAAATACGAGTCGGTTGCCCAGTGTGTGAATTTGGATCACGTCATCCCGGGACTCTGCGACCGTCGTATATACGAGTCGGTTGCAAAGTTCCTGAAGTTTGATCACGTGACACTGGGATGCTGTGACCGTCGTAAATGCGAGTCGGTTGCCCAGCGTCTGAATTTTGATCACATGACCCCAGGACACTGCGACCGTCGTAAATGTGAGTCGGTTGCCCAGCGTCTGAATTTTGATCCCGTGACCCCAGACGCTGCGACCGTCGTAAACACGAGTCGGTTGCCGAGCTCAGATATGCTCAGGAACTGTTTAGCATCTGGAAACAGCCATGTACACTAGACAGTCCTTGAATTACGACGGCCTTTCAAGACAATCGCCACGTAAATTCTGCCCCATTTTACGACACTTTCCCGCCAGTTGTTAAGTGGATGGCTTGCCTTGGTTAAGTTAGTGACCGTTCAAAGTTATGACGGGGGAAAAAAAAGGGACGGACTGTTTTTGCCACTTACGACCGTTTTTTCCCCGCTTACGACCATTCCAGATCAAAATTCATACGCTTGGAGATTGACTCGCGTTTACGACGGTCGTAGGGTCCCCGGGGTCTGAGGAGCAAAGCCGAGGGGGCAGCCCGATTCACTTAACAACCGTGTGGCAAGAAAAGTCGTAAAATGGGGCCAAACTCCCTTCACAAAGGTCTCACTTAACAACGGAAATTTTGGGCAAACTCAACAAGTGGTCTCACTTAGCAACGGAAACGGCTACGGTTGTGGGCGTAAGTCGAGGACTGCCGATACGCTTTATTTTTTCCCCATGTTTTAAAAAAAACCCTGTAAAGGGGAGACCCTACTTAGGCAGTCCTCTCATTTGTGATGAAGCATTTAGTGACCGTTCCAAAGTTGCGACAACATGCCGAGGATCGCGACCGTCGTAAATCCGAGTCGGTGGCCAAAGCGTCTGAATTTTGATCGGGCAGACGCAGGGATGCCGCGAGGGTCCGTTAAGTGTGAAAAAATGGTCCATCGTAACTTCGGTCACTAAGCGAATCACTCCCTGTCCAAGGATCCCTCCTTCTTCCTTCCCGGGCTCTACAGCATGGGCTATGTGATCCCTCCTCCCTTCCCAAACCCATCTTAGAAAAAAAACACACAGACATACTCCAGGATCTCGTTCTTGGTGTCAATCGTGGTCATGACTTCCCTCAACAGCTTGGCTTTCTCCTCGCTGAGGACCGGAAACATGAGAGAGAAAAAGGAGGAGGAGAAGACATGAGGTGGAGAAGAAGACAACTGAGCTTCAGGAGGAAAGGATGGAACACCGTCAAGAACTTCGCTCCGGTCGGATCCGAACCCAGAACTGAGCCCAGCTTCTGCTGGGCTTCTCAAGGGTGGACGGTGGAACTCACCGCCACTAGGTGGAACTCAACGCTTCCCTTGAGGAGCATCTGAGGGCTCCAGCTGAGGCAGCAGTCGACAGCCCACAATCCTCAGCTGCAACATCTTCCTTTCAGTCACTACGTATAACCCCACTGTTGCCCAAGCAGCCACAACTCCTCATTTACTACCAGGTGCAATTCAAGGCGTTGGTCATCCCCTCCAAAGACCTCTAAGGAGGCTTTCTACTACCCCGATGGGACAAAGCCCAGCCCACTCGCTCCCAGAGAATTCCCAGGGAATTCCAGCAAGGCGGTCCTGTGGAACCTCCTGCCACTAGAAGGAAGACTGCTTCGCACCCTTTCGGAAGCCATGGATGTCCGTCAAAAGCTGGTTTGTCCTACCTGTACAGCGACGAGGCTTCGTGGGCCGCCATGGGTACCAGCTTGGCGAAAATATCCGGCCCGGTTACGGCTGGATCGGTGGGGTTGACGGGGAGGGCTTTGACCAACGACGCCCCTGTAGGGTAGACAACAGCAATGACAGAGATACAAGAGCCTCCCCCCGCCCTAGGTTTCGACAGGTGGTCCTCGACTTACGACCGCGAGATTTTTCCAGACGAGTGTAAGCAAGCCATGACCGGATTTTCACGACCGTTTCGGCCCCCTGGTTCTCACGGGAATCACTTCGGTTGTTGAGTGAATCGCCCTGGCGTTAAATGGATCCGGCCTCCCACGCTTGGAAGGTCACAAAGTGGGGATTCCGGCTGGACATCCCTCCCCTCCCCCTGGGGACGCTTCCCATTGTCAGAAATACAATCGCCAAGCCAATTTTTGGTTTGGTGACGGTGAGGACGTGGCGACGGTCGTTAAGTGGGAGAAACGGACCAAAGTCACTTTTTCTCCTGCGTCGTTGTGACTTCAAATGGTCACTAAATGAATGGACATAAGTCGAGGACTCCCTATTCATGGTTATTCAGTTTTTTACAGGTGGAAAAAAAAGCATACTGGTAAGTCCTCTTGTTACAAGCCCCAAATATACGCTAAGTGAGGCATAACAAATAACGACCAGAACAGAGCCCCAAATATCCGTTGAGGGATAACAAATTAACGACCACAAAAGCGCTCCAAATATCCATTGAGGGATAACAAATCAACGACCACAAAGGTGCTCCAAATATCCGTTGAGGGATAACAAATTAACGACCACAAAGGCGCTCCAAATATCCATTGAGGGATAACAAATTAACGACCTCAAAGGCGCTCCAAATATCCGTTGTGAGGGATAACAAATTAACGACCACAAAGCCGCTCCAAATATCCGAGACACAACAAATATCTCACTTAACAACAGAAATTCAGGACTCAATTGTGGTCGTTAAGACGAGGACTTACGAGTACGCTTTTGTTTTTTCCCCCCTGTAAAAAATTTGAGTTTTGCCCCGTTTTATAATCTTTCCCGCCACCGTTGTTAAGTGAATCACTGCAGAGAGACAGTCGTTTTAGGGAATCCTGCTCCCCCGTTGACTTGGCTTGTCGGAAGATAGCAAAAGGGGATCACAGAGGAGCCCGGCACACCGCGACCGTCGTAACTACGAGTCGGCCCGCCAATTTCTGAACTGCGCTCGTGGGACACTGGAACAGTCGTGTGAAAAACGGTCGTGTGAAAAACGGTCATAAGTCACATTTTTTTTAGTGTCGTCGTAACTTCGGACGGTCAATAAACACACGGTTTACAAGGAACGAACACTTTTTTGAGGATTTGGACCCAAAGTGACAACAATTGATCCCCACAAGGCTAATTTTGTAAATTAAACGTCAAGTGGATTCACTTATCAAACTCCAGATTTTTGGTTCGCTGTTTAAAAAAAATAAAAAATGGCCAGCTGGGGGATTGTGGGAGTTGAAGTCCTCCCCTCTTAAAGTAGGCCACTCCCCCTTTACCTTTAATGGACTGCAAAGTATCCAGCGCAGGGACGGCCTCATGGTAGATGAAATCGTTGTCCTTTTTCGACGAATTATACCTAAGAAGGAAGAAGGGCTCAGAAAACTCCCCGTTAGATCACCCAGTGGCTCCCTCTCCTTTCCCAGCCCCGCCAGCTCCCAGGACAGGATTTGCACCAGCGACCAGATTTCTGCTGCCCATTTTGGACACCTAAAGATCTTTCCAGGGTGAGGCTGATGGGGAGGGAAGGAAAGGATCCATTCTGGCTAGCACAGGGAAGTCCTTGACTTACGACGACCATGGAAGGCAACGTATTCGTCACTAAGCGAGATAGTTGTGACGTGAGTTTGGGCTCATTTTACTGTCTTTTTTGCCAGTTGTGAAGTTCGCCATATGGTCGTTAAGTGGATCTGGCCTACCCTTTGTCAGCTTGGTCACAAAAGGGGATCATGGGTCCACGGGACGCTGCGACCGTCGTAAATACGAGTCGGTTGCCAAGCGTCTGAATTTTGATCACGTGACCCCGGAACGCTGCAACCGTCGTAAATACAAGTCAGTTGCCGTCTGAATTTTGATCCCGTGACCCTGGAACGCTGCGACCGTTGTAAACACAAGTCAGGGGTTGATTTGGGGGTGGGAAGAAAGTACCAAAAAAAGGGGGGTGACAACTCCGCTAGAACTCACTTCCCTCCGATGACATCCATGGTGAACCTCAGTGCCTCCTGTACGGTTTCGGGCTGGCCCTGCGAGAAACAGCCGGTTAAAATATGGTGTATTCTGCATTTTACTCGCTCTGATGACGTTCCCTAGTTGGGTCATGAGACGTCTGCAAGGAAACCACCCAGCTCAGAAAGCACCAAGGACCCCACAGTCCTTCCTCCTTCCTTCCTTCTAGCCCTGATGATGTTACCTAGTTGGGTCATGAGACGTCTGCAAGGAAACCACCCAGCTCAGAGAGCACCAGGGACCCCACAGTCTTTCTCCTCCTCCTCCTCTTCCTCCTCCTCGTAGTAACGCCTCCTCGTAGTAACGCCATTCAAACCCCCAGCTCTGGAAGCCCCCAGGAACCCCCCTCCCCAAACCTTTGGGCTCGCTCCTCCCCTCCTCCCATCCCGCCTCCAGCAGCTGGATTTTGCCAAGGGCCAATTTGTCCGAAATGGTATATAGGGTTTCCTGCCCCGAGCAGGGGGTCGGACTAGATGACCTCCGAGGCCCCTTCCAACTTTACTACTACTACTACTACTACTACATTATTATTAACAACCTGCCTCCAGAAGCGGTAAATGCTCCAATACTGGAAGTTTTTAAGAAGAGGCTGGACAGCCCTTTGTCTGAAATGGTGTAGGGTTTCCTGCTTGAGCAGGGGGTTGGACTAGATGACCTCCAAGGTCCCTTCCAACTTTATTATTATTACTGTTACTATTACTATTATTTATAGGGTTTCTTGCCGGAGCACGGGGTTGGACTAGATGACCTCCAAGGTCCCTTCCAACTTTATTATTATTACTGTTACTATTACTATTATTTATAGGGTTTCTTGCCTGAGCAGGGGGTTGGACTAGATGACCTCCAAGGTCCCTTCCAACATTATTATGATGATGATTATGAAGAGACTGGACAGCCATTTGTCTGAAATGGTATAGGGTTTCATGTCTGAGCAGGGAGGTTGGAACAGATGACCTCCAAGGTCCCTTCCAATGTTGTTGATGTTATTATTACTTTTATTATGAAGAGATTATTATTATTATTATTATTATGGATCATCGCACAGTCAGCCAGATGTTCAGACTGGATTTGGCATTTTGTCTACCTATCGAGTCCTTACCCAGGACCTGGGATATTATTATTATTATGAGACTGGACAGCCATTTGTCTGAAATGGTATAAGGTTTCCTGCCTGAGCAGGGGGTCTGACTAGATGACCTCCAAGGTCCCTTCCAACTTTTTTATTGTTATTGGTATTGGTATTGGTATTATTATTATTATTATTATTATTATTATTATTATTATTATTATTATTATTATTATTACGAGAGTGGACAGCTATTTGTCTGAAATGGTATAGGGTTTCCTGCCTGAGCAGGGGGTCGGACTAGATGACCTCCAAGGTCCTTTCCAGCTTTTTTATTGTTGTTGGTATTATTATTATTATTATTACTATTATTAATACGAGAGTAGACAGCCATTTGTCTAAAATGATGTAGGGTTTCCTGCCTGAGCACAAGGTTGGACTAGATGACCTCCAAGGTCCCTTCCAGCTTTTTTATTGTTGTTGGTATTATTATTATTACTATTATTAATACGAGAGTAGACAGCCATTTGTCTGAAATGGTATAGGGTTTCCTGCCTGAGCAGGGGGTCAGACTAGATGACCTCTAAGGTCCCTTCCAACATTTATTATTATTATTGTTGTTGTTATGATTGTTGTTGTTGTTGTTGTTGTTGTTGTTATTACTATATTCTGAGACTTAAAAAAAAAATCCCAAGGAAAGGGCCAAGAGGGAGGCGAGGGAGGCGAGTGCGAATCCGCCTACACGTGCCTTGGCCAGCCGGACGGCTTCGTGGAGCTTCTCCAGGGCGCTCTGGAAATACGTGACCTACGGAGAGAGTCAGAGAGAGGCGGCTTTATTTTTTTTTTTTTTTTTTTTACAAACCGGGTTTGTTGGGAAGGACCAGGGTTTGTTGGAGGGGAGGGGCGAGCTCTTTGCTCCCAGGGGCTGCTGGGAAAAGAAAAAAAAGGGGGAGGGGAATCAAAAGGGCGGGAGGGGGGGGCGCGTTGGAAGGATAACTTCCCGACGGGCTGGAGGGCAAGTCCCCTCATTTACGATGGCGGTCGGGAAAACGAGGCGCCGTGCCGTTTGTGCCTCCCTCCCACTCATCCCCCCACCCCACCCCGGGGTCTTGGGAGGGGTCCCGCCAACTTACCCTCTCCCCGTACTTCTGCTGCTCCTCTGCTTGTTTCCCCATGTGCAACTGTGGGAAGGAAGGAAGGAAGGAAGGAAGGAAGGAAGGAAGGAAGGAAGGAAGGAAGGAAGGAAGGTAGGTGAGGGAAGGGAGAGAGGAATGAAAGAATGGAGGGAGGGAGGGAGACAAGAAAGAATGAAAGAAGGAGGGAGGGGAGGAAGGAAGGAGGGAGGGAGAGAGGAAAAGAGAGGGAATGTGAAAAAGGGAGGGAGACAGGAAAGAATGAAAGAGGGAGGGAGGGAAGGAAGGAGGGATGGAGGGAGGGAGGAGGAAAAGAGGGAATGTGAAAAAGGAAGGGAGGGAGGGAGACAGGAAAGAATGAAAGAGGGAGGGAGGGAAGGAAGGAGAGAGGGAGGAGGAAAAGAGAGGGAATGTGAAAAAGGAAGGGAGGGAGGGAGACAAGAAAGAATGAAAGAGGGAAGAAAGGAAGGAGGGAGGGAGGAAAAGAGAGGGAATGTGAAAAAGGAAAAGGAAGGGAGGGAGGGAGACAAGAAAGAATGAAAGAAGGAGGGAGGGGAGGAAGGAAGGAGGGAGGGAGAGAGGAAAAGAGAGGGAATGTGAAAAAGGGAGGGAGACAGGAAAGAATGAAAGAGGGAGGGAGGGAAGGAAGGAGGATGGAGGGAGGGAGGAGGAAAAGAGGGAATGTGAAAAAGGAAGGGAGGGAGGGAGACAGGAAAGAATGAAAGAGGGAGGGAGGGAAGGAAGGAGAGGGAGGAGGAAAAGAGAGGGAATGTGAAAAAGGAAGGGAGGGAGGGAGACAAGAAAGAATGAAAGAGGGAAGAAAGGAAGGAGGGAGGGAGGAAAAGAGAGGGAATGTGAAAAAGGAAGGGAGGGAGGGAGACAAGAAAGAATGAAAGAGGGAAGAAAGGAAGGAGGGAGGGAGGAAAAGAGAGGGAATGTGAAAAAGGAAGGGAGGGAGGGAGACAAGAAAGAATGAAAGAGGGAGGGAGGGAAGGAAGGAGGGAGGGAGGGAGGAAAAGAGAGGGAATGTGAAAAAGGAAGGGAGGGAGACAGGAAAGAATGAAAGAGGGAGGGTGGGAGAAGAGAAAAGAGAGGGGAATTGAAAAAGGGAGGGAGACCGGAAAGAATGAAAGAGGGAGGGAGGGAAGGAAGGAGGGAGGAAAAGAGGGAATGTGAAAAAGGAAGGGAGGGAGGGAGACAAGAAAGAATGAAAGAGGGAGGGAGGGAAGGAAGGAGGGAGGGAGGGAGGAAAAGAGAGGGAATGTGAAAAAGGAAAGGAGGGAGACAGGAAAGAATGAAAGAGGGAGAGAGGGAAGGAAGAAAGGAAGGAGGGAGAATAGAAAAGAGGGGAATGTGAAAAAGGAAGGGAGGAGTGAGGGAGACAGACAAGAAAGGAGAGGGGAGGGAGGGAGGGAGGAGAGGGAAGGGAGAAAGGGATGAATAAGAGAAAAGAGGGGAATGTGAAAAAGGAAGGAAGGTAGATTGATGGAAGGCTCCAACTTCTGCTCTCCAGAATTCAGCTTGTCCTGCAGCTCAGGGCTGAGCTGCTAGTCCTCAGTGTTCTCCGACCTTCTTTGTTTCCCTGGCAGTGCTGGTCTCCCCACCAGCGCTGCCCCCCCCATCTCCAGGGAAGCCCCCCCAAACCAAAAACCCAACAGTTTAGCACCCCAATTTGGGGAACCACGGGAGACGAGAGCTGAATTGAAAATCGTTCCTCTTCCTCCGCCAGGGCAGGATTCGTCCTCGGGATCCTTACCTCTTAAAGCATGCCGGCTGGGGGATTCTGGGAGTTGAAGTCTCACCTCTTAAAGTACGTCTGGCTGGGGGATTCTGGGAGTGGAAGTCCCCCCCTCTTAAAGCAGGCCGGCTGGGGCATTCTGGGAATTAAAGTCCTCCCCTCTTAAAGCATGCCGGTTGGGGGATTCTGGGGGTGGAAGCCCCCCCTCTTAAAGCATGCTGGCTGGGGGATTCTGGGAGTGGAAGCCCCCCGCCTCTTAAAGCAGGCTGGCTGGGGCATTCTGGGAATTAAGGTCCTCCCCTCTTAAAGCATGCCGGCTGGGGGATTCTGGGAGTGGAAGCCCCCCCTCTTAAAGCATGCCGGCTGGGGGATTCTGGGAGTGGAAGCCCCCCCCTCTTAAAGCAGGCTGGCTGGGGCATTCTGGGAATTAAGGTCCTCCCCTCTTAAAGCATGCCGGCTGGGGGATTCTGGGAGTGGAAGCCCCCCCTCTTAAAGCATGTTGGCTGGGGGATTCTGGGAGTTGAAGTCCTCCCCTCTTAAAGCAGGCCGGTTGGGGGATTCTGGGAGTGGAAGCCCCCCCTCTTAATGCATGTTGGCTGGGGGATTCTGGGAGTGGAAGTCCCCCCCTCTTAGAGGCGGGGAGAACACCAAGCTGACCGAGGGGAGGCAGCCAATGGGGAGCCTCGATCCGAGAAGGATGCTGGGGGGACCCCATCAGCTCCCTCCAAACCCCCCCCCCCAAAAAACCCCAACACGCTCACGTGGGCCACCGCGGCAAAATAATAGATCTTCATTTGCACCAGTTTCTTCCAGTCCTTCTGGATCTTTCCCAGCAGGGAGGCCGTCTCCGAGTTCTCCAGAGCCCGGCAGGCCTCTTTGTAGTAATCCACCACCTGGGGAAGAGAGTTCGAATCCCGCCTCAGGCCTGAAAGACAGCCTTTTGGCCAATCACCCAGCAGACAGTGAGTTCTAGTCCCGCCTTAGGCCTGAAAGCCGGCTGGGTGACTTTCAGCCAATCGCCAGGTGAAGGTGAGTTTTAGTCCCGCCTTAGGCCTGAAAGCCGGCTGGGTGACTTTCAGCCAATCGCCAGGCGACAGAGAATTCTAGTCCCGCCTTAGATATGAAAGCCGGCTGGGTGACTTTGAGCCAATCGCCAGGCGACGGAGAGTTCTAGTCCCGCCTTAGGCCTGAAAGCCGGCTGGGTGACTTTGAGCCAATCGCCAGGCGACAGGAAATTCTAGTCCCGCCTTAGGCCTGAAAGCCGGCTGGGTGACTTTGAGCCAATCGCCAGGTGAGGGTGAGTTCTAGTCCCGCCTTAGGCCTGAAAGCCGGCTGGGTGACTTTGAGCCAATCGCCAGGCGACGGGGAGTTCTAGTCCCGCCTTAGGTAGGAAAGCCAGCTGGGTGACTTTGAGCCAATCACCAGGCGACGGGGAGTTCTAGTCCCGCCTTAGGTAGGAAAGCCAGCTGGGTGACTTTGAGCCAATCGCCAGGCGACGGGGAGTTCTAGTCCTGCCTTAGGCCTGAAAGCCAGCTGGGTGACTTTCAGCCAATCGCCAGGTGACAGAGAATTCTAGTCCTGCCTTAGGCCTGAAAGCCGGCTGGGTGACTTTGAGCCAATCGCCAGGCGACGGAGAATTTTAGTCCCGCCTTAGGCATGAAAGCCAGCTGGGTGACTTTGAGCCAATCACCAGGCGACAGAGTATTCTAGTCCCGCCTTAGGCATGAAAGCCGGCTGGGTGACTTTGAGCCAATCGCCAGGCGACAGAGTATTCTAGTCCCGACTTAAGCATGAAAGCCGGCTGGGTGAGCCAATCGCCAGGCGACAGAGAATTCTAGTCCCGCCTTAGATATGAAAGCCGGCTGGGTGACTTTGAGCCAATCGCCAGGTGACAGAGAATTCTAGTCCCTCCTTAGGCATGAAAGCCGGCTGGCTGACTTTGAGCCAATCGCCAGGAGACAGAGAATTCTAGTCCCGCCTTAGATATGAAAGCCAGCTGGGTGACTTTGAGCCAATCGCCAGGCGACAGAGAATTCTAGTCCCGCCTTAGGCATGAAAGCCAGTTGGGTGAGCCAATCGCCAGGTGACAGAGAATTCTAGTCCCGCCTTAGGCCTGAAAGCCGGCTGGGTGACTTTGAGCCAATCGCCAGGCAACGGGGAGTTCTAGTCCCGCCTTAGGCCTGAAAGCCGGCTGGGTGACTTTGAGCCAATCGCCAGGCAACGGAGAGTTCTAGTCCCGCCTTAGGCCTGAAAGCCGGCTGGGTGACTTTGAGCCAATCGCCAGGCGACAGGAAATTCTAGTCCCGCCTTAGGCCTGAAAGCCGGCTGGGTGACTTTGAGCCAATCGCCAGGTGAGGGTGAGTTCTAGTCCCGCCTTAGGCCTGAAAGCCGGCTGGGTGACTTTGAGCCAATCGCCAGGCGACGGGGAGTTCTAGTCCCGCCTTAGGTAGGAAAGCCAGCTGGGTGACTTTGAGCCAATCGCCAGGCGACGGGGAGTTCTAGTCCCGCCTTTGGTCTGAAAGCCGGCTGGGTGACTTTCAGCCAATCGCCAGGCGACAGAGAATTCTAGTCCCGCCTTAGGCCTGAAAGCCGGCTGTGTGACTTTGAGCCAATTGTCAGGCGACAGAGAATTCTAGTCCCGCCTTAGATATGAAAGCCAGCTGGGTGACTTTGAGCCAATCACCAGGCGACATAGAATTCTAGTCCTGCCTTAGGCGTGAAAGCCGACTAGGTGACTTTGAGCCAATCGCCAGGCGACAGAGAATTCTAGTCCTGCCTTAGATATGAAAGTCAGCTGGGTGACTTTGAGCCAATCGCCAGGCGACAGAGAATTCTAGTCCCGCCTTAGGCCTGAAAACTGGCTGGGTGAATTTCAGCCAATCGCCAGGCGACAGAGAATTCTAGTCCCACCTTAGGCCTGAAAGCCAGCTGGGTGACTTTCAGCCAATCGCCAGGCGACAGAGAATTCTAGTCCGGCCTTAGGCCTGAAAGCTGGCTGGGTAACTTTCAGCCAATTGCCAGGCGACGGGGAGTTCTAGTCCCGCCTTAGATATGAAAGCCAGCTGGGTGACTTTGAGCCAATCACCAGGCGACAGAAAATTCTAGTCCTGCCTTAGGCGTGAAAGCCGACTAGGTGACTTTGAGCCAATCGCCAGGCGACAGAGAATTCTAGTCCTGCCTTAGGCCTGAAAGCTGGCTGGGTGAATTTCAGCCAATCGCCAGGCGACAGAGAATTCTAGTCCCACCTTAGGCCTGAAAGCCAGCTGGGTGACTTTCAGCCAATCGCCAGGCAACAGAGAATTCTAGTCCGGCCTTAGGCCTGAAAGCCGGCTGGGTGACTTTCAGCCAATCGCCATGCGACGGGGAGTTCTAGTCTCGCCTTAGGTAGGAAAGCCAGCTGGGTGACTTTGAGCCAATCGCTGGGAGACGGGGAGTTCTAGTCCCACCGTGAGCACAAAAAAACCCCAGCTGGGTTACTCTGGGCCTGTCAATCTCTACACCCAAGCCGCTCCGCAGGGTTGTTGTGACGAATGGAAGAGGAAACAAGGAGTATTAGGGACGTTTGCCGCCTGGAGGAATTCCGACAATTGCTACAATCAGGATATCAACCAAATAAACGGAAGGAAGTGTTGCCCGAGGCGATTATCTGCTCCTCCTTGGAATAACAAGAGTTGGAAGGGACCCTAGAGGCCATCTAGTCCGACCCCCTGCTGAAGCAGAATCACAGTGTTGGAAGGGACCTCGGAGGTCCTCTAGTCCAACCTCCTCTTCAAGCACTCCATCACTGGAGATGTTTCAGAAGAGACTCGAGTGACAGTCCCTTGTCTGAGACGGTAGAGGTTCTCCGGCTTGAGCAGGGGGCTGGACTAGAAGACCTCCAAGGTCCCATCCAGCTTTGTCCTACTCTATTCTATTCTATTCTGTCCTGTTCTATTCTTCCTCTATTTTATTCTTTATTCTATTCTATTGTTAACTCTATTCTATCCTATTCTATTCTATTCTATTCTACTCTACTCTACTCTATTCTATTCTACTTCCTCTATTTTATTCTTTATTCTATTCTATTATTAATTCTATTCTATTACACTCTATTCTAAATTCTCTATTCTATTCTATTCTGTTGTTCTGTTCTGTCCTGTCCTGTTTTATTCTTCCTCTATTTTATTCTTTATTCTATTCTATTGTTAACTCTATTCTATCCTATTCTATTCTATTCTACTCTATTCTAATCTATTCTACTTCCTCTATTTTATTCTTTATTCTATTCTATTATTAATTCTCTTCTATTACACTCTATTCTAAATTCTCTATTCTATTCTATTCTATTCTATTCTATTCTATTCTATTCTATTCTATTCTATTCTGTTGTTCTGTTCTGTCCTGTTTTATTCTTCCTCTATTTTATTCTTTATTCTATTCTATTGTTAACTCTATTCTATCCTATTCTATTCTATTCTCTTCTACTCTATTCTATTCTAATCTATTCTACTTCCTCTATTTTATTCTTTATTCTATTCTATTATTAATTCTATTCTATTACACTCTATTCTAAATTCTCTATTCTATTCTGTTGTTCTGTTCTGTCCTGTCCTGTTTTATTCTTCCTCTATTTTATTCTTTATTCTGTTCTATTGTTAACTCTAATCTATTCTATTCTACTCTATTCTAAATTTTCTATTCTATTCTATTCTTCATTCCTCTATTCTGTTCTATTTTATTCTATTCTGTCCTGTTCTGTTCTTCCTCTATTTTATTCTTTATTCTATTCTATTGTTAACTCTAATCTATTCTAATCTATTCTACTTCCTTTTATTCTTTATTCTATTCTATTATTAATTCTATTATATTATACTCTACTCTATTCTAAATTCTCTATTCTATTCTGTTCTGTTGTTCTGTGCTGTCCTGTCCTGTTTTATTCTTCCTCTATTTTATTCTTTATTCTATTCTATTGTTAACTCTAATCTATTCTAAGCTATTCTAATCTATTCTACTTCCTCTTTTATTCTTTATTCTATTCTATTATTAATTCTATTATATTATACTCTATTCTAAATTCTCTATTCTATTCTGTTCTGTCCTGTCCTGTTTTATTCTTCCTCTATTTTATTCTTTATTCTATTCTATTGTTAACTCTAATCTATTCTATTCTACTCTATTCTAAATTCTCTATTCTATTCTATTCTATTCTATTCTATTCTATTCTATTCTATTCTATTCTACTGTCCATTCTATTCTATATTCTATATTCTATTCTTTATTCTATTCTAGAGTTGGAAGGGACCTCGGAGGTCCTCTAGTCCAACCCCCTGCTCAGGCAGGAAACTCTAGACAATTTCAGACAACTCCGTCTCTTGTTAGAAACGTCCAGTGTTGGAACACCCACAACTTCTCCCCAGAGACCCACCTGGGCGCTGATCCGGGCCACCAAGAAGCTCTTCCGATTATCCAGCATGGACTTCTCCAGGAGACACTCCTGAGCTTGGCCCTGGATGGAGCACAAGAAAAGACTACGTTGGTGTGTGTGTGTGTGTGTCTGTGTGTGTGTGTGTGTGTGTCACCTGAACTCAGGGGAAGACACCAGGGGCTGGAGGATTCCCCGGCCCGACCACACTGCCCCCCCCACCCACTCAGGGATCCACAGAAGCCAAGAATCGGCCCTCGGATCTGGGATTGTGGGTCCTTTTCAAAAGTGTGAGTTGCGATGGAATTTGTGCGAGCGGCCTTGGGGGGGAAGAGGGCCGAGTGGGCAACAATCAGATAATACAAGGAGAAAATAAGAAGGACAGATCCTAATGGATCAATTAGATAAGAGAGGGAGGATCCCTCGGTCACTCAACAGAGGAAGAATCCAAGGAGGACAGATCCTCAGGGATCAATTAGATAAGAGAGGAAAGATCCCTCAGTCACTTAACAGAAGAATCCAAGGACAGATCCAAATGGATCAATGGGATAAGAGAGGGAGGATCCCTCAGTCATTCAACAGAAGAATCCAAGGACAGATCCAAATGGATCAATGGGATAAGAGAGGGAGGATCCCTCAGTCACTCTACAGGGGAAGAATCCAAGAAAGATAGATCCTAATGAATCAATATGAGACAGGGAGGATCCCTCAGCCACTTAACAGAGGAATAATCCAAGGAGGACATCCTCATGGATCAATTAGATAAGAAGGATCCCTCGGTCAGTCAACAGGGGAAGAATCCAAGAAAGACAGATCCTCATGTGAGGGGATTCCACTTTTGCTATCCCCCCATACGTGGGGCAGATCCCACGAACTGACACTAAAGAAGACTCCTGACACAGAGGCTTTCTTGGGGTGGGACTGCCCCGAACCGAAGTCCGGGAACTACTTTATTGATTACAATATGCAAATAAGCATTGATTACATGTGATACATTTGTGCCATACATATAATTTCTTGCTGCGCCATAAGCTTAAAACCACTCCCATTACTTAGTCTCAGAGCATGTCAAGAGTACATGTCATGTTTGACCTATATTGCCCACCTGGCTACACAAAACAAAACCCTGTGGTTAGTGCCTTCTCGAGCTTAGTTCTGCATAACATCCTGTTTAACTGTCATGCGGTTTGCCATTTGTGTTACGAGCTAGCGAGCTTTGCCGCAGACGTTTCCTCTAGAAAGGGCAAAGAAAGGGCAAGGAGGGGGCGAGGAGGGGGCTACAACTCCAACACTCATGGATCAATGGGATAAGAGAGGGAGGATCCCTCGGTCACTCAACAGTGGAATAATCCAAGGAGGACAGATCCCCATGGATCAATTAGATAAGAGAGGAAGGATCCCTCGGTCACTCAACAGAAGAAGAATCCAAGGAGGACAGATCCTCATGGATCAATTAGATAAGAGAGGAAGGATCCCTCGGTCGCTCAACAGAAGAAGAATCCAAGAAGGACTGATCGTAAGGGATCAATCAGATAAGAGAGGGAGGATCTCTCAGTCACTCAACAGGGGAAGAATGCAAGAAGGACAGATCCTCATGGATCAATGGGATAAGAGAGGGAGGATCCCTCGATCCCTCAACAGAGGAAGAATCCAAGAAGGACAGATCCTCATAGATGAATGGAATAAGAGAGGAGGATCCCTCAGTCACTCAACAGAAGAATCCAAGGATAGATCCAAATGGATCAATCGGATAAGAGAGGGAGGATCCCTCAGTCACTCTACAGGGGAAGAATCCAAAAAGACAGATCCTAATGAATCAATGAGATGAGACAGGGAGGATCCCTCAGTCACTCAACAGAGGAAGAATCCAAGAAGGACAGATCCTCATGGATCACTGGGATAAGAGAGGGAGGATCCCTCGATCACTTAACAGAGGAAGAATCCAAGAAGGACAGATCCTCATGGATCAATTAGATAAGAGAGGAAGGATCCCTCGGTCACTCAACAGTGGAAGAATCCAAGAAGGACTGATCCTAAGGGATCGATCGGATTAAGGGAGCGGGAAATTTTGGATTTTCCCCATTGGCGAAACCCAGGCGGGAGGTGCGGACGTCAACTCCCAGAATTCCTCCCGCCCGCCTGACCCCGCCCCTCCGACACGGCCGGCTGGGGAATTCTGGGAGTTGAAGTCCAGCCAGCTTAACCTTCTTAAGGTTGAGCAACTCCGTTAGCTTTCTGGAAAAATAAATAAATAAAAGTGTTCCGTTTTTGAACTCTTTGTGTGTCTGTGTGCGTGCGTGTATGTGTGTGTCTGTGTGTGTCACAATCCTGAGAAATCTTACCAGCATGAGGTTGATGTTCAGGTTGAGGATCTGGTGGCTCATGTCCACGCTGTAGGAATGGGGGAAGTGGTCGCGGAGGTAAGTGAAGGCGCCCGCCGCACACTGGAAATGGGTGCAGGAGACCTTCATCCCCTTAAAAAAAGAAAAAAGGAGGAGGAGGAAGAGAAGAAGGAAGAAGAGGACGAGAAGAAAAAGCAGAAGAAGAGGAAGCAGGAGAAGGAGAAGGAGGAGGAGAAGAAGGAAGAGGAGGAGGAGGAGAAAAGGAGGAGAAGAAGAGGAAGAAGGAGGAGGAGAAGAAGCAGAGGAAGAAGAAGAGGAGAAGAAGGAGAAGAAGCAGGAGAAGAAGGAGGAGAAGGAGGAGGAGAAGAAGAGAAGAAGGAGGAGGAGGAGAAAAGCAGGAAGAGGAGGAGGAGAAGAAGAAGAAGAGAAGGAGGAGAAGCAGGAGGAGGAGAAGAAGGAGGAGAAGCAGAAGGAGGAGGAGGAGGAGAAGAAGAGGAGAAGAAGGAGGAGGAGAAGAAGCAGGAAGAGGAGGAGGAGAAGAAGAAGAAGAGAAGGAGAAGCAGGAGAAGGAGGAGAAGAAGTAGGAGGAGGAGAAGCAGAAGAAGAGGAGGAGGAGAAGCAAGAGAAGGAGGAGGAGAAGCAGGAGAAGAAGGAGAAGGAGAAGAAGAAGGAGGAGGAGGAGGAGGAGGAGAAGCAGGAGAAGGAGAAGAAGCAGGAAAAGGAGGAGGTAGACGAGAAAGAGGAGGATGGTTGGGTGGTTTCCTTGCAGACATCTCGTGACCCAACTAGGGAAGATCATCAGTGCTAGAAGGAGGGAGGGTCTACCTTCTAACTATGACGATGTTACCAAGTTGGGTCATGAACGGCCTTCAAGGAAACCACCCAGCTCAGAGAGCACCGGGGACCCCACAGTCCTTCCTCCTCCTCCTCCTCCACCTCCCTTCTAGCACTGATGCTGTTCTCTAGCTGGGTCATGAGACGTCTGCAAGGAAACCACCCAGCTCAGAGAGCACCAGAAACCTCACAGTCCTTCCTCCTTCTCCTCCTCCTCCCTTCTAGCACTGATGCCGTTCCCTAGTTGGGTCATGAGACGTCTACAAGGAGGGCGGGGGGGAACACCCCCCTCCCCCCTCCCTTCGCAAGGCAAGCCACTGTATTTAAACCACCCCCCCCTTTTTTACCTCTTCGGAGACTCGTTTGTCCATGGCGCCCAACATGGAGTGCAAAGCCCCTGCGCAGGAAAACAAGGGGGGGGGGGAGAGAGAGAAATAAAAATTACAAAAATTGGGAGGTTTTCTGATTTTGGAAATGGGCCGGACTGGAAAATTTCCCCCTTGAATTACGTCTGTTCCGTTCAGGGCAGGGGTCTTCCAACTGGGCCCTTGGATGACGGGTGGGACTTCAACTCCCAGCATTCCTCAGCCCCTGAGAGTCTGGATCCGAGCCCTCAGGTTCATCAAAATGGCCGACTGAGGAATCCTGGGAGTTGAAGTCCACCCGTCATAAAAGGGCCAAGATGGAAGATCCCTGAGAGTCTGGATCCAAGCCCCCAGGTTCATCAAAATGGCCGACTGAGGAATGCTGGGAATTGAAGTCCTCCAGTCAGAAAAGGGCCAAGTTGGAAGACCCCTGAGAGTCTGGATCCAAGCCTGCAGGTTCATCAAAATGGCCGACTGAGGAATGCTGGGAGTTGAAGTCCACCCGTCATAAAAGGGCCAAGATGGAAGATCTCTGAGAGTCTGGATCCGAGCCCTCAGTTTCATCAAAATGGCCGACTGAGGAATCCTGGGAGTTGAAGTCCACCAGTCCTAAAAGGGCCAAGTTGGAAGACCCCTGGCCTACACAATACATTACGTAGTCTCAACTTAACCACCATTCCTTTAGTTTGTTGGAAGTTAAAGTTACTGTCTGTCTATCTACTTTTGTTTTTTTAAAATTAAACCGATTAGCTGCCCATCTTACCTCGTGTTACTCTGGAAAGGTTACAATCATAAAAGATATATCCATATCTATATCCATATAGATACACCCACACACCCACAGATACACACTCACGCAAAACATAAACTGGTTAAAACAATCCAATATATTGTTAAAATAATTAGAAAAGACATACACACACACACACACCTCTATCTCTCTACATCCATATATGTATACCTATGCTATATCTATCTATCTATCTATCTATCTATCTATCTATCTATCTATCTATCTATCTATCTATCTAATCCGTGTGTCTATCATCTGTCTGTCTGTCTGTCTGTCTATCTATCTATCTATCTATCTATATCATCTGTCTGTCTATCATCTATTTATCTGTCTTTATCATCTGTCTGTCTGTAGTCTGTCTGTCTGTCTATCTATCTGGTCTACATATCCAGTCTACATATCTAGTCTGTCTAATCATTTATCCACATACATACACATACAAACATACACACACAAACATATAAAACATACAGGTTAAAACAATCCAGTATATTGCTGAAATAATCACAAAACACACACACACACACACACACACACACACACACACACACACACACACACCTCTCTATACATCCATTATATCTATACCTATACTGTATCTATCTCTTTGTCTCTGTATCTGTCTTGTCTACATATCTAGTCTGTCTAATCTATCTATCTATACAAATACACACACACACACACACACACACACACAACTTAAACAGGTTAAAACAATCCAATATATTATTAAAATAATTAGAAAAGACATACACACACACACACACACACACACCTCTATCTCTCTACATCCATATATGTATACCTATGCTATATCTATCTATCTATCTATCTATCTATCTATCTATCTATCTATCTATCTATCTATCTATCTATCTAATCCGTGTGTCTATCATCTGTCTGTCTGTCTGTCTGTCTATCTATCTATATCATCTGTCTGTCTATCATCTATTTATCTGTCTTTATCATCTGTCTGTCTGTAGTCTGTCTGTCTGTCTATCTATCTGGTCTACATATCCAGTCTACATATCTAGTCTGTCTAATCATTTATCCACATACATACACATACAAACATACACACACAAACATATAAAACATACAGGTCAAAACAATCCAGTATATTGCTGAAATAATCACAAAATACACACACACACACACACACACACACACACACACACACACACACCTCTCTATACATCCATTATATCTATACCTATACTGTATCTATCTCTTTGTCTCTGTATCTGTCTTGTCTACATATCTAGTCTGTCTAATCTATCTATCTATACAAATACACACACACATACACACACACACACACAACTTAAACAGGTTATAACAATCCAATATATTGTTGAAATAATCATAAAAGATACACACAGAGACATCTTTATCTCTATACATCCATATATCTATACCTATGCTATATCTATCTATCTATCTATCTATCTATCTATCTATCTATCTATCTATCCATCCATCCATCCATCTCCATCCCTATATCTGTCTGTGTCTGTCTACCTACTTACCTACCTACCTATATCTATCTATACATCCATCCATCTCCATCCCTATATCTGTCTGTCTATCTATCTATCTATCTATCTATCTATCTATCTATCTATCTATCTATCTATCTATACATCCATCCATCTCCATCCCTATCTGTCTGTCTATCTATCTATCTATCTATCTATCTATCTATCTATCTATCTATCTATCTATCTATCCATCCATCCATCCATCCATCCATCCATCCATCCCTATCTACAAACACACACACATACACACACACACACACTTATCTATATCTATACCTCTATCTATCCATCCATCTATCCATCCCCATGCGTATACAAACACACATATATAAAGTGTAAAGAGGTTAGGGTGAGAGAGAGATACACACACAGGCACACCCGAACACACCCACGCACAGGCCCAACCTGGTTAAGGACCTGCTCCTTGCGCCCGAAACCTTGAGGGCCTTCCCTTACCCAGATTGTAGAGGATGCAGGCCTGCTCATATTTGATGTCCTCGTGAGTGACAGTCTTGCCCGAGAAGATCTCGGTCCTGCAAAGGAGACAGAGGCGGCGCTGTCAATCCGGCCGCCCGGGACTCCCGCCCACCTTTCGGGGCCAGGCGACGACGTCGCGTCATCCGTACGCTGGGAAGAGCCGGACTCCGTGAAGGACTGCCGGATTCGTAGTGAAACAGTGGCCAGGAAAACCACCCAGCTCAGAGAGCACCAGGGACCCCAGACTCATTCTCCTCCTCCTCCCTCTTCCCCCTGCCTCCCTCCCTGCTCCAGTTCCTTCTAACACTGATGACGTTCCCCAGTTGGGTCATGAAACGTCTGCAAGGAAAACCACCCAGCTCAGAGAGCACCATGGACCCCACAGTCCCTCTTCCTCCTCCTCCTCCTCCTCCTCCCTCCCTCTCTCCCTCTCCCTCTTCCCCCTCTCTCCCTGCTTCCCTCCTCCAGGTCCTTCTAGCCCTGATGACGTTCCCTAGTTGGGTCATGAAACGTCTGCAAGGAAACCACCCAGCTCAGAGAGCACCAAGGACCCCACAGTCCAGTGGTTCTGTCTGTCCGGTCGTAAGTCGAGGACTACTCAACTGGTGCAGCCCCGTTTGCAGACTGGGACTTTTGGCGGGCTCAGCAGGGCAGAGACAGCCTGGACAATTCCTATTGGCTTTGCAAAGCCAATAGAATGAGACTCTATTCAAGAGAGTCTATTCTATTGGCTTTCCAAAGCCAATAGAATAAAAGGGAGGAGCACAGCTAAGGAAAAGGGGGAAAAAAATGGCGGACTGCGTTGTTTGGCGACCCCCGTGAAATGGTCCTTCGACCCCAAATGGGGTTCCGACCCACAGGTGGAGAACCACTGCCATAGTCCGTCCTTCCTTCCTTCCTTCCTTCCTTCCTTCCTTCCTTCCTTCCTTGTAGCACGGATGCCATTCCCTAGTTGGGTCATGAAACGTCTGCAAGGAAACCACCCAGCTCAGAGAGCACCAGGGACCCCACGGTCCTTCCTCCTCCTCCTCCCTCCCTCCCTCCCTCTCCTTCTTCCCCCTCCCTCCCTCCTCCAGGTCCTTCTAGCACTGATGCTGTTCCTTAGTTGGGTCCTGAAACGTCTGTAACAAAACCACCCAGCTCAGAGACCATCGAGGACCCCACAGTCCTTCCTCCTCCTCCTCCTCCTCCTCCTCCTCCCCCCTTACCAGGTGATGGGGACGGCCGCCTCTTGTTCGGCTCCCATCGGGATCCGGCTCTGGAGGTAGTGAAGCTGGCCCAGATATTTCCGCAAAATGCTGCATCCTTCAAAGTCCCTGGGGACGTTCACAGCGTTCTGCCGAGAGGGAAACAACAACAACAACAAAAAATTTTAAAAAATCACCTTTACGTCCTCGCTGGAGAAGAAGCTTCCGCTAAGCCTGGAGGAAGAGATTTAATTTTTTTTTAAAAAAATTTTTTTTGCAGAGACCCGGACGCGACGTCGTGGCGGGGTCTGTCGCCGGACGGACGGAAGCGGAGCGGCGTCCCCAAAAAAGGGAGGCGAGAGAGACACGTTTCTTTTCTCTCTCGGGCGCGTCCGGACGACAGGCAGCGGCCCCCTTCGAGAGCTAAGCGGGCTTCTCACCTGCCGGAGCTGCTCGAGTTTCTTCAGCTCCTCGTTGTAATCCTCCGGGTTCTCTCCATAGTTCTTCAGCACGAACTGGCCAGGAGAAAAGAAGAATAACAATAAGCATAATAAGAACAGCAACAGCAATGACGATTATAGTGATAGAAAATGAGGAGGAGGAGGAACAGAAAAAGGAGAGGAAGAGGAAGAGGAGGAGGAAAAAGAAGAGGAGAAGGAAGAATAACAGGAGGAAGAAGGGGAGGAGGAGGAAAAGGAGGAGGAAGAAGAGAAGGAGGAAGAGAAAGAAGAGGAGGAAGAGAAGAAGGAAGAAGAGAAGGAAGAGGAAGAGAAGAACAAGGAAGAGGAAGAAAAGGAGAAGAGAAGGACGAAGAAGAAGAGGAGGAAGAGAAGAACGAGGAAAAAGAGGAGGAAGAAGTGGTGGAGGAGGAAGAGAATAAGGAAAAAGAGGAAGAGAAGGAGGAAGAAGAGGGGGAAGAAGAGAAGAGGAGGAGAAGAGGAGAAGGAAGAGGAAGAGGAAGAGAAGGAAGAGGAGAACGAGGAGGAAGAAGAGGAAGAGGAGGAGGAACAGAAGGAGGAGGGGGAAGAGAAGGAAGAGGAAAAAGGTGGAGAAAGAAGAGAAAAAGAAAAAGGAAAAAGAGGAGGAAGAGAAGGAGGAGGAAGAAGAGGGGGAAGAAGAGAAGGAGGAAGAGGAGGAGAAGAGGAGAAGGAAGAGAACGAGGAAAAAGAGGAAGAAGAGAAAGAAGAGGAAGAGGAGGAGGAGGTTAAGGCTACACTTGGTCTGAGACCGGAATTGACAGTCGTTGAAGTCACAACGGTTGTTAAACGGATCAGTGTGGGGCCTGGCCAGCCAGCTGTGAAGCAAACGCCACGGCCGTCGTAAAACGGGGCCCCAAACCCACTCAACAAACCTCTCGCTCAATCCCAGAAACTGCGCCCTTGTGGTCGCTAAATTGTATTTTATTACCCCCAAAAGGCAGAAATCCGGATGAGCTGCCTTCTACCTGGCTTTCCTGGCTAAGAAAGAAACCACGAAAGAAACCAGAGTGACCAGCTTCTCTCGGCCCGCCTTTTCACCGCCCCCCAAAACCAGAAATTCAGGAAATTCAGAAAAGAAAGAAAAAAGGAAGATTTGCAGAAGGTGGAACTGTTTGAGCGTAAAAGAAACACAGGTACCAAATTTTGCCGCTCTGCTCTCTGACGCCCTCCGGTATTTTTATATTCTCATCCTGAAACGCCAGTCAAACGCTTCCAGCTTGGAAAACTTCCTCTCTTGACAGACGGTCCTCCACTTACGACCGAGTCCCAATTTCCCGTCGCTAGGCCAGACAGTTGCTGAGTGAAGGTTTTTCTCCCCCCACCCTTTTTACGACCTTCCTCCCCGTAGTTACGTGAATCCCGCCCAGTTGCGAAATTGAAGTTAAGCAAATCCCTGCAGTTGGTTGTTAAGTTAGCCACCCGGTCGTTAAGCGAAGCTCGCTCGCCAGAAGGTCACAAAAAGGGATCGCGCAAATCCGGGACACTGCGACTGTCATAACTGTGGGGCAGATGGACAGACGATGGATGGAGAGATGTGGAGAGAGAGAGAGAGAGAGAAAGAAGGAGAGAGAGAGAGAGAGGGAGGGAGGGAGGGGAGAGAGAAAAATAAAGAGAGAAAGAGAGATAAGGTTGGTAGATACATTGATTAGGTTGATGGATAGATGGATAGATATGGATGAATGGATGGACGGACAGACAGATGATAGATGGATGAACAGACAGACAGACAGACACAGATTGACAGATGGATGGATGGATCAATAGATAAGATAGATGATGGGTAGATATAGATATAGGCACACTGGCTGAGGAATTCTGGGAGTTGAAGTCCACAAGTCATAAAAGGGCCCAGTTTGAAAACCCCTGATATAAATGGATGGATGCGTAGATGAATAGATGGATGGATGGATGGATGGATGGATAGACAGACAGACAGACAGACAGACAGATAGGATAGACAGACAGATGATGGATATAGATGGATGCATAGAAGGATGGATGGATATATAAACAGACAGAAAGATGATGGATATAGATGGATGGATGGATGGATAGACAGACAGATGATGGATAGATATAGATCAGTGATTCTCAACCTTTTTAATGCCGCGACCCCCAACCAGTCGTAAGTCGGACTACTCCACCGGTTGTAAGTCGAGGACTACTCAACTGGCGCAGCACCGTTTGCAGAATGGGACTTTTGGCGGGCTCAGCAGGGCAGAGACAGCCTGGACAATTCCTACTGGCTTTGGAAAGCCAATAGAATTAGACTCTATTCAAGAGAGTCTATTCTATTGGCTTTCAAAAGCCAATAGAATAAAAGGGAGTAGCACAGCTAAGGAAAAAGGGGGAAAAATGGCGGACTGCGTTGTTTGGCGACCCCCGTGAAATGGTCGTTCGACCCCAAATGGGGTTGTGACCCACAGGTGGAGAACCACTGATATAGATGGATGGATGGATGGATGGATACATAGATGGATGGATGGATGGACAGACAGATAGATAGGATAAACAGACACAGATGATGGATATAGAATGGATGCATAGAGGATGGATGGATAGATACAGAGAGACAGATGATGGATAGATATAATGGATGGATGTGTAAGATAGATAGATAGATAGACAGACAGACAGATAGATAAACAGTTGATGGACAGATATAGATGGATGGATGTGTAGATGGATAAATAGATAAATAGACAGATGATGGATATACAGATGGATGGATAGATAAAATAACTTTATTGTCACTTTCAATGTCCCCTAATCAGCAAACATTAAAATGAAATTTCCCATTCAGCTCCACCTCCAATTTACACTGCCTAAACATGACCAAAAAATGAGGCACATACCCACACACACGCACACACACACATATGTGACCCAGAGAAACAACCCCAGTCCAGTTCTGGATGTACACATATACACGTCAAGAAAAAAAAACAGAATCCTGCAAAAACCACAATTGCCTTAACCATTGTCCCCTTCCTGGTTTCTATCCCAGTGCATCAGCTGATTGTGACTCACAATAAATAAATCACAATTAAAAAAAACAAAACACCAAGACCAGAGGCCTTTGGATTGGCAGAAATCCCTTTGAAGGACACTTACCAACGCTTCCTTGAGTGACGGGTTCCATGTCACCGGCGCAACGCCAAAGACTTACGACCGAGACTTAACGAGGGTTGCGGCGTTTCCCCCCCCCCCATGGTTTTTGTGATCCAAATTCAGACGCTGGGCAACCGACTCGGATTTGTGATGGTTGCGGCGTCCCTGGGTCACCTGATCAAGGCGCCAGTTGACCGACTTGGAGTTACAACGGTGGCAACAACAACCGGCCACTTGGAACCACCTGCCTCCAGAAGCGGTGAATGCTCCAACACTGGAAGTTTTCAAGAAGAGACTGGACAGCCATTTGTCCGAAATGGCGTAGGGTTTCCTGCCTGAGCAGGGGGTTGGACTGGATGACCTCCAAGGTCCCTTCCAACTTTATTATTATATAGTGTTTTTTTAAAACATCCTGGTGCTTAGTAAACAGCACACTGCCTGGGTTCACACTTGACAACAATCAAGAATAGTCCATTTCTATCCAGCTGTCCTTGATTTTTCTCTTCTTCCCACATCGTTCTCTTTGGCAACCATTAGGTTACTACAGCCCTTAACGTTTTAGTAACCAAGAGGTTAAATATAAACATTTTTCTAACATTTATCCAATTAGTTAATAAAGTTGGGAGGGACCTTGGAGGTCATCTAGTCCAACCCCCTGCTCAGGCAGGAAATCTAATAATAATAATAATAATAATAATAATAATAATAATAATAATAATAGAAGAAGAAGAAGAAGAAGAAGAAGAAGAAGAAGAAGAAGAAGAAGAAGAAGAAGAAGAAGAAGAAGAAGAAGAAGTAGTAGTAGTAGTAGTAGTAGTAGTTGGAAGAAACCTTGGAGGTCATCTAGTCCAACCCCGTGCTCAGGCAGGAAACTCAACAACAACAACAACAATAATAATAATAATAATAATAATAATAATAATAATAAATAATAATAATAAATAATAATTTGGAAGGGATCTTGGAGGTCATCTAGTCCAACCTCCTGCTCAGGCAGGAAACCGAAGAAGAAGAAGAAGAAGAAGAAGAAGAAGTTGGAAGGGACCTTGGAGGTCATCTAGTCCAACCCCCTGCTCAGGTAGGAAATCCAATAATAATAATAATAATAATAATAATAATAATAATAATAATAATGATAATGATAATGATAATGATGATGATGATGATGATGATGGGAGGGACCATGGAGGTCATCTAGTCCAACCCCCCTGTTCAGGCAGGAAACTCTATATCAGTGCTTCTCAACGTTTGTGTGACGGCGACCCCCGCCACACAAACGTTCTGCGCATGCGTGGCGGCGGCCCATGCGCGATGCGCATACGCGATGCCCCCATGTGCGGCGCACGTGCACGGCGCCCCCCATGCGTGGCGCGCATGCGCGGCGGCGCCCCCATGAGTGGCGCGCGTGCACGGCGCCGCCCCCATGCGCGGTGCGCATGCACGGCGCCGGGAAAAATGGCGGATCACCGCCTTTGGCGACCCCCGAAAAATGGGCAATCGACCCCAAATGGGGTCGCGACCCATAGGTTGAGAACCGCTGCTCTATATACCATTTCAGACAAATGGCTGTGATAGACAGGCTGTGCCTTATGGGTCCTCTTCCCTCTGGGCGTCACAGGAAAAGGGTGTCTGCGAGGGGGGAGTCTGACAATCCAGGGAGATTCCAGCCCCCCCCAATCTCTCCTTCAAAGCAAGGCCAGCTGCACCCCCACACCCACCTCAGCTGTGGCTTATGGGTCCTCTTCCCAGGAAAAGGGCCGGGATGGGGGGTGTAGTCCCATGCCTTCATTCCAGGAGGGGTTCCAGCCTTCTCCCCCACTCCACAATCTCCCCCTCAAATCAGGCAGGCTTCCTAGTCCAGCCTCCCCCCACCACCACCCAGGCTGTGGTTTATGGGTCCTCTTCCCGGGATGGGGGGTGTAGTCCCCTGCCTTCATTTCAGGAGGGGGGTTTCCAGCCTCCTCCCCAACCCCACAATTTCTCCCTCAAAGTAGGCAGGTCTCCTAGTCCAGCTGCACCCCCCACCACCACCACTCAGGCTGTGGCTTATGGGTTCCCAGGAAAAGGGCCAGGATGGGGAGTGTAGTCCCCTGCCTTCATTCCAGGGGGGATTTCAGCCCCCCCAAGCCCCCAAACTCCCTCAAATTAGGCAGGCTGTGGCTTATGGGTCTTCTTCCCAAGAGGGGTGTGTAGTCCCATGCCTTCATTCCAGGGGGGGATTCCAGCCTCCCCCCACCCCACAATCTCCCCCTCAAATCAGACAGGCCCCCAAGTCCAACTGCACCCACCCACCCCCCAGGCTGTGGCTTATGGGTCCTCTTCGCGGGATGGGGAGTGTAGTCCCTTGCCTTCATTCCGGGGGGGGGATTCCAGCCTCCCCCCACCCCACAATCTCCCCCTCAAATCAGACAGGTCCCCCAAGTTCAACTGCACCCACCCACCCCCCAGGTTGTGGCTTATGGGTCCTCTTCGCCGGATGGGGAGTGTAGTCCCTTGCCTTCATTCCGGGGGGGGATTCCAGCCTCCCCCCCACCCCACAATCTCCCCCTCAAATCAGACAGGCCCCCCAAATCCAACCGCACCCCCTACCTACCCCCCAGGCTGTGGCTTATGGGTCCTCTTCCCAAGAGGGGTGTGTAGTCCCTTGCCTTCATTCAGGGGGGGATTCCAGCCTCCCCCCCAACCCACAATCTCCCCCTCAAATCAGACAGGTCCCCCAAGTTCAACTGCACCCCCCCAGGCTGTGGCTTATGGATCCTCTTCCCAGGAAAAGGGCCGGGATGGGGGGTGTAGTCCCCTGCCTTCATTTCAGGGGGGGAGATTCCAGCCTCCCCTCCCACCCCACAATCTCCCCCTCAAATCAGACAGGCCCCCAAGTCCAGCTGCACCCCCCCCAGGCTGTGGCTTATGGGTCTCTTTCTAGGGGGAGTGTACTCCCCCGCCTTCAGTCGGGGGGGGGGAGATTCCATCCTCCCCCCCAACCCACAAACTTTCCCTCAAATTAGGCAGGCCTCCTAGTCCAGCTGCACCCCCCCCACACCCAGGCTGTGGCTTATGGGTCCTCTTCCCAGGAAAAGGGCCAGGATGGGGGGGGTGAAGTCCCATGCCTTCATTCAAGGGGGGGATTCCAGCCGCCTCCCCACCCCACAATCTCCCCCTCAAATTAGGCAGGCCTCCTAGTCCAGCTGCACCCCCCCCACCCAGGCTGTGGCTTATGGGTCCTCTTCCCAGGAAAAGGGCCAGGATGGGGGGGGGTGTAGTCCCATGCCTTCATTCCAGGGGGGGATTCCAGCCTCCCCCCCACAATCTCCCCCTCAAATCAGACAGGCCTCCAAGTCCAACGGCATCCCCCCCCACCCTCCAGGCTGTGGCTTATGGGTCCTCTTCCCAGGAAAAGGGCCAGGATGGAGGGGGGTGTAGTCCCATGCCTTCATTCCAGGGGAGGATTCCAGCCTCCCCCCACCCCACAATCTCCCCCTCAAATCAGACAGGCTCCCAAGTCCAACTGCACCCACCCACCCCCCAGGCTGTGGCTTATGGGTCCTCTTCGCGGGATGGGGAGTGTAGTCCCTTGCCTTCATTTCGGGGGGGGATTCCAGCCTCCCCCCCACCCCACAATCTCCCCCTCAAATCAGACAGGCCTCCAAGTC